AGAACTAAACAGTTATTCTCCTCACTGCCTGTCCTACATTTTGCTCTGAGAATTTAGTGTTCACCCTTAAACTCCCAAGATCTAAAAACACCTTGCTGTTAATCACTTTTGGGGGTTAAAGGGTTAAATCAAACAATATCTCCTAATTGGCATTACTCTCTCTTCACCTAACCTTTCTGCCACACAATGTTAAGACAATGTAGGGAGAAATAACTTATTAGTCACTACTGGCAGTGAAAGGGTTAGCATCTGAAATATGGTGGGGCTTTTTATTTAACCCCTTAAACTCCCAGAAGTGATTAATATAAAACTTCTCCCCAAAATATCCATACATTATTCAGCAAATAGGTAATGAGAATATTCAAACTTATCAGGCAGAAGCTGCCATCTTGATCTAGCACCAAGTTCTCACAACTAATTTACAAGGAAATGTGTAGCAGCTAGAGGGGACAATTAACAATCTGATCTTGGGAGTTAAAGGGTTAATGACACCAAACCCATAACTTTGTGGAATACATGTGTACCATGTCCCACATTAGAGAAATTTTCAGAACATTGGACAGTCTCCTGTCATCTAGAGCCCAAGACATTACGAACTCTTGGAAACTTAGACCTTATCCCTGACTTAACACTGTAAATTCATCCCAGATATCTTGTTTCCTAACAAATCAGACATATTTTGGGGTCTCATCAGACAGGATTCCAGTTTTAGAGGTAAGTGTTGCATACATAATGAATAAACAACAACGTTACCTCCTGCCTGTCTTTGGTTTTAGTGGTACCAATTGGAGGAATATCAAAGCCCTTATCTGCAATCCTTTTTAGCTGCCATGGAAACATCATCTGTTATAATATGACTGAGATACTGCAAGCATACTGATTGGTTAAAAATATATCATTTATTGCAACGTTCGGCAAACCTAGAATTATTTTATAAAAGCAATAGCCCAAACTTTCTAGAAAGTGCAAGCTACGGTGTACATGAAACTACCAATTATAGAAAGCCGAATATCATGATATGCTTCTGAGTAAGTTTATAGTTAAATCAAAATTTAGCTGTAAGTTTCCCTTAGCACTTTGTATTTACAGATCTTAATCGCTAGAACTTTGATCATACCATTAATTTATTCAAAATTTCCCTTTCTACTTAAATTTTTGCAGATTAAAGGAAAAACTTGCCAAATGAAAGTCGTTTTAATTAATTTTAAGTTAATTTATAATTCCGTTGATGTAGAAAAAAAAATTCGAAACAATTCGTTTTGTTTTGGTGCAAGCTGAGCAAAAATCTACGGCAACTCACCGAAGCAGCGTATTCTTCCTCTTCTTTAGCTAATACAGCGTCATCATCTGATTTCTTTTCCAGCGTGAACCAAAGATTGTCCGCAACTCGGGGAAGAAGAGATGGAAATGTAGCCGATGAGGTCGCCATCTTGGATGTTTTGAAATTCCCACGAATTTACCGCTGACACTGTCAAGCACTCTCTTTCAGTTACGTCAAGGGGTTCGAGAAGGGGAGGGATTTTCCTGAGAGTGTCTTCTCGATCATAGACTTTGGACAGAATTTGAACTTGGGGGTACCCGGTCTTCAACGCGGTGGTACCAACAGTTTGATAAAATCGAAATCTTTAATATCGTGTGTGATATGTTTACACCCAAAAACATTTCTTCTGAGGGAAGTGCTGTCTAAATTGAAAGTTAAGTAAAAAATCATCAGACAGTCTGAGAATCAGGTTAGAGTCGAGCATATGAGCTTGGGTTAGGAGGCATAGCACTCTACCACTAAACCAAAAGACTCAAGGTAACTACCTGGAAACTCATCTGAGGATGTGACCCATTATTGCAATGAGTACAGGAGGCTCATTGGGATTGAGGGAGCATGCATTCAGTCTTTGTCTCTATGTGCTGCTTTATCCCTTGTTCATGTTACAACAATTGAAATATTTTGTCTCAGAAGGGAGTCCGATGGAATATCTTATCCCTAATTTTTCCATTAGGAACTGACTAAGACAAAAAATTTAATCTGGTATACTTTGGGAAAATAATGTTTGCAGATCTTTATGCTGTGAGGTGAGGACAACATGATAAATCTAATGGTAGATATTTGGGCAAAATCTTAAACATAGCCATATTATTCAACATTCAAAAAGCTGCTCTTTAATCAAAACCTATTTGGCAAATAGGGAGAGTTAAGCTACAGGGCCTGTAAAAATGTTCTTGGCGTTATCATATTCAAGGCAGTCTTTTAATGATTATTCCATTATATGTAATGTAATAATGTTATCATATGAAAGCTAATTCATCACTCTAATCGACTTAACAAATTATTTCACTGTTTTAGATAACATTCAGCCCCTGATGAAATTTCAACAAGCTTTAAAACCTCAACTATCTTCTTAGTTGCAGTTCCATAACCGTTAAAGTATATTGCATTATACTAACTTAAAAGTGTTATAAAAACATCATATTTTTCTACAATATGTCAGCACTTGAATTTCAAAACACCATTCTAGGAGGAAATTACAATATTATCATGTAAACTTGACATGCAAAAAAATTTATTACTTTACCTTAAGTAAATGTTTCTTACCCTTTCATTCACATGTTGCATACCGCACATTTTAAATAAGCCTTTCTGTATCTATGTAAAGAATATTTATATGGTAAAAAAACATAACTGTTGCTTTTGTGATAATTATTCTTTTCCATGGTTACAATGGCAACAGTTAAAAATAGTCAATACCTCTGACAAGTAAATATTTCATTGTTGTACAACCTAAGTGAGGAATCAGTATTTCTCTCTGATGACTTAAAACTGGCTTGAGTTCCAAGCACTTTTTAGTAGAAAATAAATTTTAGGGTAATAGTCTCATGAAGTGAAAGTAGAAGTCTCAACATTCTGGACTACTTCTGTGAATGCAACACCCAAAATTCCCTTAGGAGTAACTGCATTCAAGCTCTTATCTACCTATTTCGTACCACCCATAAGTGATTAACATGTACCATCTCCCTATAATATTCATACAATATCCAGGAAACAAGTGATCAGAATACTCAAAGAATACTCAACAAAGATGATATCTTGATCTGACAACAAATTCCTGTCACTAATTTACAAGGAAATGTATAGCAGCTAGATGGGAGAATTAACAATCAGATCTTAGGAATTGAAAGGGTTAATGTGAACTTCCCTCAAAAAATTACAAATCAACTATAAAACTCAAAGGTAAACATGTCCTTTAGAGCCCTGATAAAGTCCAGTACTACATTCAAGGGATTATTTTGGATTAAAAGTGCCCTGATATTTGAATCCATTGACAGAGCTACTTGTGGAGACCCACAGACCTTAGATGAAGACCCAAAATGTAACTTACTTTGTCTGAAAAATTTCAGACAAGCATCTCCCCTTATCTGAAGGCCTGGATCTGCTAATGGAATATGTTCACTGATTTTGTATAAAAAAAAAAAAAACTTAGAATTAAATATTAAGCATGAAAATGTTTTTTTTTTAAATACCAAGGGTTAATAAAATCAAGTGTAAAAAGGTTGGTGCAGAAGTGTGCTCTGTTGTGTCAAAAGCACACTAAACCTGATTTTTTTTCTGTTTAGAAATGTAGCTACTAAAAAGCTAAAGCTAAGCACAAAGTCCACAGTCATAGAAGTTAGATTTTTGTTTCCATCGACTCATTTGAACCTTTTGAATTTCCTAGTTTTCCTTCTCTGGATTTTGATGAACCACCACCAGATGCACTTCCACCAAGTTGTTTTATACCAGAGAAAAATCCACGTCTTTCTCCATGACTTTTATGCTTGCCAATCACTTTTCCATGTTTTCCATGACCACTGGAAGTGAATGCACTTTTTCCTTTTTGCTTCATTTTGTGAAGCAAGTTAAGCTGCTTTTGTTTGCCCGATGGAGGGGGCATAGTTGCAACAGTAACCACATCATCTTCAACCAGAGATGTTCTTACAGGTTTCTCTGTGTAAGGGGGAGGGTTTACTACATCCAATTCTGATGTGTATGGAGGGCAGGCCCTATTCCAAGGCTCCTTGATTGACTGAACAGTGTGCACGTCACAGAAACTAGCAGAGTAACGTCTTTCTTCAAGAATTTCTCCATTTGGTCCAAGTGTATGAGTTGAACCTGGTGCCAGAAGTTCCTTTCTTGAGGCAGGAGGAGATTCAGAACTATTTGAGGATGAAACACTGTCTGATCTTTGCGGCTTTTCTGCAAGGCTGCTGTTTGAGACTGTACTGCTACTTTCTGATTGTGCCGACGAAAGCTTTCTCTTTAATGTGCTGGTAAAATTACCATCATTCAATCTCATCACGCTGAATGCCTCCAGAACTTTGGTAACTCTTGTATGGCCTGGAAAACAGAGAACCAAAACTTTTCAATTAAAGAAAAGAAAACTTCTATATTCATATACAACCTTCCAAGATTGTAAAATGGGGAAAATAATTATGTTAATATCTAGCACTTTGTCTTCAAAGTCAATTTTTCTTCAAATTAAAATTTCCCAAAGTGAGATTTATCCTTAAAACTCCCAGATCTGATTGTTAATTCTCCCTTCTAGCGGCTAATCATTTCCTTGTAAATTAGTTATGAGAATTTGGAATTAAATCAAGATAACAACTAGTACCCAATAACTTCGTGTTTGCTGGGTAATGCATGGGTATCAAAGGGAGAAGCTACATGTTGATCACTTCTGAGAGTTAGAGGATTAAGGTGTAAACGCTGCCCTGAGTTTTTCCTGACATGTTATTTTCATCAAAATGTCAGTTCTTAGATTTTAAGGAAAAGGACTCGCATCTATGGGAAAGTGACATCAATTTGACTTTCTTAATTTATTCAACTTTCCAAACTGCTATCTAATCTGGTGCTTACCAGCTTCATGAGCAACTTGCATTGGACTTCTTCCCAGCTTGTCGGCATGATTCATGTTTGCATTATGCTCTAATAACATTTGCACTACTTCATCGTGACCTTCTTGCGATGCAATACAAAGGGCTGTGGCTCCTTCCTGGGATGTTTTGTCAACTTTTGCTCCCTTTTGAATTAATAACTGCACAATAGAAACATGGCCCTTCCATGATGCTGACATCAAAGCTGTGCGTCCTTCACAATCTGCATGATTAATTGCTGCACCTCTGTTAATAAAGAGCTCTACAAGCTCATAAGCTCCCTTCCATGCCACTGCTTGAAGAGGTGTCCTTCCTTCCATGTCCTTGCTGTCTACAAAAGCTCCGAGATCCAACAATAGTTCAACCATCTGTTTGTTTTTCTCGATGGAAACAGCAAACAGAGGTGTGCGTCCAAGACTGTCCTGATGATTGACATCTCCACCAAGATTAACAAGATGCTGTACACATTCCTCATGCCCCTCCATAGCAGCAAAATGCAATGCTGTGCGACCATCAGAAGATGCTTGTTCAATGGGTGCACCATACTCAATAAGTGCTGACACAACATCAACTTGGCCTTCCTGTGCAGCTAACATCAGTGCAGACCTACCATCAGGATCAAGTGCATTGACATCCAGGTTTGCAGCAAGGAGAGAACAAACAACATCTTTGTGTCCTGTTAGAAAAGTGTGCATCAAGGTGAACAAATTCATGAGATAACTATACTATTCACCCATGCATTGCAAAAAGGTTTTACATTTAGTGGCAGCAATATCATTTTTTAATTAAGTATCAGTAAACTGCATTAGTGCAATGTAAAGTGCTGTATTGTAAAAAATCTCCAAAACAGAAAAAATATGAGGCCATCAGAAAAAAAAAAAAATTTGGTAGACATTACAAAGTTCCATTAGACTGGTTCACCCTTTACACCCTAACATCAGTATGCAAACTCTCCATGCTACGCTCTATATCAGGGCTAAAAATTAACTCCAGTACTTGGTGGCCAATCGGGCCAGTTTCCTTGATTTCTTAGTGGCTCATCCCAAAATGAAGTTGCCCTCGATTCCCTCTAGTTTAAAATGAAAAACTTGAATAAACACCCATGGCTTTTAACAAAGTGTTGACTAAAAGGAAAGAACACAAAAGTCCAGAGTCACATGGCAATCACAAAATCTAAATGGCATCTATATGTTGTGAATGTGAATCACTTGTGAAATCACCGTTAAAACGGCTCAGAATTTCCACTTCAGACTAAAAATTCACCAAAATGGATGATTTTAGTGTCCAGGCAAAGAAATGAAGAGAAAGGTAGTCCAATTAAACTACATATTGAGTTTTATTTTTAACTTTGTACTTTGCATAATTTACGTAGCAACTTTTCGAAATTCTGTAGCACAGGTACACACTAAGCATTCAAACCTTAACTTTTGGTGGCCCTGGTCAGTTTTAACTCGCCACTGGCAAAAGTGCAACCGCCAATTTTTAGCCCTGCTAAACATTTCCTAAGGTGCTGACAAGAAGAATTTGTTTAACAATCAAGAGCTTATATGGCTGGTGGTCATTTTCTTTTTTCTCATAAACTTAATGTGTGATTTAGGGATGATATTGTTAGGAGAAATTAAATGCTAGTCATCCCTAAGGGTCAGAGGGTTAATAAAGGAAACACTACCTTGATTTGCAGCTACCATCAATGGATCCCAACCACTATGATCTGGACGGAACATTGAAAATGTTGGTGACATCCAGGTTGAAGGGTCAGGTTTCCTATCTGAAATAACAATCAAATTGATAAACATTTCTTTTTCCTTAACAGCTTAAGTAATCTAAATCATAATCATAGATCCAATGGCCATATAAAACATGAAGCGTTTTTAATTTTATCTGAATTTCCTGGGACCTTTTAGATGATTTCCATTACCTAAAATCAAGCAATGTTTTCCAAAACAAGAGGAAAAAATCAATTAACAAAGGCATTTATTCTTTGTTCTTCACAAAAATATATAATTTTCATTTATTTCCATGACTTTCCATAATCCAAACTCAGATTCAAAGAATATTAGGGTTTTCAAAGACCCATAGTAACAGAGATAAGGGTAAATATCTACAAATACTACCTGTTACAAGATTCTACTGTAAATTAAAAGAGAACCAACCTTCTGAAGTTGCCAAAAACAAATCTACAATGTTGCAGTGACCATTAGCAGCTGCTGCAAACAGAGGTGTCCGTCCATTTCTGTCCCAGTGTCCTATGTCTGCCCCAGCTCTGACTAATAACTTGGCAACATTGAAGTATCCCTCAAGAGCAGCAACACATAGTGGCGTTAAGCCATCAAAATCAGGATGATCAACTTGTGCACCACGCCTTAACAGAAGGTCAACAACAGCCTCATGATTCTCACTAGACGAAACACAAAGAACTGTTACAGCTAAAGCAGTTCTTCCATCATTGTCAGCATGATTTATCTCTCCTTTATGATCCAGCAGTATTTCTACAACTTTCTTGTGACCCATGTAAGCTGCGGCAATTAATGCTGTCCTTCCTTCTTTGTCAGTAAGATTAGGGTTTGCCCCATGCTGAAGTAGTTGTAATACAACATCGCTGTGACCACCCCATGATGCACCGCGTAATGCAGTACGTTTATCGTCGTCTGCCAAGTCTACTTCTGCAGAGTGATCCAAAAGAACAGAAACAACATCAGTGTGCCCACCCGAGGCTGCAGCCCTCAATGCAGTGCATCCATCATCGGCACAGTGATTAACTGATGCACCACAGTTCACAAGAAGGTACACAATTTCATTATGCCCTTGTCTTGATGCTAACATTAGCGGAGACTGTCCAGAAGTGTCTGAAAAGTTGACATTTGCTCCATGTTTAATAAGAAGCCGTACTACATCAACACTGCCATTGAATGCAGCATTGCATAGCAATGTTCTACCAGAACTGTCAACACGATCAACGGATGTTCCTTTCTCCAACAGAGCTTTAACAGAATCTTCTGTCTCTGGTGCAAAGGGAAGCAAAGCAGCTTGTTCTTCAAGTTCATTTACCTTGGCACCAGCATTTAGTAACAGCCGGGCAACCTCTTGATTCAGGGCATCTGTGTTGAGTTGGATGTCTGAGATTTGGGTTCCACTCCACAGAAGCCAGAGAGCGAGGTGGTCTTGTGTGAAAAACTCCCTAAAAGATGCACGGCTCAAGTGGAATGCAAGTTGGTGTGGATGAGCCAGCTGTTGTTTCTGAGAGAGTTGAGTGTAATGCAATGCTAGCATGGCATGCCCATCTCCTGGGTTGCAAAGAAACTTTGGCGTGCAGTGCTTTGCATCCAAGAGCCACTCAGCAAAGGACAGATGGGATATGCTTTTAACACCATTGTCATCCATGAGAATGTGATGTGACATCAAGTCAAGTGTTTCCAAAAAGTCTTCCACAGTTAGATCTGTGTCTTTTGTCCAGACTGCATGGAACATTTCAGAGTCAGTTAAAGGCCTTTGAGCAGCTAAAATAACGTTCAAGACCAACCTGATCTTATCAACTTGTTCCTCTGTGAATAACCTATTACACAGCCACAGGTACAGACCAGACAGTGTGCCTGGAATGTCCTGGGTCTCATCCAAGGTGAAAAATTCATCGACCACTCCATCCAACAATTTTTCCAAATAAAGAAGACAACCATTGCTTTTGATGTGAAGCTGGTTAAATGCTTCTGCCGTTTCCCTGGTTAAGTGTTTCCTTAAACTGGGCTCGTCGTCTAAGCGATTCAAAATGTACTGTTGAATGTCCTTAACCACATGTGCTTTCCGAAGATCGTCTAAAGTGAACTTTCGAAATCCTGTAAACATCCTAGTGACTGTTTTCGATTGCTTTCTTGCACTGACCACCAAAAAGAGCCAAGGGGGGAGTAGATCGTGGTGTGTGGCCATTAACTCAGCAACAGTTCGGCTGCCAGATGCAACACCGGAATCGAAAGAATGTAGGTAAGATTCATCGATGGCGTCCACCACGACCAAGAAGATTTCCTGAGGCGGTGGAAGCGAATTAAGAGGCAGTAGTATACCTTCTTTAAAAGAACGATCTGGATTTCGAATACACTGTTCACTTTTGAGGTGATTTTGAATCTGGGGGTCGTTGAATTTGGCAGCGTATGCCTTCAGCTCCTCTGCTTTAGCGAGTTGCCTGGCGAGATTTAAGATGAAGTCTGCTACAGAAACAGAAATTGCATTTTGGGCTTGGCAGAAATGAGAAGCAACAACTTTCTTTGCCAATTCCGTTTGAACACCTTCTTTAGTTGTCGGAGACACAAGTTCACGTAAAATTGTCGTTTTTCCCGAGCCAGGTCCTCCTAAAATAAAAGTCCCTTTCGTTTTAGTATCTTCTTGTTGCTTCCTTCGTTCAACACAAGTTTGAATTTTTTCAAACACCCATTCTCGACAGTAGAACGTTCTACAATCGCGGCCATTCCGCGCCATGATTCGCTTCTCGTTCTCGTCCCTCAAAACAACACTACTTGTCAAAGAATGTTAAACATGTTTCAAAAGTAGAGTAAAGCCAGAAGACATTGTCAACGTCCAAAATTCCATTTAGTTCCACGGTTTTTTTTCGCTCGAACCGGGTCCCCTGGGAACTGATATCGATTTATATTGTATGAAAATTTGACGTGTTCTTGATAAGTTGTCATTTACTGTTCTGCCCCAGTGCGCCAGATATTGGCCCCAGGCGTGTTCTCCACGGATAATCGCTGTTTGTCTTCGCTAAGTCAGTTCAAAATGAACAAACTTGCTTCTTTGCTAGCTAATTAACGCTGTCGTGGCAAATATTTTTAGCTCGAGAATAGCACGAGGGGTGCCATAAGACAAGTTGTACATGCTCTTGTTCTTCTTGGGGGTTTGTTAACAATCGTGGGATAATAGGAATCGGACACCGTGGAAGCGTCATGATTGAAAAGTTAATTTTAAAACTAGAAATGCGATTGGTTAATTAGTTGCGACCTTGCTTACACAAAAGACCACAAAGCTCTTGCAAGCGATGTACACAAATAGGTTTAAGGGTGCTGATTTGTAAATATTGTCCTAAACTATTCACTCTGAAACCTGGGCTTTTATTCAAAACACGAGGGTGTCCTAAATCTGTTTTGTTTTCTTGAAAGGAAAACAAATCCCTGATGAATTTTCCCGCATCTAAGAACATCGAATCGTTGAAGCTTCGAGAAGTGTGCATAAAAGATAATTATGAAGGTGATTTTAAAGAGCTCTTCAGATGCTTTGATCTGAGTACTTATTTTATCAGCAAAGACTTCATTGAGCCCGATTTTCTGGCGCCACATTTGATAGTCGGAAATGAAGTGGATATCACAGAAAATGGGGAAAAGCATTCAATCAAAATAGTTCTAAGCCGATATTTGCAATTTTAAATGACCATATGAAGAGGAAGATATTGTTCTTAAACAAGTTCAGTTTATCTTTAGATTCTCTGTACATATGAAGTTCAATGGATATATTTTTACAAATAAAGAGTTTGTTTCAAGATTGGTGCAAAATTTTCGCAATAAATCAGAGTTATTTTTCGGAATTGCATGCTTATCTTTTTTTTCTGAGAAATACGATACTTTTGGGAGAGGTAACTTAAGATTAATTAGGCTTCGCTGATATTGACCTATTTGCGAGATGTCGGAAGATCTTTAATTCGAGACATTAGCTACATCCCGACGAGAAAAAACGATAAAACTGTGTAAGCGCCGTCTGTTGAGAAAGACACAGTGGGTATTTCGTTAAAAACACTGATGACTGTAATGATTTTAGAGGTCTTTTAAAGGCAATGAGAGCCGATAACCAAAATCAGCTGATGTTCTCTAGGCGAAAGCATATGCATACAGAAACAAAAAATAATTAATTAATGTCAATCGAATGAGAAAAGAGGTTTCTCAAAAATGAATTATTGAAAGATGTCCCTAATCCCGACTAGGGTACACTGGGGGACAAGTTGGTGACTTTGCGTTGCATTCCCAGACCTCTTGACCGCGTGACATCCGGGTATGTAGTTAGAACTAAAATTAAAACGACGAAGGTTCATCAACAAATGCTATTTTTAAACTTGTTTTTTGCGCCATCATGGACCAAATACTGAGAGGAATCGTAAGTTCAGATCACACTGAAAGCGTCAAGAAGTCTCTTATTCAACAGCTGGTCTCAAAACTCAATGGAAATGTCCCAGAGGATCAAAACAGATCTATCTTTGAAATTGGAACTGAATGGATGACAGATGAAAACTCGCAATTTTTGAAAGAAACTGGTCGACTACTGCTCACCACGTGGGCTAAACGCCAAAAGGATGTATTTCAAAAGTTTTTCACAGAAAGCTTTCTCCTATCTTTTCTTGCTGAACGCGAAAATTTATCAGTGAGTTTTGTGGATTATCTACGCACCTCCCTTGATCTCGTTCAACACACACCACAGATATTTTCAATGTACACAGTAATTCGCCACAGGGCTCATATCTGGGCGGAAAAGAATTTAAACACGGACTTTTGTGCGGCTGTGGGACGTTTGCTCATCGAGTATAACCACTGTTGGCCGGTTGGCGAAAATCTAACCCAGTTTAACTTGTCACTGCTTAGAGCTTTAAGCAAAACTGAGCTGCCTAAAACTTCAAAAGAAGAAATGACAGCATGCATTCAAAATGGTGCAGTCATTGGGGCTCTCTTAAACAAGATGTGGACAAAGAATCAAGCCCTGCTCTTTCCAGTTTTAACAGAGATTTTTAAGATTATTTCCAAAGTAGGAGACAGTCCATCAGTAGCACTTGCTTCTGTTGTGCAGTATTTCTCCACTGATACAATAGACTCTGCAACAAACCTTGCAGCTTCAAACCCTTTACTTAGTGATGAGAGCCTAGCTCATTCCCTTACGCGAATGATCAAATGGTTGTCATGGCCTGGTGCAAAGAAGGTTGATCAATGGATTATTGGGTTCTTAAAGGCTTTGGCAAGCAATGGGAAACATTCCATTCTCATTTCTGTTACACTTAAGGAAGTGTCCCAGGTAAGATGCCTGTCCTGAGCAAGATTTCACTGCTTTTTTTAAACCTATAATTTGTGAGAGGGGTGGAAGCCAGCTTTATACCCAGAATTTTATCAATACAATCACTTTGGGTTTCCTCACTGTTCAACCCTGTTAAGCCTTAACCCTCAAGCTCCCAGAAGTGATTAATATGTAACTTTTCCCTATAATACTGTATAATATCTAATTTACAAGAAAATGTGTAGCAGCTAGAGGGGAGAATTAATAATCAGATCTTGGGAGGTAAAGGACAGAGGGACAGTGGTGGTCATATTAACAGGGTTCTAATTTAATGTCAAAGACAGTAGTTTATGAGTTGTCATTCTATTTCATCCATGGTTTTGGTTCAGCTCAATTCTGTTTCAATCTCAGTTTCATATTTGTTTTCAGTAACATTACTGTTTTGTTTTTTCTTCGTCTGCCCCACTCTTTATCCCAAAAGTTGCTTTGGCTGATCTAGGTATATCAACTGAAAATTTTGAGGATTTTACGACACACATAGTCAACAAAAATTGGGTTCTGTTGGGCACCAAAATCTGCTTGCATAATTCACCTCATTTATTTATTTTGAGAGCTGACCAGCTTTCCATGGACTCATTTTTGGCACTCTGTAACATGACTCTTGTTAATAGTGATATTCTTTTATTTTGTTTTTCTGCAGGTTTTCAGTCGTTTGTTGTTCCCCATTGTTCGTGGAAGTACTATGGTGGTCCTCTCTCATATGTTGTTGAGCTTTCAACACTCTCCTCAAGCATTTCATGAGGTAAAGATTTCTGTTTCTGGGTTGGTATGACAGGAAAAAGTAAAGACAAAGCTTTGTGTCAAATTTCCTCATATGACATTAGTTTAGTCACTGGATTTTATGCTCTTCAGTTAGATTATTCTCTTATTAAGTAATTCCATGGGAGACAAATTTGCTTAATGATTACATTGCTGGGTTACTAATTGAGAGGTCTGGGTTTGAGTTGTGGCCAGAGTCAGCATTTTGTCGCTGGGAAAGACGCTTAGCTCTCACATTGATTCTCTCTACCCAGGCCAGTATGGAAACTGTCAGGGAAACTGTGACTAAATGCCATAGTAGCCTGTGGACCAGTGTCCAAAAAAAGACCAGTAATCCTGGTTATATAAAGAAGCTTTTGCAGATAATTGAGTTAGCCTTGTATATAGACTTATGTGCCTGTCTCCATTCCCTTTTTTCAAGTTGAACAAGTGACTATTCTACTGAGTGTTTTAGTGTCAGGATGTATACCAAATGATCAATGTTTCTCTTAACATATCATAGTGTTTCTAGCTTAGGGGAATAACTCTGTCATTGTCTGGACCCGTCTGCTGAAATATGTGGCTTTTTTTCATTTTATAACAAAGAATCCAAGAGCAAAGTGTCTATTCTCTACAAAGTTAATCTGAAAAAGTCAAACAATTGCTTGTTTTTTGTTTTGTTTTGTGGTTTTTTTTTTTCAGATTGTTGTTTTAGTACCCAGCCTTGTGCAGACTCTAAAGAAGGAAAACAGTGGTTCCTCTCAAACTAATTTACAAACACTTGCTGAACTTATGCACTGTCTAATGTACCAACATACAGGGTTTCCTGAACTGTATGGACCAGTTGTTGACTGTCTACAGGTATTGTTTTGGAAATCTAACAAGCTGGTGGGAGATGTACTAATATTAGCTAAGTACACTAAAAGTTTATAAAAGGGATTGATAAACACTCTTTTAGAAAGACAGAAAGAAAATAACAACTTCAGCACACCATCTTAGTTTCTTTATTTATTAAAACAATTTACTGATTTCCTTTTTAGAAAAACACTAAATAATATTGTGTATATATATATATATATATAGAGAGAGAGAGAGATGTATAACCTATAGTTATTTTTTAATTTCATTTTGCAGTATGTAATATTTCAAGTACAGATCATTGTTCATTTTTATATTTTAAGTTCTATCTTAGAGAGGGCCACAAGTTCATCAGTTTCAATACTTTCACATGCTCCCCTCTTAAGATAAAGTCTATTGATTGATTAGTTTTAGTTTGCTGGATTCCATGTGGAGATGTACAGTTTGGAGCCCTTACAAGGGTCACAGTGCCCTGTCTTCTCCAGTAGTAGCTGAGAGCTGTTTGGAATGCTTGATAAAATGCAGAGTGGGGGAGGTGTAACCAACAATGAAATGATAAAATTCAGGGGGGAGGAATAACCAGCAACGGATTAGTATCCCATCTGAGTAGCAAGAAACCAAGTGTTCCATTTCACAGAAACTAGATTTAACTTTGCAGCTACTTGTATGGAAATCAGTGTAATTTGTGGTCAGAGTAACTAATAATGTTCCAATAAGCTGTACCCTTTTGTACTTTTGATTGTTACTTCTCTCTGAATTTATCGCTCTTGTATTCTCATCCTTTTTTTTATGTATACTATCTATGCATGACCTTCTTTTTACCAGGATTTACCTAAACCTTCAGAGGTGATGATCAAGAAGTGGCTAGCTCAAAGTGCTTGGTCTGCACAAGCTGTCAATATTCCACTTCCTGGCTTTGCACCAAAATCAGAAACGGGAAAAACTGGCTTAGCTAACCTAGGCAACACTTGTTACATGAACAGTGTGTTACAGGCACTCTACATGCTTGACGAGTAAGTTGTCAATATCATGATCACTTGTATGTTTGTATGTATGTACAGTTAATTGACCAATCCCCCAACAGGTCTTAACAAGGCCATAACAAACACGTTAAAACTTTGTAATAAATGTAGTGTTTAAAAACCCCAACTGGTGGGATACAGACCAGCTGGCTGTATACAAAGCGTAGCCAAGAAACTGCACTCAGGACAACTGAGTAAAAATCCAGTGAGTAGGAGGGCAGAGGGCTTGAACCTCAGGTGTTGTTATGCCAATAATGACAATCGTCAGAACAATTTTGGGAAGTGGCTCAACAAAGGTGAAATTCATTGCTGAGATACAGTGTATGCCAAATGCTCTCAATTTTGTGAGAAAGATTCTGTAGAGGCTTTGAGAGGAGCTGAAAAATGTGAATTGAATTTAAGGATTTTATTTTGCCAAAACGTGAACCGTACTGCTCTATATGTAATTCAAAGGTTTCGAATGACTGTACTTAGTTTCAAAATTAGGGAGTTGTGATTATTTTTTAAATTTAATTCCTAAGCATATCACCCTTGAAAGTTTGATGCTCGTTAGTAGTTGATCAAAGAGATGAGGTAAAACGGATCTGTATTTGCAGGTTCCGTTTCATGATATTCGGCCATCACAGCGATCATAATCAACCTGTCTTGCATCACCTGCAACAAGTGTTTGCCTTCCTCTCTCTAACACAGGTAAAATCTCCTGCAACATGTGCTTGTAGTAAAATACTAGAATTTAGTTGGAGGATTATCCTTTGTAAGAGTTTGAATATGGAAGCGATCTTCGCAGTAATGAACGCTACTTAAGCAGTAGTGAAAATAAGGCCTGAAAAAAGACTGGAAAAATTGCTTCTTTTTTAGTGTTCATTACTGCGAAGATCGTTTCCATATTCATTTCTTTATCCGCGGTTCACATATATGATTTTCATATATTTAGAGTCATTAGTTTTATTTTTGGTGTTGTTTTTTTATTGTTTCTTTCTTTCTCGCGAGGATTGAAGGCCCACAGGAGAACTGGAAAATCAACCAAATCGAGTCAAGAAACTCAAAACCAACTCAAAGCGAGCCAAGATAATAACGTGCTAGACTCTGGTTGGAGAGTTCTGGATTGGCTCCATCCCGGTCCCGATTATTTTAATGAATTTGGACAGAATATTAACTTGACGCAATCCTTGTTCTTGTTTTGTTTTGTTTTGTTTTATTTTTATTTTTATTTTTACAGAGATCTGCCTTTGCCCCGTCGAAGTTCCTTCATGTAGCGAGACCTCCGTGGTTTGCACCGGGGACCCAGCAAGACTGCTCAGAATTCCTCAAGTTTCTTCTTGACAGACTTAGCGAGGAGGAAAAATCACAAAACAACAGCAACGACGAAGGGTCGCCAAGGACCTCGCTCGTAGAAGAGACCTTTACTGGAAAGCTGACGGTGTGTCTGTGCTGTAGGAGGTGTAATAACACTTCTTGCAGAGAGGAAGTGTTCACAGACCTACCACTGGCTTTTCCACAGGCTGGTGAGTTAGAGAGAAGGATGTTCTCCGAGCAGCTCGATGGACTGACGTCAGATGATAAACAACCGATCGAACATGACGAAAAACCTGTGAATTCAACTGTGAGCTCCGACAGAAGTCTGAAAGGTGGTGATATTACTCACAATGTGTCTGCCACCGGCTTAGCGCAAAAGTCAGTTGAAGATAGCGACGCTGTGGCTCCAAGTTCATCACACAGTTCGACCTCAGCAGAGAGCTCAATGCCTTTTTCGGCTGGTTCGAGTGTTTCGTCGAAATTTCGCGAGCCTGGCGTTCGAGCTGATGCTCCACACATATCACTAACAGAGATGTTGAAGTACTTTTTTGAACCTGAAATTCTTGAAGGATCTAATCAATACCATTGCGAGCATTGTCACAGTTTACAGGATGCTGAACGTACCGTTAGCATTTCCAAGGCCTCAGAATTCCTCGTGTTGACTCTGAAGAGGTTCGCTTACAATGTGAAGACCCAACAAAGGTCGAAGATACTACAAAGTGTGTCTTATCCTACAGTTTTAAGATTACCACGAATTCACCTCAAAGGAGGTGATGATAAGATAGAAAGAGAGGCGAGAAACAGCGTCCCGGATGTTAATGACAGTAAGAACGATGAAATCGTCAGCCACTCTTGTTTCAAGTCTAAAAGGACAAAGCAAGAACATGACAATGTCGTTGACAGCTCTAGCAGCGATAATTCGTTGTCTTTAAGCGAGGAAACATTCACAGCAGATATTGTTTACGCGCTGTGCTCGGTTATCGTTCACTCCGGGACGTCATCGGAGAGTGGACATTATTACTGCTATGCACGATCTAGCGTGCATTTGATCGGAGGAGAAAGCGACAAGAGTTCAAGTTCTAGAACCGATGATCAAGACACGTGGTATCTGTTTAATGACAGTCGCGTGTCTTACTCGGCGTTCAGTTCGTTTGCTGATGTATCGAAGCGTTTCCCTAAGGATACTCCGTATGTGTTGATCTATAAACGAGTCAGCTCTTTTCGTGCTGCAGTCATTCCCGTAGAAAACAGTGGTGATTCTGCGCAAGATAATTTGGTTGACGGTGAGATCAGACAGGAGCTGGCAGACATGGTCAATCGCGATAACCTCTTATACTTGCAGGTGAGTCAATCTAACTTGTTTGACTTCAACCTTTATTTGCGTGCAGATCAGGCGCAATTTTTAACGATTTGAAGGCAAGCAGGCGCAAGCACGAGGAAGGCGCTTGAGGCTATTCACACGTGCACGCATCTGCCCCTGGCCTCGTTTGTGAATCGTGCCTCTCGGTCTGGAGTACAGTGCGCTCTGTATTGAGGCTAGTTTTTTTTTACCAAAGTTGGAGTCGTAGGCAAGATCGAGACATGCGAGGGGCGATTCACACACGTGCGCGTTGGCTCTTGCCCTGGTTCGTGAATTAAGGCTGGTTTTATTAACGTCAGTCTCAGAGTCGTTGTCAGAAGCGTAGAGCGATACGATCCGGTGCAAATCAAACCAGCTGATTTAGAAGCAGAGTACCGATACTGCTTGTGACTCCTAAATTGAAGGAGTCAAAAGCCATCGGTTTGCCTGACAACTCGCATCGTGATTGTTTGGATCTTTTGCTTTTACTTGCGACTTCGACAATCTCGTCTTCACTGGATCATATGCGACTGGGTCTTAAGCGGAATTGGAATGAAATAGAACCGTACTGATTCTTCCGACTCCAATACCTTCAAACTTATATTGTTCTGTTTACAACTCCGGTTTCGATTTTCTCGAGGCCGGATATGTTCCTGCGTTATCTAACTTCTTCAACTCCGTGGCTAATGAAAACCAGTCTCAAGCCACCGTGTCTTCCAAACAATGCCTAGAAACAGTGCAAACAAATTTTCGAGTCAGCGATGAACAAACTCGTCATAAGGATTTTGTATCTTTTTTTTCTTTTTTTACAGGAGCGAGAGCGTCAAGCCATGAACTCTGCTAAGCGAAAAGCTTGGTCAAACTTCCATCAGCCCCCTGACGACGACGATGATGACCCTAGCAAGGGTCCCCCAGGGAGCTGTGGAGGCGGGCCAGGATTTACAACCCCCTTCAATCGTTTCGTCTTCTAGTTAAGCGGGATTGTGACATGTCTTATTGTGGTTGGTTGAACCACTTTTCAACGTTCTTTTTGGTGGATACTTTCACAGTGTTGTAAAGGGGCTGTCTGTCTTGCTCAAAATGCAAACTGACCCTCATCCTGGACTGTTTCACAAAATTTGTCTGTGAATTTAAGGATATTTTCACAGGAATGCTAAGAGCGGAACGGAGTCTTTTTATTCTGTTCATATGGAAAATTTCAGCGAGAAGAGATTTCAACCCTAACAGGGTGCAACATCCCAAGTTTCATCTTTGTGAACGGGAAACGGTGTCTATTCGAGAAACTATAAGCCTGGGTGATAAGGTTTGTCTGGAGAGACCATTGACAAGGCATGCTTCAAATCTTGTTGTTGCTTTCACCGTCGTCGTTGTTGATATTAATTTTGTTCAAACATTTTCAACGTCTTGAGCTCACTCGATTTACAATAACCAAAAGTGTGATTTTCTAAATTCTGGTGAAAAAGAAACTCAGAGTTCCTTTAATCGACGGAATTCAATGGTTCAACATCTTTCTCAGTCGCTCCAGAGAAATTTTTATTCAAAGGGGGTTGGGGGACATGCAACGTTAAATGACGAGCAATTTAGATCGTGTAAATATAATGTATAATAACCAAGAAGTAACTGTGGCTTCCAAATGTCACCTTGAAACTTTCATTTGATTTTTATTTTTACTTTTTTTGATAAAGAGTACTACACGTTTGTGGGAAGATATTGGGTTTTGCATGTATATATATCATGGGACAGCTTTTATCTTATTCCTATTTCTGCAACATTCACCCGACGACCTGATAAACACAAACACGTGTCCCTATTTTCAAAACATTTTGATTCTCTTTTCTCCTTTGGGATCGATAGTTTGTCATCAATCGAGAGAGGAAATACAAAAAAAAACATATGGTCTTTACAACTTATATGTGAAATGCGTTAGCCTTTGAAGCCTTCAGCGAAACGCATCAAATTGCCGCTAAAATTAAGGATTGTTATTTCGATTTTTCTTCTATTGTTTTGTCAAAAATTTAGTAGAATAACCCAACGCACCAAATAAATGCGATTTTAATTATTTTTTTTTAAATGATAATTTTATTTTTTATTATTATTATAATTATTTGCTTAGCTACGAACCTTGAACTGGTCAAAAAGGAAAAAACATCAGCAAATTGGAAATTTGTGTCGGATTTTCATCTCCGCTTTAGACCTTCTCGCGTTCAAATTGAGATCACTTTTTAAAAAAGGAAATTAAAGACGAATTAAAACTAGACTTCAAGGCAAATTTTTTTAAACACGCTCAAGTTAAATATAGATACGAACCCACGAGGCTTGCCGAGGTGTTTGGTTCTCAGTGTCGCATCTTGTATGACATTTTCCCGGAAATATTCTGTAAACTCAAGTTGTCAATATTTCGCAAGAACCCTGTCTGTTCTTGCTTTAGTTTTGAAAATTTAAATTTCCAAAAAAAAAAACTATTTGCTTTATAGAGGATGACGGAAGCTGTGAAGTTGAATTAATTTGCGCGAGATCGATCAGCTGGTAGCGTGGCGTGGGGGTTTTTCCCGCCATTTCTTATCTCAAAGTAATTTTTACTGAAACTGAAAAACTTCTCCACAAAGACGTTTGTTTTGATCGAACATTTTCCGTAGGCGGCCGCGTCATTCGCCAAACACGCAGTTCTTTAAGCCAACCAATTAGGTCGTCATCTATTGTTTTCCCGCGGCAAGTAAGCTTCTGTTGCGAGAACAACTGGCAACGTTTTTAACAAAGAAAAAAGTTTGACTTTACCGGTTATTAAATGTTCTTTACTCAACACTTTCTGTGTTCACTCCACTGTTTTAATGGTTCAGGTTTTAGTGTTTGAAAATATCTGCCCAAACGCGAGTATAAAGTGATTAGTCAACCCGGAGGCACCGTCGCATGAGTTATCTTAGCCTCTGTCTTCAGTTTTCTAACACGTATCACATAAATTCGCCTCAGAAGCAATGCTTCCCAAATTTTTAAAAGATCCTCTTTTAAGAGACTGTTAAAGACACACATGAATGACATTATTTACCAAACAGTTTCGGGCAGGAAAGGGAATGGCTTTTTTAAGTTCACTTAATAGATTCATGAATTTTGTATATAAAAACCTTTTTATACTTCTAAAGTCGTGACAGACGCGACAAAATGGGGTCGTAATTCTGTGATTTAACTTCGTTTGACACTGAACACTGCTTATGTTATTTATCTAAAAATTTAACGCAGAATAATATTTGTTCGTTTTTGAAAAAAAAAAATAGTATCTCATGATTTTTGTCTAGTTAGCTCTCGTTAACTTTTGCACCATTTACACTCCTACGACAAATTTTAGTCACCGAGAACCCAACCATTGAAACAAAAGAACTATCTTTTTCACTAGAATGCAGAATCTTATGAAACTCTAAGCGTGGTTTGATTCAGATGCGCATATAACTTAGGATGAGAGCATAAAAGTTCATCAAAGCAATTCTCGTGTTAATGACCAGTAGAACACCTGTTTAACTTGACGGTGTTAAGAATAGAAAAGATGAGTCGAGGGAAGCAAAAATTTTTATTGATAGTGCGCGCAGGAAGGTGCGAAAACATTTGATAGTTTCCTAGCGTGAACTGGAAAGGAAAACTGCCAATTCAGTAACAGATATTTCTGCGCTATTACACATGGCCAGAGAGATTTAGATTCAACAAGATTGGGGGTGGAATAATTAAGGTAACAGTGAAAATGGGTATTCAATATCTATGATAAAACATATACCCCCTTCCCCATTATGAACTCGTACGTGGGCAGGTTCCTAAACAAACCTCTAGATAGCAGAATTTATTTATTTGTTTTTTCTTAGGGGTTACGAAAGTGTCCACGGAATAAATTACCACTGTTTCGTTCCCATGGGTATCTCAGTGAGGAATTTGTGTCTAGTAAGGCTTAAAACAGCACTCGAGGCATGGAACGTGAGAAAGAAAACATTTACTTTTTAAGTTCCTGTTTCGCCGTACGTCACCCTTCGTGGTCCACAAGTTCATGTTACCCTTTTGAAGTGCATCATACTTGATTGGACGGCGGTTGATTTAGCCTTGCAAATGAGCATTGAATCATTTTAAACATTTTGAATAGTTATTAACACTCCACTGCCTTTCGCGATAAGTCAACTATCGGATCAAAAGCCTTCAGCCCTTCGAAGAAGGTTGACAATCGTTTCGGAGTGGAAGAAACACGACTGTACCATGGTGCATGTGGTACTGTTTGTGTTTTTAGTGAGTCTGAGCACAGGATATTGTAAGAGAGATAGAGATGGTGAAATATACACAAATACTTGGGCAGTTGAACTAGACTCACACGATGAAGAATTAGCGCATAGCATAGCGGAAAGTCTTGGATTTAAGAACGCAGGACCAATAGCGAACTTACCTGGATATTTCTCGTTTGTACACGAAAGATCGGAGAGCCGCCAGAGACGAAGTAGTGAGCATCATACACAACCGCTATTAAATCACCCGCGCGTGAAGTGGGCTGAACAACAGACTCTACTATTTAGACACAAACGCGGTTTCAACACCTGGGATGAAGCGGTAATGCTTGTGCAACGCGCCGAGAGAAATCGCAGATATTTCAACGACCCGCAGTGGAAAAATCAATGGTATATGGGTCCGTTAGACGCTGCTGACACCAGAGGAAACCTAGGTGTTTTGTCTGCTTGGAGAATGGGGTACACAGGTAAAGGAATTGTGGTGAGTATTGTTGACGACGGGTTGGATCATACTCACCCCGACTTGAGTAAAAATTACGACGAGGCTGCGAGCTTAGACGTAAACAATAACACTAATGTTGGAGTCGATCATGATCCAACGCCAGATGATAGCAATCTTTCCAACGATCACGGAACAAAGTGTGCCGGGGAAGTCGCCGCCGAAGCGGATAATAATATTTGTGGTGTAGGAGTTGCGTTCAACGCAAAAATTGGTGGTATACGAATGCTAGACGGAACCATTACGGACCAAATTGAGGCAGAAGCTTTGGGATACAACTGCGATTACATCGACATTTTTAGTGCATCTTGGGGGCCTAAAGATGACGGAAAAACATTTGGCAAACCCGAGAAACTTGGAAGCGGAGCTATGGAGAAATGCATTCGAGAAGGAAGAGATGGTCAGTATACATTTATTTAATTTTCAAGTCGATGTAACGATCAACAGTTATGAAACCGTTCGTTTATCTTTTCTGCGAGTGTTATAATTCTTTGCTGTGTTTTGTTAAAGCCAGGAAACAGATGGCGTTTAATTAGATACGCGGGTTTGCTCACGAGTTGAATTTAAGTGAGACCGGTTGAATAATTATTTCAGGAGCTTTGATGACAAATACTAATATGTGCATGGGTAAGTATTGTACAAAACGGTGACCTTGAGTTGTCACGACAATAGCGACATTAAGAAACAATGCATTTTACTTGCTAATAAATTTCCGTATAAGCTGTTTTTATCTTGCGCTTTGTTCACGCAAAAATTCCAAGGAAACTGAAAGGCTTAAATTTTCGGGAGCTGTAACAAGTTGGCAGCTAATAACAAACGAATTAGAGAAACTGCTGAATAACAATTCATGTAAAGAAGGGAGTCACCTTATTTTAATTTGGCAAAGATTTTAAGAAGATTAATGGGTAATATTTCAGACAAAGCCCTTATAAAATGACGGATAAGGAACTGCTTTATTTGAACAAGTTTTTTTATGGGAGATGAACTTTGTTCGTTTGTCTCACGATAGAGAGACAACGCCAGATGAAGACTAGCAGTACTGCAGTCGAAACGTCGCGATCAACATCAAAAGTGACTCTATCGTGAGAAAAACGAACAAAGATGACCTCAGTATCTTACACCACAATGAACAAAAAACATATTTTATTACAAGTTTTTTATTAGTTCAAAACCGACAAAGAACAGCTGTAATTGGAGTTTCAATTTCAAAAATCTAAAAGACACGAATGCTGTTGCTTAAATTTCCTTTCTGTGATCGACTTTCTGTATTTTTCTCTGACGTTTTTTTCGGCACCAAAAACAACCACGCTTTGTATTTTTCTACGAAAGGACGAGAGCTGTATCATTTGTTATCGTATTTTTGGAGTTTAATTGCGGTATTTGCAAATGAGGTTCGTGCACATGAAGTCCTTGTTGTTTTTTTCATTCACGGACTGACGAAGACTGTTTCTCTGTTTTTGCCAGGAGACAAAATAATCAAAGACGGCCAACCAGCGATGCAAAATGCTATCACCACAAAAATTTTTAAGGCTCCAGTTTGTTGATGCCTCAAGCGATTTCTCAATCAACCGTCTTGCAACGAAAGCATCTTTTATTATTTTCAAACCTTTTTGCAAAATGTACTAAAAGAAAGTGGTTTTGGAACTAAAGGAAAATTTAGCTTTCTGCTGGGTGGAAAGTTTCCTTGCCGTGACGAAAATATGAATTTTCCAGGTTTTTTTTTCACTTAATGACTAAGAATTCTTTCTAAAGATGTTTTACACTCAGAACAACGCTAAAATTGACACCTTTTTCCAAATAACTTGAATTTCGCCAGCCGTAATTGTACTCGACGCACAAATTGCTGTTCAAGGTAGCAGAATAAAAGAGAAAATTACCCAGGCTACTATGGAACGGAAAATATTAACTGAAACCTAGAAAATGCTCCTATTCAACCTTTGATCTTTCCTTTTTTTTCTCACTCAGATTTAATTTCAGCTGGTGGATGTTCTAGTCTCAAATGTATATGTCCCACAGTGTAAAATGAACGTCGTCAGTTTATCATGCCAAATATAATTTCTATGTTTTTACCGATCACAAAAAGTCGAGTTTTAAGAAAAAAACGCTCTTCTCAGTACAAAATAGATTCGACCATTTCTTTGGTCTTCCCGTCGTATTTCAGAACCCGCAAACGTTCTGACAATTGTGTTGCGAACTGCGTGCGCAAACTTGGACAGGCATGGCATGAAATTAAATGTTGTTAAGTACAGAACAGTTTGCTCTTTGCTTGAGCTTCCGAACTAGTTTGACGCGGGATAGGCTTGACGTTTGAGTTCATTTTAAGGACAAAATCAACCAAAAAAGACAATTTTTTGATATCCTGCTTGACTGTAAATTGAAGACAAACAAAACTTTAAATGCTATTGCCTTACATCTGTATGAATTTGTTCTAAGCATGAAAATACTATAAAAGCGATGTGTGAAATTACCAGTAGCATGGTGGAAGAACCATCAGATATTAATTTTCATAAAATAACGAAGCCGGATACTACGAACACCCTGATGGGTAAAAAACTTCTCGTTGGTTCACGGTTGCAGCGGAAGTTTATTTTATAAAAGCAACAGCGCGCACTTTCGTAGCTGACAGTTTTCCTCGATGCTTCCCCCTCGGAAACCTGTTCTCATTTCGGAACAGATGATGTCCACAGACAAACACCCGTGCCTATTTTCGCGCCAAATGAAGGTTATTATTTATAAAGCAAAATGGTTGCGGTTAGTCATCTTGGCAATAACTTGCTATGATGTCTCACGATAAACTTTGCAGCCCGGATAGTTTCTGGAACGAGGAAATTTGATCATGTTACACCTAGTTACAGTGTCTGCCAATTATGAAAAAACTTGCGGTTAGGAATGCTACCATGGTATTTAAATGCTTAAATAGACTTGCACCTCCATATCTTTGTCAGAAGTTTAAAACCAGATCGGAAATGCACAACTGCAACACTAGGAATAGGGATTGCCTACATATGCCACTCTGTAGGACGGCTGCAGGTCAGCGCGCATTTACTTTCAGAGGCCAAAAGCTGTGGAATAGTCTCCTAGATGAGTTTCAGTCTATCACTAATTTAGATGTATTTAAAGCAAAAATGAAACAGCATTTTTCAGGGATATTTTTGGAAAACTAAGTTTTAGATATTTGACATTGTAAATTAAGCTGAAAAGCGTTTTTGAGGAGATTAATAAAGTTATTATTATTATGTAGTCCCTTCCGAAGAGGATCGAGACGTTTCGAATGCACTACATACTGTGAGTCTTCTTCACTCTTCAGGCGATAAGGTCTGCTAGATATTCGTCACCTCAGGAACTGTTATGCTAAGCTGTAATTGGATGATACAGGCGAACAGGCGAACAGGCGAACAGGCGATCAGGTCGACTAGATACGGCGGAAACTGAGGCAATGTGTAAATAAAGTGTCTTGTCCAAGGAAAAGAGATGATGAGCTGGACTAGATCTCCGATCGAGACCTTTCCATCCGGGGACCTGTTCATTGATCTCTTGGCCACGTTGTCTTTGAATATGCAAAAACCAAGAGATTGTGAACAGTTTATAATCTCATAGCAGAAAAGAAAAAAAAAACACTTATAGAAATATGTTTTTTTTTTTTTTCAAGGGAAGGGAGTTTTGTATATCTGGGCCACTGGCAATGGTGGAGCCAGTTACGATGATTGTAGCTGCGACGGTTATACGTCAAGTATCTACACTCTGTCTATCGCCTCTGTGAGCGCCAGTGGATGCAAAACGTTTTACGACGAGAGCTGCCCCTCTACCATGGGCGTGGTCTTCACCGGGGATGTTGGTTTGCAGTGCAGTAAGCGAGAGTCCTACAGCCATCTTGTAACTACTTCTCTGTTTCACAAGTGTGTGACATCGTTTTCTGGGACATCCTGTGCGGCTCCCTTAGCAGCTGGAATCTTTGCGCTGGTTTTGGAGGCAAATCCTGACCTCACTTGGCGAGATATGCAACACTTGGTTGTTCAAACTGCGCGGAAAAATGAGCCTGACAACCCTTCATGGAGCACGGTAAATCATCTTTTAGTTGTCCTAAGGCAGCGTCTCAGTAAGGAAGACTCGAACAACACTGAATTGTAACAGTTTTCCCGTTTCCTTCCAGCGCAGATGAATAGATCCGTTCTTGTTATTTAATAGTCTCAGCAGTTAAACCTCAGAACCTGCTCACTTCCTGTCTTTTGTTGTTTTGCAGAATGGTGCTGGGCATAAATACAGTCGTTCCTATGGGTTTGGTGTATTAAATGCGGAAGATTTAATTAATGCAGGAAAGGAATGGGAACATGTCGGTACTCAGCTGAAATACACACTCCGCGGACTGTTGACACCTGACACAGCAACTTTACCATCCAAGGGAGAGGTGGAACTGAAGGTAAAAATGTTGTTTACTGAATTGATCGATCAATTCCAAGTCGCTTATCATTTCCATGCCCTAACCTCATCATCTCTGATCACAAATAGCTCATCAATGACAACGAAGACATCGAAAAACTAGAACACGTTCAGTTCAACGTATCAATAGACCACCGTCGCCGGGGGGACCTGGTGATCGATCTCATCTCGCCCAGCGGCACCACTTCGCGACTGCTGGCCAAGAGGCCAGGAGACGACGGAACACGATTAGCATACTGGCCTTTCATGACTGTGGAATTCTGGGACGAGAACCCTCGAGGCGAGTGGACCGTGAAAATCCGAGATGAGAAGGTAATAAAATGGTATATTTTTGGATGAAAACACGTATGACTAAGCCACAATATTGGTTTTAGATCTACATCTGATTGGTTGAAAGGGCGGCGCGATTTTGCTAAGAGGAGGAAAACTTAATAAGTAAGTAACTTTATTTCGACTCAGGTTGATGAGGCTGATTAAGGCCCCAAGCAGCACATGCTAATATACCGTGAAAAGTATAAGAAAATAACGAAAAAAACAATAATTCAGCATATCGAAAATAATCAGTTAATAACTAATTTTCTAACTACTTTTATTAAATGAACAATTCTAACTCTTAAATTATAACAGAGGGAGAAATCTCAGAAGACCGTGCATTACAAATGTAGCTCTCTTACAGCATTCTTAAATACCTTAAGAATTATCGTTGAGCGTGATTCATCTGGCAAGGAATTCCACACTTTGGAACCAATAAAAGGTGTAGATTTTAAGCCAAAGTTTGAAGTTTTCTTACGTGGGATTACGAGCTTGTTAGCGCCTCATAAGTTTTTCAGATTATTACGTACGACGAACAAGTCGCTTATATATTTCGGTAAAAAGACAATTCCAAAAAAATTAACTCTAACTTTGAATAACCTTTGACATTTAGTTTCAAATACATATATACAAAGAATTACGTTACAAATTGTTATCTTTTGTTTTATTTTCAGTCTGAAGACGACTACTCTCCAAGACGCCATGACATATTTTTTGACGAAGGAGAATCCAGAGACGAACCGAGCATCGCAAATGATCTTTCCCATGGTCGCTTTAAGGAAGATTACATGAAGCTGTCAAAGCGATCGTATGAAAAACGTCACGAAAAGTTTCCTCAGCGGAGCGAAGACCAACCCAGTTTCCAGCGCGAGCTTACTCATGGACGGTTTAAGGAAGATTATATGAAGTCAGTAAAAGGACCAAGACAACCCATTAATGTAGCTTCTGACGAGTCGTCAATGTGTTCACATTCAAAGTCACTTCAAGGGCATATAGCTGGGTGCGTTAGAAATTGGTCTCTTGTTATGTATGGTACCGCCTGAATCTAATAATAGCGGGTCAAAGTAAAAATCTTCTAGAAGGGGATCGTCGTAGGGGATTCAGAGCCTGCAGAACCTGCAGAACGAGTTAAACTTTTTGTCGTTTTTCAGTCGAGTTAAAAGAACTCAAGGAAGCGCGTGGAAAACGCAAAAGCGAGTCGCGCTCACAAGTGACTCGCTCGACCTTCCGCTCGCTTCAGTACGTCCGAAAAACGCACAAAAAGAGGGAAAATTGATGCTTGTTCTGCAGACTAGAGGGGTTGCCCCTTCATCTCTAAAGATATGATTAACATTTATCTATTGTAGCTGTAACTCTTCAAACTCCTGTCCAGGCTCTCTTCTTCGCGTTCCTTAGAGAGAGGCCTGGGCCGGGAGTCTTATACATTTCGTGCAGATTTGTTAGTATATCAAGATAATACCTTCTAGCCGATAAGTTTAGCTGTTCCCATCACCTTTTACTGAATTAGCTATCGATAGTGTATAGATAAGTTGTATGTTAATCACTTTCAGGCGGTAAAGGACTTAAAACGGAACGATAATCTCGAGGAGAGTTCCATTTGGTGTAAGGATCCTTTGTAATTTATCTTCTCGTCTTCTTGGGATGTTAAAATCAACGACCTATAATGTTTTTCAATAGTTCATGGATTGAAGTGAGAGCTTCATCGATAACAATATTCTAGGGTTTTACGTAAAACGATACTTTCCCTGCGTCGTATTTAAATAATTGTCAAATTATTGGATATGTTTGAGATTTACAATCATTACAGTAAGGCTAAATTATCCTTGGGGAAAAAAAAAACATTCGCGTATCGCTTAGCCGGATGTAGGAGGCGTCCTGTTTTCCATTTGAGTTATTTTTTTCACAGCGAAACTTAAGAAGAATTACTTTTATTTATGAATGCAAAGAAAAATTTAGCCTTCTCCAGCTATTAGAATTTCAATTTTGAACGAATAATTTTCATAATCGAAAAACGAGCTTTTCACGAAGGGTAAGGGGCTGGGTAGCAATGGGGAGGAGGGGAATTCTTATTTATTTGTGTGAATTGTTATACGTTGACGAAAGTCAATTGAAATTCAATTTTGTTTTTCGAAGGAACCTTTTCGCAATTAAAGGAGTAAATATTCATAGCTCTACCGCGCAAAGTTTTTAAGATAAAATCTTTTAAGTTAGAGTCTTCAGTGACTTAGTATTCGACTGATAATCTGAACTAAAACTGGTGATCCAAGGGACCCGGATTTTATTATTTTTTCATTAAGCCTGCTTCCATGAATTTCAATTTGCGTCTTTCATATTTTCAATATCAAAGAAACCTCGAATGCTATACTGTCAAATAAACAATCGTAGGACGAACCAAAAATTATATTTTCTTCTTTGAAGCCACACGTGGTAAACGGCAACTTTGTATCATATATATTTATAATTTTCTGTAAGTTAAAATGGGTGTTATCAATTAGGTAAAATAAAACATCGTATTAATAATAGTTTAAAACTTCTGATTTTTTAAGGCATTCTCTGAGTCCTTGATTGATTGAAAGTAATGATTTTTTAATTGTGTTGCTCGTACGTTTTTTGTCTTCAACGGCATCGTTCTCGAGACTTTTGAAATTTATTTAAATCAAGATATGTCAACGAGATTTCATTCGCGTCAAGTCCCAAATTTTGCATCGTGGAACACGTAAAATTTCCAGAAAGTTTAATGACCTTTCCCGTATTTGTTTTTGGACAAAATCTTTTCTTCGAAGTTTATAATTTCTTCAAGCCTTGCTCGAGGAAAACTCTTTTCATGAAGCTGAACCTTCTGCCGGTCACCTGGACGTGTGGGCTTTATTTGGGTTCTGTGATCTGAATATCATTCATACACTGACAGATCCAGATGGAGGGTTAAGGGGTCTCTTTAAAATTTTATGAAACGCTTTTTAATTCTCAGTATAAAGAGAATCGTTTAAGCTTCGAATATAGCGCGCATATTGATCTATTTTGCCCTTCAAGAAGCCGAATTGCAATCGTTTTGAAGTTAATTCAGGGAAGAAACCGTTAGTTCGTCAATTAGTAGAGTTAGTACTTCGGCTATTGAAGCCAAATTTCTCTGAACTTCGTCTACCAGAAAAAGAGGCCTACCCGAAGAGAAAGATTCACGGTTTTGTGGAAATTTCACTTCAGTGCTCAGCTGTGGTTGATTGATAGATAGTTTGAAGTGATTGATTTCCTGGCTAAATGTGTCACAATGATTTGTGTGTGCTGAGAAAGGAAACTAAATTGTCCACGGTAAATACTGTTGCTTTTCGACCTTCTCCATCTCAGCAAAAATACCACGGATGCACACATGACCACAGTGGCAAACGTGACAAGGCAGACATGTCGCAAAATCACAGGATGTACGTAGAATTCAGTGGCCTTTACGTTTCGAATGCCTCTATTTGCTAATTCTACTCCATGTTAAAATTTTTCGATTATTTCGAGTTTCTCACTCAAAATTTATCTAAATTTTTTTTTACCTAATTTTCGGAAATGTACACGACACGACACGACAGCGACGTGGGGCTTGTAGATAACAGAGCATTTCCTTACACGTCAATGGTTTTCTAAAGCTCAGCGATCTCAGTCTTCCATTTCAATTTTCTGGATTTATCCGTTGAAGCCTCGAGGAACTCCACTCGTGTACTTGAAAGTCAAGAAACGGTTTAGAACAAAAATATGCCTTAATTCAAGGCTAGCTTTATATATTACAAGTTTGATCTAAATGGAGAGGGGATGTTGGTGAAGCAGGGTAGTCCAAAGATACAACAATATCATTTTTCTTCTCGTCAGATATATTTTTTCAATTAGTTTCTGTTGTTGTCAGCTATATATTCCGTTATAAACCCCTCTTGAAAAAAGCTTAAATTAGTGACAGTCTTGTTTTCTTATCACTAAACATTCTGTGGCTGAATGAGGAGAAAAGTAAGCCGGTTCACCGTGGCAAAATATTGGTAGATTTAGCTTCTCGGAAGAGACGAGTCACCCAACTTTGGAAACTGCTTTACTTTGCTGTAGGTTCAGGTTTGTTTTCATCTTTTTAACTACGTGGCTTACTCCTGTTTAGTTTGAGACTTTTATCAGATTCGGCGACAACTCTAGCATCAAGAAAAATGTATTATCATAAATCATGCCGTTGAAGCGGGCACCAGCTGACTCAATTATTTCGGCTTACACGCATCATCTAGCATCGTAAAAAAACTTGATTTACACTCGTAAAGAGACTAAAGTTCCTTCATTAATCTGAAACTGGTTTTTAACGGTTTGAACGCAGTCCTCAATTCGCCCTTTTTCCACTAACGTGCGACGATTTTCGAAATCAATTTGAAAATTAATATAGTGTGGGATGACATTACCGCTTTGTTTCGTACCTCCTCTATTTTACATGAAAAAGAAGACCATTAATGTTTTTGAAATTAACCTGACTTCCTACTCACGATAGCTTCAATTCATGTCTCGTATAAACATGAAAGTTCCTTCCTAAGTATTGAATACGCGACTTTTTTTTATCAGCTCGGTTGAAAAGGAGCACCTTTTCTCGAAGTTTTTGTTTTCCGTTTCTATTTATCGCCATCTTCACTCGCGTCGCGCAAAGATCAGCTCTTATCATTTTCACTTTCCTCGGGCATTGGCTGTGAGTGACAAACACAAACAACACACAGCTGCCCCTAACACTTCGCAAATTGTGTTTTTTAGATTTCTTTTTTACTGAAATTGGAAAATTTTATCAGTATTCTTCCTCGAATAGTAAAATTACACCTTTTCCCTTCTTAAACTCAGGTAAGAGAAAATTAACAAATTTAAATTCACGAAGAAGATTGCTTCTATGTCAGCATATTCGCTTTGATGATGATTTCGCAATTTTCTCAACAGCTGGGACCAAAGAAATATATTTTCAAATTTGAAGGAGAATGTAACAGGATATATTTTTTTCTCCTCTCACATAAAATTGACAGTGCTTGGCGCTTTTCTGGATCAACTTATCTAACTTTTGTAACGAGAGTAAAAACTCTCGTCGACCATTGCATTATTTGTTTTTTGCTCAAACTTTAAATACACGATTGCAGATTTATTTATTCAAGTGCTGTCTTCCCGTCTGCCTTGAAATAAAACTTTCTCGCTGATTAGTAATCCTGTGTCTCTTTATTTGCATTCTGTCGATTAATCTTCCGCGCTCTTAATATTTTTCACTCCCTGCCAACCAATGAAATGTAGCGTAACTTCCAACAATTTAAGAGGGGAGGGGATGTTGAAATACATCAATTTTAATATCGCACAAATTACCCATAAGTGCGACAAATTTAGAAATTTCAACGACTTTTCTCAGCAAAAATGCAAACATTAAGCTCAATTGCGAGAAAAGCTTTTAGACGTTGACGAATTATTGTATATATGTTGCAAAGGAAAAAGGCCACGGCTGTCCTACCCGGGATTATTTCCTGTTTCGGCTTTTGCGTAAGGGTGTTGAGAAAATTGACAGCCAGTCTGTATGATACCTTTCGGGCGCAGTGAGTATATTTAGCCGAAATTTCAACTGTGGTTACTACGATTGTTAGGAACGGAGAACTTTCTCCGTGGCGGAATCCTTTCCAATGATTCTTAGAAAACTTCTTTTCACGTCGCTACTATTTGTAGCAGTTTTGATTCTACCTGTCTTTCAGCATGAAATCGAAGAATTTCAAGATTATGAGCATCTCGGTGACCTCCGAGAAGACGATAGGCCTCTGTTCACAAATATCTGGGCGGTCGAATTAGACGAAGACGACTCCAACCTTGCTGACGAAATAGCGAGAAATTTTAATTTGAAACACAATGGTAGAATTGGTAGCTTGCCCCGTATTTTCAAGTTCATGCACGAAGGAACAAGCGCTCGTTTGAAGCGACGAGCGACAGAGAGAACTCGTCAACTCAACGATCATCCAAGGATCGTATGGGCCGAACAACAGCGCGTTCTAGAACGAAACAAGCGCGACTTCTTGCCAGAGAGTTACCTAAGAGAACGAGAATTCGAAAGGAAATACCGAGAACAGCGATACAAGAGAATATTTAATGATCCTGGATGGGAAAGGCAATGGTATTTGGTGAACTGGGGTCAAAATGATGAACATTTAGTCGGAGCTGATATAGGGGTACTCGATGTTTGGCGTCGCGGTATAACAGGTAAAGGGGTTGTTGTCAGCATTCTTGACGATGGTTTAGATCACACACATCCCGATTTGAAAAGAAACTATGATCCACACGCAAGTAAAGACCTAAATGACGATGATGACGATCCATTTCCGAACGACAGCGATCCGTATAACGCGCACGGTACGAAATGCGCTGGGGAAGTAGGCGCTCAAGAAGATAACAACGAATGCGGAGTCGGAGTAGCTTTTAACGTCAACCTTGGCGGAATTCGAATGCTCGATGGTACAGCAACAGATTTATTGGAAGCAAGCGCTTTAGGCTTTCGACGTGACTACATCGATATTTACAGTAATTGTTGGGGGCCGAAAGACGACGGAAAAACTTTTGGCAGGCCAGGACCGTTGGGAAGGCAAGCGTTTGAAGATGGAGCTAAGTACGGTCGCGGAGGTAAGCTAAACTAATTTGGCAACAGCCATGTAAACTTAATTTTCCTACATAAAGATGATTCATTAGTTCTTGTCAAAGTCCATCGGGAGAAATATTTTACTTAAAAGATTTTACGAGGCAAATCAAGTTAATGTTTTTCATGTAAAATAAATCAACTTTAGATCGCTTGTGTCAGATTTAGTATTCAGAAAGTTGAATGTATGATCGTCATTAATTATTTAAACCTGTGAGCCAGGTTTTTTTTTGATTATCACAGAAACTAGATTTATTATATCGGAGTGGTTTTTTTTCGATTGAATATTTTTTGCTGTATTTTCTGACAGAATTTTCATATGGCTCTCTTTTTAACTTAAAATTTAAGGATTTATATTTTTCTTTCTACTATTATTCCGTATTTTATATTCCGGAGGTTCACTAAGTATGCGTGGGTGTCTAAAAGTTCTCTTGACGTATGTTATTTCGTAGATCTCCCACTCGCATTAAAATCGTTCACAGCTTTTCTATTGTACACAAAAGGAAATAAGGAAGGAAACCTTCGTTTGTAATTACAAATTAAATTAAGAACGACATTGTTTTGATATTGCCAATGCTCTTCGCTGAAAATGAGAGTGAAAATTAAGGGGTTATCGTTAGGGATCATTATTGCTGTATTATCGTACCTGTATCGAGGCTCAATATTCGAAGTCGGAAGTTCTTTAACTTTTTTTTTTTTTTTCGTTAAAGAGTTTTCTACTTTAAAGGTTAGCTGATGCTTTTAAAACCACAGCAAAATATTTTTACCATGGATGTTTTCTAAGAATTATTTTCCTTACACAACAGCTGCAGGCCCTTGTACTGTTAACATAAATATACTGCTAGAAAAAGACTTAAAAATCACAGGGCTCATTGCTGGCAGAAATGCCTTAGTTCTACAAGATTCTACTGTTTTGTAATGGGTAAAACAATACAGCTCTAAATAAAGCACTCATTGTCTTAGAGTGAATGAAATTCAGCCATCGCATTTCTTAACTTTTGACCGCTGAGCTTAAATGAAGCCATCACAAATTGGTAGTAATAATTAAGTTTACTGATCTGACAGCATGTCAGCTTGAAACACAAATTGAAAACTTCCCTTTCCACACAGCTGTGTCTATCTATTTAGTGCTTATGGGAAAACTACATTTTGTTTTTTCTTCAAGCCTCCTTTTTTATTTTGATACTTTCCTTACTGTTTCAACCAGCAGAAGATAATATAAATTAAGAGTGACTAATCAATTGGAAATTGAGGACTGTCCAAAGTGAGAAGGTTGTAAGTGAGACTGTCTTCAGGTTTTAACCCTCTAAGCCCTAAGGGTGATAAGCATCTAATTTCTCTTCGCAATATCACTACTGAGTCAGAAGTTAGGGTCATGAGAATAAAGGAAATGATCACCAACTAAAGGAGGTCTTGATTGTTGAACAAATTCTCCTTGTCAGCACCTTAGGAAATGTATAGAGAACAGTATGGAGAATATGCATACTGATGTTAGGGTGTAAATGGTTTTTGTAGTCGGCTGCCACTATAAAGCAAGTGTCCGACAGTGCAAACACTTCCCTGTTTTTACTATGAAGAAATCCTCAAATACCCTGTCACTATAATAGGAATACCTGAAAATGTTTATTATTTCTCTCCAGGGAAAGGAAGTATATTTGTTTGGGCCACTGGTAATGGAGGTCTTGCCGATGATGATTGTAATGCAGATGGCTACACATCTAGTATCTATACGATATCTATTGGAGCCGTCAGTCGATATGGCCTGTCCACTTACTACGATGAGCAGTGTTCATCTACAATGGCAGTAACCTACACAGGAGACACTCACCGGGGTGGCTCCAGTGAAGCTGATTTAGTCACCACTGATCTTAAGCATAAGTGCACCACAAGGTTCCGTGGCACTTCATCAGCTGCTCCACTGGCTTCAGGTATCTTTGCTTTGGTTCTGGAAGCAAACCAAAATCTGACCTGGCGTGATCTTCAACACATTGTTGTGAAAACAGCATTGAAGACCAGTCCAAAAGATGAAGGATGGGTTGAGAATGCAGCAGGTTTGTTGGTGAATCACAAGTTTGGATTTGGTCGTCTTAATGCTGCCAAAATGGTGAGTGAAGCAGTGAATTGGATGCCAGTTGGGGAACAGCAGAATTGTTCAGTAAATGGCCCTATAAAGGATCCGTATATTCCAATTCGAGGTACTCTGGAGTTGAGCCTCAACACAGATGCATGTGACATCCAGAAACTAGAGCACGTACAGGTCACTGTCAGCTTCAGATTATCCAAGGCATTCCGTGGTGATATCAGCATTGATCTCACCTCCCCAGGGAAAATGACAAGTCAGTTACTTTCTGTTCGCCGCAATGACAAGGACACGTTTGGACTGAATGACTGGGCTTTCATGACTGTGCACTTCTGGGACGAGTCACCTAAAGGAACATGGATCCTAAGATTCCACCACGACAAGAAGTCTTCAAGTGCACCATCAAAACCAGATGTTGAGGAAAGGGAGAAGGTTCTTATACAACATGACCTGTTGAAAGCGCGCCGGGATGAGATCATGGATGACTACGACAGCTACCATGATGAGATACATCATGGCCGGTTTGGAAAAGATTACATGCGTGATCAAGTGTTCCCAGTCGCTGAAGACGAGGGTGATCTAGATAGTTTATTGCAACAGGAGGATGAAGGCTCTGATTCAGCCAAAGGATATGCAGGCACAGTGTCAAAATGGGTGTTAACACTCTATGGAACCAGTGATTAATGTGACACAAAGAAAAATTTTTCCTACTCAAAAAAGTTTATTTTATCAAGTGACTGAGTATATTGCAACTATTACTAATAGTCTTTCTTGGTTCAAATTAGGTGTGTTTGGGGTGTGGTTAATTTATTTCTTACAAGGTATTAGTTTGTGTAAAGTTGGGGATTGTTTTAGTGGTTTATAGAGACTCTAATTTTTTGGAAAAACAAAGTTCATTTTATTATTTATATAAAAAAAATTTATTTTGATACCATATGATGACTTAAATGGTTGATTTGAATTTTTCAGTTGGTTTGCCTCCAGCTTAATTGTGGCAGAGCACATCTCATGAATTTGTACAACAAATATGTTGGAGTCAATATATTATCAAAACATTTAATTATGTTAATTAAAATTGTCAGAGATTCCTCTGCAATTATTTGTTTGTTCCAGGGTCTGTGATCCTGGAGAAAAAATTGAGAAGAGAAATACTCACTCTGCAGTTTGTAAATAAATTTGCTGTACTAAGGAATATAATTTAACACAAAATTACTAACTTATAAGTAAATGCTTATGTTATTCTCATTAACATATTAACTAACTGCCTTGTAAATAAACCTCTCAAGTATGTTATTAGGTTTAAGGTAATTAGTGGTAATTATTTTATCTCTGTTCTTATTATTTGCAATTTAGTGTAGTCCTGATGCAGGCTTTTTCTGAAATGCTGTGGCCCAATTGGTGAAGCTGTGATCCCATTCCAGCCTGCTTTGCCACCTTGCTGGTCTCTAGCCACTTTACCAGTAGTGCTGCAGCGTAAATGCAAGCTTACTTGCTTGCTTAATATAGTAAACTTCAAAGTGCAGATATTTTTATGAGCTAATTCTAATAATCACATCACAGAAACATAATCATTCTAAACAACACTAACAAGGAAAATAATCAGTGTACAACATAACATTGAAAGTGTACTCCTTTAACAATGCTAAGTATATGATTCAAACAAGGAAAAACAAATTTATGTTTAAAATTCATTGTAATGGCATCCTAATTTGAGGAGGAATGAAAGACTGAGGTTTAGTTCTGCATCCTCTGCTAAATGGTGCATTAAATTGACAGAAGACCGGACATGGCTATGAATGTTTTCCCAAACGCTTGAGTGGGTAACAAAATAACACATTTCTAATTTAATTTGGCATTCAAATTGTCACAATCTAAGGCATGCTCGAAAAAAGCCCTAAGTGACCTCTCACACACCTCTAGATTCTCCTTTCAACCTGTCCTACATTCGCTTGTGAAACACAGGGAGAAGTTCATGTTTCATCAAGGGTTACTCAGGGCTTTATTCCAGATGCCCTTATGTTTATCGTAATGGGTGGTAAAGGGCTAAAATAGAAAATAAAAGTAGTAAATAATAGCATTCCAGCACCAGATGAAACTTTTATTTTGTGACATTCTTCAATATGCTACTATGTTGAATCCTTCTAAAGGTATTAACATGATGTAATGTACTCAGTTATGAAATAGTAGCAATAAAATGAAATCACATCACTGCATTCCTGTGCTGCAGTTTCATATTAGAGTAAACCTGGTAGGATAGCAATTCTATGGTTTCTTTGAAGTACAGTCAAACAGTCTCTGCAAAAACCAGTCTGTAATGTTGTGGGGTAATGAGCAGTGATAATACATTTACTTTAACATCGCAACACCCACTGTGCCACAATGGCCAGGCTACTAAAGTGTGTCCTAAATACACCATACTCTCCATACAGTTCTCTTTACATTTCCTAAGGTTTGAGAATGAGAATTTGTGTAACAATCAAGAGCCTTCTTTAGTTGGTGATCATTTCCTTCTTTCACTAGACCTTAACCCTACAACTCCCAAGATCTCATTAGTAATTCTCCTTACTGTCTGCCATACAGTTCTTGTGATGTTTGTGTGGAGAATTTGGTATTGGATTAACTTATATTCCCTTAATTTATATTTTTCTTTATTCTCATTACTTGTCTGCTTGATATTGTATTGATATCATGAGGAGAAATTCAGTCTTGGTCACTTGTGGGAGTTAAAGGATTGAGGTTTCAATCAGGGATGATATTGTAAGGAGAAAGTAGATGCCAGTCACTCTGGGGTTAAAAGAGTTTGAATGGCCTCCTGACATCAGCTGAGTTTCATGCAATGTGGAACTGTTTATCTCTTTGATATCATTAATCTTAAATTCCCTTGTTTACCTTTGAGGCATTTCAGTTACTGTAACCAAAAAAGATAATAAACTTTCAGAATCCCTGTGCATTTTTTGTCTAGGACTTTCTATTGACATCTCTAACCTGAACTCATGTAACCTACACCAGATGTGAGAAAAGTTTTCAAAACCAAGCTAATTTTTTTTCCTTGATTGAGGAAAACTACACAAAGTTAAACTTAAAGACAATTAGTTTTATTACCATTAATTGTGACAATTCCCCATTATTATTTCCATTTTTGAGAGAAATAAAAGTTCTGAATCAACTTTGAAAGAAGTGAAAATTCTAAATTAACTTTGAAAGAAGTGCTAAATCACCTCTTACATTTGTAAATATGAGCTGTCAAATATGTACTAGAATTTTGCCTAATTTGACAACATTTTGTTCTTCGCAGAAGAAAGAAGCTCATGATTTTGATTACAACTTTCACATGGCAAATGAGACAAAATATTTCAGCTAACATAAACTAAACAAGTTAAAACAACTGCAATTTATATTTGTTAGAATGATCATTGTAGTTGTTTTTGGATTGTAACTTATTAAGCAACTTTTTTAAATTAATCTTGGCATACTACACATGAATTTCCATATCAACTATCAAATAGTATAATATTGTAGATCAGAATACCTAAACTTGTTAGTGAAGTGTTACTACAGAATGTTGTTTACTAATCTATCAAAATTGTTGCACTTTTTAGAATAATTCCTGAAATAAGTTACATGCCATTCTTACTAAGTTTCACATTAGCTAAAAATTAACTTTATGTGAGATTAATACTTCTTTAAATATCAACATTTATCTTAAACATAAATAAAAAAGCTGTACTTTTAGCTTCTTAAGACATTTATAACAAACACAAAAACAATTTGTTGGCTAGCAATCAGGTCTTGAAGGTACTCAGGCAGGCTGTTACCTCAACAAACTATTTCAAAAAAGTGATTTTGGTAAAGCATGAAGAGGTATGAATTCTGCAAGTTGTTCTTCATTCTTGATAAAAACAATCTTGTTTGATGTCACCTCATGTAACCTAATGAAGTGAATATAGAAGCAAATATCAGTAATGAATAATTATATTCAAAACAGACACCTGTCCAGGTTTTTTTCAATCTTGGATCTTCTGGGGCAATCCCCTCCTCAAGTGTTATAGTTGGTTCTAAATTTCAATGAAACTAACCACAGTCTGATAAGTGCCCAACATCCAGTGAAAATAAATGGTGAATTTACAATCAAGCACTTTCCAAGTCTTTCAGGATATCGTCTGGACAGAAGCCAAATGAGCTGCTTTACAAATCCATAGTCCATGTTGCTAAATGTGAAACCCTATGGATCAAACAAAGCAGCATTCACTTTACTTAAAATGTGATAAGGGCTAATGACTATGGTAAAGCAGACATGGTTTGATGCTACTCATGCTTTACAGATTTAATGAAAGTAACCAAAGAAGCTACAATTCATAGACCCAACATTTCAACACTCCTTTCCTGGGTCTAGGAGTGTTGAAATGTTGGGTCTATGAATTGTAGCTTCTTTGGTTACATTCATTAAATCTGTAAACCAGAGTAGCATCAAACCATGTCTGATTGTCCACCTGGTTGCCATGTGAACTTTAATATAGACTATGGTAAAGATTAGCATAGTTGGTTTTTCTACTTCCTGAATTTTAAAGTCAAACAGAGTCAGTAATATTAAATAAAACTAATAATTCAGTTTAATTTAAAAAGTAGCTGGCTTATTAGTAACCTACATGTAAGTAACCAATTAATTCTGTGTACTGCTGGTTTTAAATGATAACATGATCAACTTACCTTTAAATCAAAGGTGATGCAAAGGTTGTCAATCACATCTTCGTCACATCTTCTTGTTGCCTCCTCCTTTAGACATAAGGAAACAATTCAGTCAGGTGATCTGTATTGAATGCTTTTTACTTGTTCAGTCATATATCTCAACCCCTAAACCCCAAAGAGTGACTAACATCTAACTTCTCTTTACAATACCAACCCTGAATCAAACCTCAAGGTCATGAGAATAAGGAGAATGATCACCAATTAAAGAGACTCTTGGTTGTTCTTATAAAAAAATTCTCTTTGTCAACACCTAAGGAAATGTATAGTGAACAGTATGGAGAATATACATACTGATGTTGAGGTGTAAAGAGTTAAAATTGTATTGATTACCCTGCTTATGGTGAACAACCACAACCATTGTCATGAGCAAGTTGTGGCCAGTTGATAACTAGGATCACATACCAAAATGTAAATAATGAACTTGGTGATGACATTTAAATCTCTGGTTCTTGCATCATGATTCCTTACTGTCACAAGAATGATAGGCCTACAGATATCAAAATATGTTGACTGAATTCAATGATCAAACAATGCTTATTTCAAATAAACACCCTACTCTAAAACTTAATGTTGATCACAGCATAGCTATTTGTAAAAGGTAGGAAAAACTGATCTAATGTTAGAGTGGGTTATAACTGACTCTTGGCGAGTCTATAGAGGGGGAGGGGTAAGGGGTTTCTTTGGTATGATAAAGGAGGAGGGGTGGGTGCCAGGGACAAAGAAGACAGGAAATGGTGGAAGGTTGTTTGAGGAGATAATGTCTGTTTCAGGAAACAAACATAACTAGCACAAAAAAATAGCAGTAAAACTAACCTTAAATAAATATACAACTCCTGACAAATAAAAGTATCAGAACTCACCTTCCTCTGTGATCTGGAAATTCTAACACTTCAGCCTTATCCAAAGCAATTTGTTCTTCAATATCATCATCCCCTCTGCTTAAACAGTTGACTCCATATTCTTCTCTCCAGTTTATGTACTTAATCAAGGCAGTGTATGCTTCATCTACATCATCAAATCCCCTCAAAAAGCGTCTCAGGCAAGAATCTGTCTGAGCCTGAAATAGAAATCACATAAAAAAGTGTTCCTTGTATGACAAGGTTTTCACTAGAAAACATAATAGATACATGATCTGAACTGAGGAGGGGAATTTATTAAATTACCACCCTTCTAGAGCACTTCAGAAACAGTCCCCCAAAGACCTGAAAAATTTGAACATTTAAAAATTTTGAGAAGTGATTTCTAGAATTTTGCAACATATTTGAGAACCTTCTTTAACCTTAAAATGGACATTTGGATCAGTTCATAGAAAATCAAATTCCAATTTGCTAAGCACCAGCTTCAAATAACAACCAAGGGTAAGATGGCTGTCCTGACAGGAGATGCAGGCCACTAAATTAATTTATCTATTATTCATTTATTTATTAATTCCTCAATAGTCATCTTCATGTTAACTAGAAGCATAAATTATGCCATATATAAATTCCAACCTATTTTTAGAAATGATGAAATGAAATTCTAGAAAGCACTCCAGCAAAAAGGAAAATTTTGTGTCAATCTCAGAATGTAAGAAGAGTTGAGTAATAATTATAGCTTTTCCAACAGTTTCTACACGCAGTCAGAATCAGAAGAAACTTTGTTTCTGTTTCATTATTTTTTCCATTTTATGTTAGGAAAATAATTAACAATATTTTCTCTGCAATTTTGACTTTAAAAAATGAAAGAAGGAAAGACGTTTTTAAAGTAACACCAAACAACACAACAAATTACTTAAGACGTATCCACAACTTGCGTATGTTTGCTTTAGTACATATTCTAAACAATTTTTTATTTACCTGTAAAAACCATTCTCTAATTTTCAAAATACAAAGAAATTGGATTTTCATCGCTAAATACAAACCTTTCTTAGTTTGACAGATGTAAATTACTTTAATTACAGAAGGAAAGTATACGTAGCCTCCTCAAAAGAAGAGGCGCCACAGAATTTCGCACCAAACATTAAGCTGATCGAAAAAAAATACATACCTTAAGTGGTTCTGCATCAAAGAGTGGCTGAAATTAAAAAAAAATAAGTTGCAAAATATATTAAACTAAATAACACTTCATGTGACGTCTCGATTTCGTTTCTAGGCTTTCGAAAAAATCCCAAAAAAATTTGACAAGGTAATTCATTTCGTGAAATTTATAACCGGCTAAGATCCTGAAACTCACGGGTTTTGCACAAGTCAGACTGTGTTCTATAACAGTCACGTAGTAGGAAAACGCGACAGAAATTAATGTCTGATTCTAAAACTGAAATAAATGGAAAATACATTTGGCGGGATCTTAATTGCTAAATTTACCTGAAGGCGATTTTTCAATTCTTCGAAGTTTTCTTCGAATGACGTACCGGCGATCTCTATAGACATATTTCGCTCAACCTTGCCATTTTTCGAGTCCCATTTCAGCATTTACGAAAAACCAATGTACGAAACTAAGGTGTCTGTATCCAGATAATCAATAATTTATCCGGAAGCCTCAAAGGAAAAACCTGTGCGTTGTTGATTCACCCGGATGGCAAACATTAGGACCACAGACAAACACAACTTGTGCGGCTTGGAAATTTGCCGCGAACAATAGCATAAAAGGTAGAATCTGATTGGCTGACGAAACAGAGAGGAATCAGACAACAACTTTTCTTACATGAAGCCCCACGTGCGTTAGAATCAAAGATGGCGGCTGCTACGTTGGAATACGAAGCGATCGATGCTTCTTCGAATGTGCAGCCCCTTGTTGGTACGTCTTTTCAAAGATTGCTTTACTTTAGCATTATTTAGGTTCTGAATTCCTAAAATATTATAAGCGATATTAGCCAGCCGTTTTTATCGCAATCATGGTTGTGTCTTGTGTCTTCAAGCACTTTAACAAACTTGTCGCAAACTTTTCAAGCTGAAACTTTATTGTGTTGATATTTCAAGGATTTGTACGGTTCTTATGATTTTGGTGGTACAGTGAGTCCCTATGTCCTCCCTATGCCCTGGAAACTGCAGCCATGTTGAATATACAAAACTCATTTCAATGTTTCTTCCTTTAGTCAATTTCACGAATGGAAACTTAAAGCAAAACAGTGCGAGTAAAAGGATACGATTTGGTTGTTATCAGTGGGCGGATAGAGGAGATAAAAGAAAAAGACAGAGGAAAACTGTGGTATGCCATCAAAATATGAGAAAATATTTTGTATTTATGTAAAAGGCATTCTCAGCTCTGGTTAAAATTTTCCTTAAAAAGGATAGTACCCTAATTTCTTGGCCTCCATCCCAGAGCCCCTTGTGTTCTTACACTGTTGGTCACGTTTCTTGAAAGGGAATCAAATTGACCCCCAGGTATGACCAGCATTTAAATTGCCCTCAAAATATCACCTCTGACATTATGGTCACATTAATATCAGTGTCACACTGATGAAGGAAATGGTCACCAACGAAGGAAGCTCTTGATTGTCAAACAAATTCTCCTTTTCAACACTGTGGGAATGTATAGAGAACAGTATAGAGAATGTGTATACTGATATTGGAGTGTAAAGGGTTGATGCGGCATGTGAGACCTGAAAAGATATCCAAAAGTGATTGGAAGTTGTCCTTGCAGCAGAAATATGGTATTACGGGTTTCAGTCAGTGTCTGCGAGAAAACAACATCACAGACACAGAGTACATGTAAATAGTTAATTCTCTTGTGTTGATTTGTGGTCGGCTCCAAGATTGCAGAAACAGATGGCATGGAATACACTGGTTGCAACTTTGGGCAATTTTCAAGATCAAGCGGTCTTTGCAAGTGAGTGAAAATTATTTTCCAGATCATTACAGCTGTATCATGATTGACTTGTGGAGGATGCTATTGAAGATGTTTTTTTTATGTGTCAGTGACTTATGCTTTTCTATTTATAGTCTTTTATGTGATCAGAATCCATATTCACAGTCAACTGATCACTTGTGGTCTTCAGGCAATATTGGAATTAGTCTTAATTTCTTTGCAGGGTTTAATTGTTGCATCTTGCAACTGTAACCATTTATCAAGTAAAGAATTATCACATTAACAGAGGTTCTAAAAGAATATTCTGTAAAAAGAAGTAAAAAAATTGTACAAACCTTTCATAACAATCATTCATAATGCCTCAAAGTCATTGTCTTTTGAGCTGATGGAAATTGCTGAACATACATGTCTAATTGATTTTAAAATGTGCTATAGGTATGTTCTTGGCGTTTACAATGAAAGAACAGAAGTAATGAAGATGTATGACACTGAAATGGTCACACTTCAACCAAAAGTCCTGGGTAATAACAAATATCACTATTTACTGAATGATCATTTGTTTTATGTAATGGAAGATAAAATAGATCACAACTCTTAAATCTACATTGCAACTTGACATTTTTACTCTAAAGGTTAAGATTTTGATGGTTCTTAATTAGCAATTGTTTAAGTCCACTTAAGGTCTGTGTTTATGAATATATAATGCAAAGAACATGATCTAGTTTTTTTTTTCAAGGGTGACTTCAAAAGAATTGTAATACAATATTGTTTTATTGACTGTGATGAAAAACATTGCTAATGAAGTGTTATTATGTGTCAGCAGTATACAGGTAAAATATTCCATTCCACAATGGAAAATACTATATCAGACGATAAATGATTAACACCACATTGTTGTAATAATATACATATTTCAGCTACTGGTAAGCAAGCATTAGTGTCAAGCAAAATGACAGATGCTTACTTTCCTGTGTTCAATTCATTTTACCAATTAAAATCATAGATATAAATACTGGTAGTTATTTGTTTGGAAGTTTTTTTATCAACACCCAATTTATGGCAATATCAGAACCCTCAGATAGAAATTCACAATGAAATGAATAATGGAACAAAAATTTCTTTTGCATTTTGAGAAATCACATTGAATTTCTTATGGATGATTTTAAATTGATGCAGATTATCCATTATGGAGGGTGTGACAGTGGTAAAAACTTTTTCAGATACTGGAAGTACTGAGACAAACCAAGGAGAGGATGAAGAGGACAATAAAATTGATCTTACTTTTCTCCAAAAGGTTTGTTAAAGTAATCATTTGTCAGCTCATTCTTAACAATAGTTTTAAAGGCCTGGGGTTCATTTTATGCTCATGATAAGTTAAATAAAATCCTCTTCTTAAATACCAATCTATTTATCAGATAATGATTAACTAAATCAGGATCAAAAGCTAACTGGCTTGTTTGGTTCACATTTAGAATGACCTCCTAACAGAAGCTTTTGGAAGTAAAAGAAAGAAAAGGGCAATGGCTTCTCGACAGCGAAACAAAGTAGATGACACTGATCTGAATTTAAAAGTTTCTGACGTTTTAGAGTCATTAGCTAAGGAACCTGTCGAAGCAACAGGTTTGTGAATTATATGACATATCCTTTTTTTTTTTTGGACATCAGGAGACTTAATAGAGTTGAAAACACTCTTAGACTCACAGCCAAAGGCAAGAAACTTGGCAGACATGGCTTTATACATATGGCCCAGGTTGTTCAAAGCTGGGTAAAGGTAACCCAGGGTTAATGTGACATTTGATTGCAGGTCTGAAAGCTTTAAGAGAAAATTCAGTTCAAATCTTTTTGCTTGCAATTTTATCACTGGATGTTCTAAAAAGAATAGTGAAAATTTTCCCTAAAATACTTTTGAACAAAGAAATAAAGAAACCTAAATTAAAATTTAACCCTGGGTTAAAGCTAATCGGCCTTCGAACAACTGGGCCATGGTCAGTTGTCAGCGAGTTCTTGAAGCAGACAAGAGAGCTTGTTAACCTGCTCTCTGTTTCAATTTCTATAAAACAGGAGAAAGAAAGTTGCATATGAAATAATTGTGCTGTTTATTTAATATTTAGTTTTAGTCTAATTGCTTACTGTAGTTGGTAGGGGATTATGTGATCCTCTGTTATCCTCACTTGGCAATATTACAAATGGTCAATGTTTCTTTTTGTCAATGTTTTTGTGGACTAACATGAAACGAAAATAGTGCAGTGACTCTGGTTATCATCTTATTGGATGATGAAACTTTGGGACAAGAAAGGAAACTTCCTGAATGAAATAGGAGTTTGTAAACATATTTTTGTATTTTGATGTTGTGTTGATTGCAGATGGTGTAGAGCAGCAATCCACCATTCCTCCATATAATTTGAAGGCTACAACAGCAGCTGATGTATATAAATTAAATGATAGTATCCTTTTGGATGTGTTTTTACCCTCCAGTAAAACTGAATTTTTAAAAAATACCTTTTGAATTTTGTACACAATTGTTGCATTCGCATTTTCTGTTTTCAGCTCCTTCTTTAAGGCCCAAATTTCTTTGTCTACAGTTTGAGTCAACCCTTTAACTCACAAGATCTGACTGTAAATTCCCTCCTCTAGCTGCTACACATTTATTTGCAAATCAGATATGAGAATTTGGTGTTAGATCAAGATAACTTTAACCTGATAAGTTTGAGTATTCTCATGATGTGTTTGCTGGATAATGTATGGATATTATGGGGAGAAAATACATGTTAATCACTTTTGGGAGTTAGTTGAGCCTCAACCTTCCTTGTTTTTTCTTGTACTTTTACAAATTTCATTTTTATTTACCACTTTTAGTTAACTTTTTTCACTTGACCATATGTTTGAAAGGATTTCAAAATTTTCTACACTGAACAACTTAAAAAATTGGGACATGGATTCCTTGAATGGCTCAGATTTAAACTCTGTAGAACCCACAATTTCAAAGTATCTTTCACCACAGATGAGTACGGCTAAAAAGTTAAAAAATAATTAGTACATGTTGGTAAAAACATTTTCCTTAACTCATTTAAGTTATTTCTCCTGGGGAGTATGAAGCACTACAAAGAATTTCACAGGAAATCAAGAATGCAGACAAAGAGAAAATTTCCGAATGGAGAAATGAAAAGAGGTACAGGGAAGGTCTTGAAGGTGCCATTTGGCAATTTATGATCATGAAATGGTTGCAAGAAATAATAGTTCATCCATTAGGAAAAAATAGTCATGAGAGAAATAATGGAAAAAAAAGAAAGCTAGCTGGAAATCACTTTTGGAGGTTCACTTCAAATCTCATCTTGGACAACTAACAAGGGAATGAATTTTTTTAAAGGGAATGATAGATTATTGATAAAATTTTGTTTGTCTTGCATTTAATTAACTTCAGACCATTGTCAATAAGTAACGAAAACAATGCAGCATGTGGCATTACTGCCAGTAAAGTTCACCAGATGGGCAACTTGTGGTAGAAGTGAAGTCTCTAGAATTTTTATTCTATCCATTATGGTAGCCAAAATGGTTACAGCTTTTAGCAATGCAGTGATGTGTCTCCTTTATGAACTGAATCTCTGTCCTTTAATAATTGCAAGTAACGTATTCATTACATTCAACAAGACAAGGTATTTTAATGCTATTCAAATTCATAAACAGCGACTCTGCTTTTACAAACCTCCCTCAACAAGACAGGAACATGGAATCAATAACTTTTGGGTTGAATTTATTGACCTTCAAGAAAGCTTAATAATGGTATGCCTTCAACAAATTTCTCAACAGGTTCCCAGAATATGTACTTCAGCATATCGCTGTGATGTCAGTCAAGTCCACCAAGCGACTTCATCAATCATGTTGCCTTCTGTATTTATCATACATGATGACACTGTACAGTCTCAACTATCAGGACCTCAGGAAGAAAGGTAAATAGATAGGAAATGTTAGCAGATTTTTCTTAATCTTGCATTCTGTCAAGAAGCAAAATCTTATGTGATTTAATTAGTTTACTTAAATGTATTAAATTAGTCTAACTGAGTGACCCCCAAGACAGAATTTCTCCTCTACATTATCAATATCAATAAAATATCAAGGTCAGACAAAGTGATGAGAATAAAGAAAAACACATCAGTTACCATAGGAAATTATAGGTTAATCCAATGCATAATTCTCCCAAATAAACATCAAAAGAAATGAAGGAAGAAAGAAACAGATAAAATGTAAGAGATTTTTGTTAACTAATGTCAGATCTTATCCTGGTGATTTAAAGGGTTAATTCACTAACATGTATTAAATTAGTCTTACTCTTTGACCCCCACAATTGATCAGCATCTAATTTCTCCCTAAATTATCACCTGTGAATCAAATGTTAAGGTCATGAGAATGAAGGAAATGATCACCATCCAAAGAAGCTCTTGATTGGTACACAAATTCTCTTTGTTAGTACCATAGGAAATTTAAAGAGAACATTATGGAGAATATGTGTGCTGATGTTAGGATTCAATACCAAATGATTTCCTTATTTCAGATCCTTTACCTATGGTACCAGCTGGGATTAAGAAGAAACTGTTATCCTCATTTTCTTTGGAAAAGGGAAGATCTAGGTATGCTATGCCAAGAACATGTCCTCTCTTTTCAACAGTGATATAAAACTGAGTTAAAGTCATTTGCCATGTTTGATGTCAAGAATTATAACTCTTGTCGAGTCCCTCAACACCACAAAGAGGTGGGTAGAATCATTCTTCAGCAACTAGCCCCAATTGTTTTTAAGCTGAAAAGTTGCCTGGCATGTAAATATCCCATCCACTGGCGAGCGATTTATCAGATCTGGTGTTTGCTTGCATACACCAGTATGGAGTCATTGCCATACTCACCGGTTCATGTTTTAGTTAACTCATTGGAAAAGCTGTGGGGATAAGCAACAGCTAGGGCTTTGTGGCTTGTACGACTAAGGGGGTCAATGTCAGAAAAATTTTGCACCTACCCCTCCCTAACCCAACCACAATAAACTGATAACAAGTAAGGGACAATGTCGCATTAGGGGAGGGGTAGATGTGCAGTTTCTTCGATGCGGATATTGATCCGACTTAGTAATTGATGATCATTGATTCCTGAACAGAAATTTGTTTCTTTCCCCTGCAGGGCGGTTCCAAAACGACTGAAGGACAAGTTACTGTCGTATATATTAGTGTTGGCTTTGATGATAGATGAATTTTCATTAGACTTTGCAGTTATCATGAAAGACCTCAAGATGCCCATCCCAAGGTATTGAAAACAAAATACATGCTATTGTCACTGACACGAGTTTTTGTACTTTATGAGAAAACCAACCTTTAATAGTAATATGCAAGCAAGCTGGATCTCTACGAAGGCAATATACTTAAAAAGGTTATTGTTTTTACAGATTAACAAATCATCTGAAAGCAGTTGGCTGTATTATATCATCATCGAGAGTGGGGTCAGGAAAGAAAAAAATGGATGACGGTGCCAGTGTTGTAAATAAAACTGCTGTTCTCAAGGTTCCTCTCCCTCCTCATTTCCCATCAGGAAGACCTATCAGTTTCACTGGCAAATGAAGCCCATATTTGTCAACCTTTTCCCATTTTAAAAGAGTATAAGATGTACAAGTTATGTGAATAAATTCGAAGATTGATAAGAGCTGTGTCTCCTCTGTTTTCTTGTTTTTGGAAAAAAAAAATTTATGTTTTTGGAAAACAACAATGAGATTTGTCTGCTTGTAATTTGCCTCTTTCCATAAAATTCATTAATGCAGTTGTGTGGACAATTGAGCGCAAAAAACGTTATTGTGGGTGAAAGTATTGTTCTTCATTTGCTTGAGACGAGAACAGACACCTGAAAATGCCTGCTTCCATCAAAAGGGACTTGAGCAAGGGGCGTTTATGAGACGCAGACGGCCATAGGTATTTGAGAGTTCTTTTCTTTATTTAGATCTGAAATCTTCAAAGAAACTAAGGTAATAGAGAGACTTAACGCCGCGTTTACGTGGAACGTGAGCGGCAAAAGTAAACGCGTGATCACGATTTTCCCGCCATGTTTTCACGTTGGCTGCTTCAACGTGAAAGTAAACTGTTTCGCGTTTGCTGTTTACGTAAAATTTTCTTCACTTTTTCTCTCACAGAGTAGAAGTTAAATTGCGGGAAAAAGTGCACAAAAACTACTACCTGTAAGTTATACAAGGGCAAGTGAAGTTTCATGTTAGAAATCCTTAAATTGCTGCACTTTTCTTTGGCAGACAGCAGCAAGAGCTCGCGTTCACTCGTGAGACGGCTTCCAGTCCTTTACGAACTGACGAAAGCCCACGCGAATCTACAGCAGTAAGGTTCACGCTATCTTACGTGAAACGTGAATGGGTCAGCTGACGTTTGTCGTTTCACGTAAACGCGGTGCTAATAATCTCTCCAATTATGCTGAAGAGACGGCTGACGTTAAATTGATTCAAAAGTAGCTGCATCTCGCCTCCAAATCACCGTTCCCGTTTCAAAGTCGTCTTTTCTTAACTGGCGGTGGGGAATGTGTAATGATCCTTTTAATTTTACTCTTGTTATCTCGTCTTGTTTTACCAGCGCACAAATTTTGTTTAATACCTAACATTAATTACTATTCATTTATGTTTTTTTTAAAATATATATATATCATTCATGAACCAAATAATCATTTCAGTTCTGACAAAATGCTATGACTCAGCTATAACTTTTGTTGCGCGGTTTTGTCTCTTGGGCTTCCCGGAGGTGAATGGTACTTGATAATCACTTTCGATCTAGCCAATTAGCGGGCGCTATAGTGTACCATTTCCACTGAGTGACGCCTCACCCCTCTGCTTGTCCAAAGATAGAGGGTTCAGGAATCTGAAATGGTCACAAGGTTGCTGCTTCTGAGATGTCAAACTGCTACCTAAAATATGCAGTTTTTCAGCGAACAAAGGCTGGAAAAACAACACGAAAGCAACAACATGTCAAAATTGATAACGTGTCAAGCGACAACGTGGAAGTGACCACGTCGACAACGTTTAAGCATAATATCGGAAGCGATGTCTTTGAAACTAATATTCCACGGTGACGTCATTTCAAATGCTTTTGTTTATAGTAAAGCTTTTTAAAAAGATATTCATTAGAGACCGGTTCAGCACGCACCTCATCTAACACATTCTACAAGCAAAAGTCCTTCCTTCATTAGCGACAGCTCGAAGGTGACAACTTGGAAGGGGCGACAACGTGTGACCTTTCTCCTCGGGGCGGTCTTTAGTAACCAGGTGAACTTTGACGACGCGAGAAAACCGCTACATGGCGACGCTTTCGACGATAACACTGTCCCTACTTATGCTACTTTTAGCTTTTCTATTTGTCAACTCGGCTTTTTCAGCACGGATTGCAGGGTTTCATGCAATAGGAGGATCACAGTACATTAACACGAGGAACGTTTTAGAGGAACTGGCCTCAAGGGGACACGAGGTGAACCACTTAATTACGTAACATGAGTCTCGCTGCACGCTCACATAAGTTTATCTCACTGATTTGATGATGATCTCCAATTTTTTTTCTGTTATAGATATATCGTACGGATATAACAATTTATGATGATAATAGTTATGATTATTACAATTAAACAATAATACTAATAATGATGGCACTAATAATAATTCTTTCTATTTGTTATTATTATTATTATTATTGCTAATAGTCTCATTTCAATGTTATTAGGAATTTTTTTCTAATTTGGGCACCTGCGAACAATGTAACCCTGACTGACCAAAGTGATAAATTTCTCCTTTCAAGATCAATACACATCAAGGAGAAAGGTGATTCATGTAACTATGTACTTGATTTTGAAAGGTTGTACTGGTTGTTGCATCATCTTTTAAAAAATTCAAACCAAGTGAGAAAGTGCCACACAAGATCTACCAAGTGCCATATAAACCAGGCTTCATAGAGAAAACTATGTTACCACTCGAACTGGAGGGGAAAATGCTAGAGCTGATGTTCAAAATGAAAGATGTCTTCCAAGTTATGTGTGAAAGTGCCTTAACTTCTGCTGAAGTTCTGAAAGAGCTGCAGGATTGTGACCTCCTCATTTATGATACTACCTCTTTCTGTGCTGCATTACTTGGTGAACGCCACAACATCCCTCTTGTTGAGTTGTTGCCTTTGTCTCCAAATGGCCCAGCTGCTTCTTTTCACATGATACCCATGCCACTTTCTTATGTTCCTGTTCTGTTAACCAGATTTACCGATAAAATGACTTTCATGGAACGTGTGACAAATTTGGCATATTACTTTGGTCAGAAACTATTTATCAGCATGGCAATTAACAAGCCAATGAATGCCCTTAAACTCAAGTACAACATAGTAGTTGAAAGGAGCTTTGAAGAAGCCATTGCCAATGTAGAACTGCTGTTGATACTTGCAGATTTTGCACTGGAATATCCCCAACCTCTGTTACCAGGTAGGAAATGTTAGGGTGGTTCACAGTACTTTAACAGCACTTCTTCTTTCTCATCAAATTTTTACAACCACAAGCTATTACAACTCTACATCAGTTACTGGTAAAACTATTAAATGACACATGTTTAATTTCAGAATTTCCCATTTACTAGTGAGGTAGTATTGTCACAGACTTTTAGGAGTTGAAAGAGCATAAGATTCTTATCCCAAGAGTTAATTGCACCTGGATTTAGCTTAGAATTTTTCCTGATTACATTTGGCACCCAAGGATTAGGGAATTGAAGATTCCAAAGATTTTTCAAGGTTCCTAAACAGTAAAGACACAATCTTGTTTCAGTTCCTGTTCCAAATCTAAGAACCAGAATTAGTCAAATAAAGCATTTAAAAGCTAAAAAGATTTTTCCACAACATATCTTTGACAGGCCAAATCATGATTGGGCCTCTGAATGTGAAAGATGCTCAACCTCTCCCCTCTGATTTAGAAGAATTTATAAGCAATTCAGGAGATAATGGTTTTATCATTTGTTCCTTTGGTTCAATGGTGGCATCAAGCCTTCAAAGGGAGAAAGTAGACATGTTAGCTGCAGCGTTTGGAAAACTGAAACAAAGAGTTGTTTGGAGAATTAAAGGTATTAATTTTAGAGTTATTGAAAATGTATTTTCCATCTGCTCTTACAATCTGAGTTACTTCTTAAAAAGTCATTTATTTCATCAATTGATCTGTTCAATGCAATTGTCATTCCATTTCTCTGTATATCAAACAGCAACACGTTGATGCTTACTCCAAACAAATTACAGTCATGTTAACTGCAAGTAACTTCAATGAATAAACCTTGATTCCAAGAAAATGCAGCAAGCAAATGGCAACAGATAAAACAGGAAAGCAAATTGGAGTAAATGAGAAAATTCAAGCAATCAGCAGCAGACAAAATTTATGTTATCCACAAGCAAATTGTAAGTAAGGAAAATGAGTGCAACCAGTTTGCAATTGGAAAGCTCAGCATTGCTGACCAAGGATGCAATGTCTTGAACTTGACTCTCTGATATGAATCCTTTGTCTCTCTGATAGGTTACATCCCATCTGATCTCAGCTCAAATGTCAAAGCTATGGACTGGTTACCCCAGAATGATCTTCTGGCTCACAAGGACATCAAAGCTTTTGTCTCCCATGTGGGACACAACAGTCTTTATGAGTCTGCATATCATGGAGTTCCATTAGTGGCATTTCCACTGGGTGGAGACCAGGATAGTAATGCTAAGAAAGCAGAGCATTTAGGCATTGGTTTAGTTGTGGATCATAAGAGCAACAATGATGTGAAGCTGTTTGAAACAATTGAGAAAGTTATCAATGAATCACGGTGTGTAATGTGGTACATTTTGTAAAATCAAATGTTTTATTATGATCAATACCTATAGATTATATTAACAGTAATTTCTTAGCAATAATATTTCACATCTACCCATTTTGATTTTGGGATAGTCCATGATTTGATGGCGGTTGCTGCATCATCAGCACTGGACTTGACTAATTGCATAATGACCAGTTGGTTGTTCTTTTTCATTATATGGAAAAACATCACATAGCATATAACTTAAAAAATTTCTCAGCTGAAAAAAAAATCTACCCTTTCCACAGATTTAAAGAAAAAGCAAAGCACATTTCTGGTTTGTTGAGGGATCGTTCACAAACACCTCTTCAAGAAGCTTGCAACTGGATAGAATACACACTCAGACATGGTGGAGCTAAGCACCTCAAAGCCCAAGTGTTTAAGGTCCCCTGGTATCAGTATTATTTACTTGATGTTATTGCCTTCCTGTTAGCAGTAGCAACTGTTACTCTCATTGTGATACGATTAATGTGTAGATTTTTATGCCGCATGTGTTTTAAAAAGGGTGATGGTAAAACTAAGAAGGATTAATTTTACTATCTTGTTAAGTAATCCTCTCCACTCACATCTAAAGATAATCACCCTTTCTCTCAGAGCCCCTTCACCCTCCCCAACACAACAGCCACATCATTACCAAAGGCAGAGCAAACCATTAAGGTCTCTATGCCATGCAAGTAAAACACATATGTAATTGCCAACTTGTTACACACGGCTAATGGTGCTTTTGCAAGTACCTGTGTACTTCTAAAGCTAATAACAGGTCACAAATAAACAGAAATGCTAAGCAGTTTATTTCCAAACATTGGAAAAGCTCAGACACCGTGTACATTTTACAAGACCCTGAATTTTAAATATTGAAATACCTTACAGAACTACTACTGCTACTGTCTTTAATATGCAAATACATCTAAATGTCAAAGTGTTTCTTCTTACAGTAAACAAACATGTGGTTAATAGTTTGACCAGGCAATAACAATCAATCATGTAATGTGAATAAGCAAGCAATCACATAACATGACAGACAATATGCAATCCCCCAAAAAATGAAAGTGATCTCTATGGGAGCAATGAGTGTAATGCAATAATTAAGCATCAAAACTGAGCTCCAGATTGTGAAAGCATGAATGATGTAAGCTGCAACCTGGTAACCTAGCCTTCCAATATTTTCCTTCTCGAAGCAATTACAAAGAAATTTAACTTGAGAAAGATTTCAATAGATTAAGTACCTAATTATTGAACATTTGAAAAAGTTTAGGGTCTAAACTTATCAGAAGTAAAACACAATTTTGAAGACTTATACTAGGGGATAAAAAGATAATTGCCCTTAAGAAGTATGTAGAGTTCATTTCCTGTAACTTTGACAAAATAAAAGGCCCATACACTGTATGTATCCACTCTGTGGAAAGCCAAACTAAACTTACATCAGAGCGTAATTAATAACCTAGCTCCCATTCAGATTAAATGATGCATGAGAAACAAAGAAAAATTGGCAAAAAAGAGCAAATCATAGATCCATCCTACACTGCATATTCAGTTCCCCTGCCTCAATACCCAAGCTGTGTTGTATCCACATTTCATACCACAAGAACACAAGCTGAAACTTATTCATAACCTAACCACAATACTGCATTTTAACACTTCATACACCATAGTTTAAATTGTCTACCCACAGCCTAAAACCTAAGATGGGATGAATTCAATAGCTGGCTCTTTGTTTCTCTCCTTGAAGGTTTGGGATTAAGACATGACAAACTGCTTAGAAGAGTTAATTTTTAGGTTACAAAAGGACGAAATAAAGTGACTTTTTGAATTTGATAGTTTGATAATTTTGAAAACATTTAATTATGTTATCCTAAATTTTACAATGCAGAGAATCTTTAGACATGGGTCATTTCACGAGAGGTGTAACTCTGTCACTATCATCTGAACAACTCATCTCTTTATATTTTTTAACTTCCTCCATGTAAGCTTTCCATGCTGAAGATTTGCTTTCTTCCTGTTAAAGAAAAACAAACAAAAAAGGATTGAAAAGTTGGCATTAAACCATGTTCATTTATGCAGGGATGGTTCTTGCTTTGCTTTTTAAGCAACATTGCTATAGCCAAGGGGAAGTTGAATAAAAAATTTAAGGGGAACAAATGGTAACAGTGGCAGAATGATGATGAAGGAATGGTTTACAGTAACTGGATGGCTGATGATGAATTGTTCTGAAACACAAGTAGGGTCCACTGGATTCTAGATTCTTAAATACAAGGTCTGGGTTCTAGCTGTGAACAAGTCAGTGTCATACACTTCAGTAAAACAATTTACTCCTGTAGTCCTCTGTCTTCCCAGGGACCTTATTAAGTACTAGATACAAATACAATATATTTATAAATAATAAAGAGTTCAAGAAGGGGGTGACCTGCTGTAAACTGACTCTACGCCATTCTTGCTAAAGTAACCTTGATAATCAAAAGAAGCTACTTAACCCCTTTACTCCCAAGATCTTATTAGTAATTCTCCTTACTGTCTGCCATATAGTTCTTGTGAAGTTAGTTTGGAGAATTTGGTATTGGATCAACTAATAATCCCCTAATTAATATTTTCTTTTATTCTCATCACTTGTCTGTTAGATATTGTATTGATATTGTAAGGAGAAAAATTCTGTCTTCGTCACTCAAGAGAGTTAAAGAGTTAAGTTGATCTTGGAAACAGATTTCATTTTGAGTGAGATTAAAAGCAGAGACCCTAACTAACATAAGTTAACAAGTAGTGTTCTATTACCTCTTCCTGAGCCTTTTTCACTGCTTCAGCTGCTGCTTTGTCCTTCTTCATTTTCTTTGCATGGATCTGCCGTGATGCACCACCCATCTTTCCAACAGTAAATTGCCTCTTACCCTAGATTTGTTAGATTAATACTAATACCATAAGACAACATCAAGCCCAAACAGCTGGTAAATGCCGCTTGAAATGTTTTCCTTCTGTATATGATTAAAACCACCTTGCAACTAGTGAATTGAATCACGATTTTTTGGTCAATAAAAATATCATTAACTTAACCAAACAAACAAACATGCTATCCAAGCTGCATGGTTTTGATCAAACAACAAGCAAGAGTATGTAACCAAAGTTTGAAAATGCCAAGTCTTCCTAAAACAAAGTTAAAAATAATTTTCATCTGTTGACAAAAGCAATGGAAATGCATTGCAATGTAGAACGTTGGTGTGCAACCCCTTGTAATCTTATAAAAAATTGAAACAATTTCAACTTCGAAATAAGATAAGAATAACCCTTTACACCCTAACATCAGTATGTATATTATCCATACTGTTCTTTATACATTTCTTAAGGTGCTGACGAGGAGAATTTGTTTAGCGATCAAAAGCTTCTTTCGTTGGTGATCATTTCCTTTATTCTCATGATCTTAATGTGTGATTCAGGGATGATATTGTAGGGAGAGACTAGATGCTAGTCACCCTAAGGGTTCTTGAGATATTTCAGATTATATATCTTTCTCGTTCAGCCGCGCAAAACGAAACATTCCACATAGGAATGTTTCCCCATAAAAGTTACAACTCTATCATTCTTTCCTCACTAAACCAGACCTGCTGTGTTAATGGAAGCGAAGGCCCAGGAGCTTTTCCATCGTTATCTCTCTTTGTACATGATTCTTTGTCCACTGTCTTTTCATCTTTCTTTTCACAACTTGTACTTTGCCCAACCGTACTTTCAGATTTCGACTGCAGTTTTTGAGACTCTGCTTCCATTCGTTTCTTAAAAAGTTCTAGAAAGCTACCGTCGTTGGCAAATGTGTTTAACACAGTCGGAGTACTCGTATTTTCTCCCGTAGTATCAGTTTTAGATGGCGATCGCTTAGCCGTTTTTTCCTTCGCGGACGCCATTCTTCTGCGTGATAGAATGACGAGTGGAATTTCGCTGAGACTTCTGGGTTTTTCATCCTCGCCAAGAGAGGGATTGTGACGAGTCACCCCTAACTAGTTTCCAGTGTCCTCACCGTTCGATTTATGGAAGTTTCGCCCCGTTGCGGAAGTAGGTCAAGGCGGGCGAACCTGTTTTACTTCAGAAAGCCCCCCCTCACGAAGGTGGTATCGGGAAAACTTGGTAGACGTGCAAAGGGGGAGTCCGCAAGGTGAAAATTAGTACTAATTCCGAACCCAAGACAATTAATTTACTATCACAATATCCAGATGCTAACTGCTATGGGACTCAACAAACAAAACTATTCATTCTAGCAAACTTTATTTTGTTGCATATGAGAAAGTACAGTAACGATTCCATTGCTCTTTCACTAAAATCTCCTTCAACAACGAAACTCTTAAATGAAATTCGACAGACACAAAAAAGAATTTTCCACTCCGTCTAAAAAGGCAAATCGAATTGCGTGTGCACTGACAATGCTAAACTAAAAGCCTTAAAAAATATAGATGTAACTGGATGCAGTATCTTGAATTATTTATTTAATTCATTGTTTTAATTTTCTCGCTGAAAAAACGATGCTAAAGTAGCAGCGGCTTGGTAATCATCGACAGAGTGACGGCCTCCATCACTGTCCGAGTCAGAGGAGGAATGGAGCTTGGGCTTAGAGGTGACGCAGCAGTCAGGTGAAGGAATGGGTCTGGACGAGAGATGTGTTGGAACATATCCGCGTGGATTTGGAACAAATGTCTTGCTAGAATCTTGAGAAGCAGTACAGGACATGTTTGAATACTCCAGGCCGAGAAGCCCGCCGGGTGGGAACCAGGAAGCGCTTGTTGTAAACGGATGATAAAATGGGCTCCACGGCGTGAAAGACGTTTGGGTCAGCGGACTGTGTGGTATAATGGCAGATGATGCTTGAAACATTGAACGCGCACTGAAATCTCGGTTGTCTAAGTACATCTCTGAAGCAGTGGCAACTGGAGCGGGTTTGTTTTTTATTTCATGTTTACGCCATCTAGCTCGACGGTTCTGAAACCAGACCTGAAGATAAAAGAGGTTTTGTTAAGAAAAATTGCACAATTACTCTGCAAATAGCTTTTCCATTATAGGCCACTTGCAACCCCATCATTTCGAAGTTAGCTCGCGTGCGGAATCTGAAATTTTTACGCAGCACACTAACATAAATTTTTGTCTCGCTTATTTCATTTTTACTTGCGCGAACGGAACATCGCAGAAAAAGAAAAAGAACGCGTAGTCTACTTGTGTTATCACGACTATTCCATGTACAGCTAAAGAATTATGACTCAAATTAATCATGATTAACCGGAAGACTACAGGAAGGTTATTGCCTTGACACCAGTAAAACACGATGAGCCAAGCCAGGTAAAGTGAATGAAAATAAGCAACAGAAAAGTAAAAACTAAACTCCACTAATAGTTAACAAACATCAGTGAAGGCAATTCCTTTAAAAAAATGTTTAAAGAAAAGTAGTGTTCAACAAAACAGCTTAAATCGTGTTGTAGTGTTGGTGTGAATGCGGTATAAGTTGCTCAATTTACCGGAAGACTGAATGGAAACTTGTCTACTTCTGGATCATGTATAATTTGATTGTGACCATCCTCGAACTTTTTGAGAGGAAAATGCCAGAATTCACTAAATCTATTCTATAAAACGGTCTAACGGACCAGCAGGGCTCTCACGAATTTTTAAGTACACCGTGGTTTACAGTTTTCTTTCAGGTTGCTCCCTTGTTGTTCAGTGTCGTGGGGTGAAGATCGTGACAGGAATTTGAATATCCTACCTGAATTCTGTCCTCCCCGATGTTAAGTTCTCCTGCAAGATTCTCGCGTATCTTGATGCCTGGGAATCTTTCATTCGCAAACGATTCTTCCAGCCGATCCAACTGTTCGTCGGTAAACGCTGTTCTTCGGCGTCTTTGACGTGATCTGTCACCTGAAAAGAGAAAAGACATGTTAGTGTTACCGCTCATTACACATCTAGTTAGTTAGTCTTCATCATGAGCTAGCTGAATGACATATGGTTAAATTAGCTTCGTTCTGTTTGCATGTCAATGATTATTCAGTCAGAGCTCAAGAAATTTATAATCAAAGGGAAAAAGAGACTAACAACTGGAAAGTTTTTATATGTAGCTAGCAAGGTCTTGGTAATAACCCCCCCTGTGAAGTTTTAAATTCTAAGCTTCCTTGTAATACCTAGAAGATTTGTATTTTTGGTTTGACGATCCATCGAAAAGCTTAAATTTGACCGATCAAAGTTGCTAGACATAAGCCTAGCACTCTAAACAGCAGTGATACTGCACTCAATTCTGTTTTCACCATCATATATTAATCGTAAATGGATTACTCTTTAGAAGTAAAGGAGTTTTCGACCTCACACGTCTATCGCTGCACCCTACCTTCGCTTTTCGGAGCCGATCTCTTGATTCCTTTTCCTGAGTTCATGCTGGACATGACAAATTATCAGTTTAAAGAGGGGTTTAGTAGTGAACAACTCGTGCAGTAAGCTTCTTTCGCAAGTCAGAATGAAATGACGGTCTGCGACGTTGATTCCTTTAAATAGCCCATGACGCGCGTCGTTATAAATTTAGGCGGGGCGACAAAACTTTCCATACAATAACTCTGTTACTGACTTAATTAGGAAATTAAATCTCACCTCTTTGATATTCACTTCCTTTTCATCGTGTGAGTTATTTCCCCTTGTTCTGCATTTATTCGCACCTTATGTTTTAAAAAACAATTATCTTCGATTTTAATTGGGAGGTGTCAAAATGTTGCTGCGTGTAAGAAAACGGTTATTTCGTGCGAACTGCGTAAAGTTCTATTATCACAACCGTCAGGGTTCTGGGTAATGAAACATTGTTCCTGATCGAATCTACTTTTAGAAATAAAAAATGATGGCAAAGTTGTATCATAAGTGCTAAAAGCAGGGATAGTCATTAGTGTTAGAAACTCCAAGTAAAGGCGTTTTTGATATCTTCAAACGCTGAAGTGAAAATTTCATTTTTGTTCTTATTGATTTAATTAGAGTAATGAAATGATAGAACTTTTAGGGATGGCAAATTATGATTCAGGTTCTAGCGTGTTCCATGCGTTCAGTGAGTAAAAGAGGAGCGAAATATTAAACAGCGCCACGGTAGCGCGTCATTTTCCAATCGCGCATCGTTTCAGTTACTTACTGAACGGCTACAAAAGGGATACAAACAGTTGGCTCACGCGAATATGTCGAGTGTAGGGTGGACAATAATTGAAATAAAAAGAAGTTAAGTTTAGAGATGCTGAAAAGGTTTTTAAAGAAAGGATTTATTCTCCTGGGAAAATGATGGAATAGCTCACTTGAGATGCAGAAAGATCAAACAATCTTCGCATTTGATTTTCACAACAGATTACAATCTTTACAATTTGGTAACTGATCCTTATGAATTTTTTTTCTTTACTGGGTTAAATTGGCGCTAATATTCTCGTCGAGGAAAAAGCGGTTTCTTGTGAAAATGCTCCCATTCAAAGATCAAGGTGAGAATCAGAAAGTGTGAAAAGTTCGGAAGTGCCAAAATTTTCCTCCTAAGATCTCTCACCGATCATTTCATGATATTTTATGCTCAATCGTGATCTTGTAAATGCTCCTGCAACCAGAGCCGTTCTTGAAAAAGAGACTGGTGGATTATTTTAAGTGCCATTCAGTCCCTGAACGTAAAAGATCTGAAAATTTGAGCTGTTTTGGAAGAAATTAAACGGTAAATGTAGAAACATTTCCGCTGGAAGCTTTTCTCCTTCCAAACCCTAAAACAGTAGTGGTGATGTGGAATTCATTAATGCGATCCAAGTTACAGCATTTCTAATGTGGTCTTTTAAAAAAATTCCTTTGCTCCCGGGGGGTCTCGAACCCCCGACCTTCGCATTACTTCAGCACCCTCGGCGGACAGCGCCTGTACTGCTTATAAGTACGACGCTCTAACCAACTGTGCTACGGGAGCTTGGATGAAAAGAACTTCCTAAAGATAAAATCTCATTGGTTAGCTAGTGCTTCGGAAAATTAGGTTTTGTGGTTGCATTCTACCGATAATTTTCAATCATTCTTATAACTCTTAAAGAGCGCATCACCATTACTAAGTTAAGATGAAAAACGAAGCATTCATAACATATAGCGCACATCTTCCGGTTAACTCGTCTTCACGCGCGCGCTTGGTATAATGGCTCATAAGCCATGATGGCTAAGCCAATGAAAATTCTTTAATTGCATTATCTAATGATCTAGTTTTAATAAAACCCAATATCTGCTGCAGATATTGGGTTATCATGTCAACTTCACAAGGTGTTACCTAAATCTGATAAACTTGGCTATTCTCTTTATCTGCTTGGATAATTGTGTATTAAAGTTCTGAGGAGAAGGTTCGTTTAAATCCCCTACAAGTTGAGTTAAAGGGTTGAATGTTGCACAAGAGACTGAAGGATTCGATGATCACTGAATTCTAATTTCTTAGTTTCACACTCAGAACATACTTTATTATCAATGAAGTTTTGATCTGATCTTCTTGCAAAATCTGTATCATATGCTTCCTCCAAGAGGGACAACACCTCTGTTAAAAAGGTTTAGCTGTCTCAAACTCGTGTAGCCTGCAAAACAGGTGCTGTTTAATAGCGGGTTTTTTTAGAGAAGCGGAGGCCATGCGCTCGGTGAGTGTGACTCCGCTTTGCGCTTAGTTCGCGTGATTCGTAAGGATAAATTAGATGTTCGCAAAAGCCACTCTAAGGGCAAAGGGTTGACTGCCATTCCAACGATATGACAGCGAATTCTCCCTATTGGCTGCTCTACATTCATCAGTGAAGTGGTTATAACGATTTAACACGAAAGCAGCAGGCAATTCAAAATTCAAAGGTTTTCTTTATTCTGGGCCTATCTTTTTTAGGATTATTTTTATCACACGGAGAACTTACACACTGATTAACTGTGTCGCCAAACAGTTGAGTACTCTGAATGCACTACACTTCCCATTGAGACACACTTTCTTTTCAGCTGTTTAGAATTCAGATTTAAATATTCTATACCTTCTGAATTCTACTGCTCGCCTTAGTCTCTATTCCTTTACTCACGAATCTGCTCAGAGTTTGCATGTAAGTTGGTAGTCCTGTGCGATCTATCACAATCCTTCATATAGATTTAACTGGTGTGCCTGTTATGGACACAAGGTTGAATTGAATGCTAGGATTTTCTAGTTCTGGGGGGAAAAGATATTATACTGCCCAAGGGAAAAATTGACATTTCCTTGAAACTACTTCAGTTAACCACAGATTTCAGAAACAAATTGTCGAAGAGAAACCTTAGAATTGAAAGTATGGACGTTAAAGAGATTATTTGAATTTACGTTTACTTGCTTAAGTTATCTTTGTACACAATAACAGTCAAGATTACGTAATTCGTAACGGATATAAAAGTAAATTTTTACAAAATATGTCTAGTATAAAGGTCAATAGAAATATTGTATAAAATTCTTGCTAAGTTTAAAGGAGTTGGGTCACGCTTATTTCGAATTCCTGTCACACAAACCAGTTTTTCCTGTCACGGAAATCTAACTGTTGTGACAAACAATCCACCCTTAAAAGGGGCCCGGGGTGGAAGGGGGGGGAGGGGTTGTTCTCCAACTTCTCATAGCCAGTCTACTTTTGGAGAAGTTACATGTTATTGACTTGTAAGAGGTGCAGTATGGCAGGTTTCCACACAATTTGGATACTTTTGTTAGAAAATTGAAAAGATAATTGATGAATTGACAACAGCTATCATTCACCTCTTGTTACACTCAGATCCTAACTTCAGAGGTTCACCTGTACAGACAACCCTACATACAAACAAATAATTATATCACAATATTGACTACTGTGTTGCTGGGTTCCTCTTTGATGCTCACAAAGCTTCTTCCATATGTCACAAAATAACAACAACAAAAAAGAACCCACAATTGCATGGGGACATCATTCTATGTGATAACTATTTTATAATCTACTATTCTAGGATTATGCTGCATAAATCTCATTGGGCCATCTTGTTTAGAATTGGAAGAATCTGGTCAAACCGGGGTCTCTTGGTTGGATCATTATTCCAACAGATTGACACAAGCTTTGCCATCTGTGTAGATACACCAGGTGGAACAGATGGTCTTAAACCTTCAAGTGCAACCTGCAATTGATAAGGTTAAACAATTTAATTATCTTAAACAAATTAGCAGCACAGGAAATATTGATGACTAGGAAATTAATTTAGATAGGGTTATGTATCAAGAGATTCATCTCCACATCAACATAGAAACTTGCTCAGGCCAAATAAATTTAGCCAGAGAATGCTGTAAAGTAACCAAAGAACTTTCTGATCTGAACTGCTGAATGTACAGTCCAAGAAAGTAATTGAACATTGATCACCTTCATGCCAACTTCCATGGGTGACAAGTGACCAAAAGGCACTTCTCTTGTAACTAGCTCCCAAAGGATCATGGCATAACTCCACATGTCTGCTGAGCGTTGATCAACTTCTTCAGGGCTCTTCTGTAATACTAGAGGATGCACAGTGAGTTAGAATTCTGTGAAAAATGAAACATCTTTTAACTACAGCTGCTCCTGAAAATCACAGTGATGATAGTTAACAATACCCACATCAATTTCTAAATTAAACATGAACTATTTCTCTTCTTTTCAAGCCTAGCAGGGTTTGCACTCTTTCAATAATTTAAAAATCCATGACTAATTTTCAAACTCCATGACTATCTAGACCTGGAAAATGATGTAGGAACTAAATTTCATGTCTTTCCAACATTTCTGTGACACAGATAATTCCTGATTTGAAAATATTACCTTCTGGGGCCATCCAGTTTGGACTTTCAATCTTGCTAAGATTCATGAAGGAAAATCTGTAATCAGCCATACTTATTCTTGCTGTGAGATCATCATCAATCTAAAACAAATAAAGCAGATTACAAGTTCTACTTCACAAGAGGAATAGAGATGGACAAAAAACATGATTATCTCCAAACATATCATGACTACATTAACAGAGTTGTCTTTAGAAAAATGTTATAATATCTCATCAGAACCGGAGCAGAAAATTGTGATAGATTCTCATCCTATTCAAGGGAAGTCACATAATACATACCATGACATGTGTGCTTTTAAGGTACAGCCTTGGAATAAGCTGGTCCAAAGAATGTAGATATTCCATTCCTTTGGCAATGTCCAATGCAAACTTCATTGCTTGCTCATGGTCCACAATAATTCCTGTTGGTATCACAAATTTGATGTCTTAGAAAATGCATTGCTTAATATCTACAAATAATTTATTGCAGAAGGGGCTTTACTAGTTGGGATTTTTTTCCTGAAACATTCATTGCCAAGTTTGAATAGTAACAGATTAAATCTTGAGCATTGTAAAGATGTATGATTTCTTCTTTTTTAAATCCCAGATACAAAAGGCAAAAAAGGCAACTGTGATCATCACAGGTCTCTGTAACAAACACCTTTGCATCTGCTTTTTCCAAAACAAGTCAACTTATGATTTTGATAGGTGCACAAATTCAAACCAGACTGAAATTGTGTTACTTGTCATGGGGACAAGAATCTTTAGCAAGGATGAATATTTTACAGAAATTATTCAAGAACCATGAAGCAAATTGCTGTAGATGTGATTTGACTTCACAATGTGTTGTAGTGTCTTATTGACTAGAATATACTAGCTTTAGAGGAGCCTTTTCTCTCACCTGTTCCTTCATGTAAAACATTGTAAAGTGAACCAAATGGAAGATACTGTGAAAGAACTATCAGGTCCTTGGAGTCATTCACTGCACCAATTACTGGTAGGACATTTGGATGGGAAAATATTCTGAAAACCAAAAGAAAATTTTAATTGAACCATGATAAATATAATGGTCTGATCAGTCTGTCTAAGTGAACTAGACTTAACACACTGACTGACAATAACTCTTCACTTGACTCTGTTGATGACTTCCGCTCTGGTTGTCAAAATCTCTTGTCACTACTGCTGACAACAGTCCTTCTCTGGACTTCTCTCACCTGGGCTATGGCTATGTGTTCTAATCCATTAACAACACCCAACAAATAATTATACAAATATTTCAATTAATTTACCTTAATTTTGAGTATTCCTCACTGAAATCTCTTGATATTCTTTTGTTGACCATTCTAATGGCAAGTTTTTTGCCAATAACATTGAGATCATTCCACTTCCCTTTCCATACCTGAAAAAATAATAAGCCAACATTACAACTGCAATAAGTTACATGTACATTTTACAGGGCTGGGTTGTTCCAAGCTGGGTTAAGATAACCCAAGACAAGTGTGAAATTTTCATACAGCTCGACATCATTTCAGTTCTGAAAGCTCAAAAGAAAACACTTCAAATCTTTTTGCTTACAATTTGATCATTGAATGTTCTGAAAAGAAGAGGGAAAATTTTTCCCAAAAGGTTTTTGAATATAAAAATAAAGAATCCTGGATTTAAATTTTAACCCTGGGTTGGTGCTAATCAGCCTTTAAACAAATGGGCCCAGAGATCTAGTAAGTAATTGATTTTATCTATTACATATGAAGCAGTCAGGTGGTAAAAAGGTCAAGACATCACATTTGATGAATACAAAACAGATAAACAGGAACCATTGACTGGAATTTATGATCACAAAGTTTGTTCTCCTGAGATTTTTAAAATTTGTCAATTTTCCCCTGATTTGCCTGTGACTTTGCGACCTTTATGACAAATCAAACACCTAAAAATTTCATAGCTTCAAATCTAGCTGGTGTTTACAGCCTAAAGATAAAATTCAAAACAGAGAGTCTACATATTGAAGCAATACTTAAAATAGTTTTATTGATCTAACTAAATACTGTGTAAATACCTCGCCAGTCACTGTTTTGCTTAATTTTGTTGCCAAATCAATTTCCTTGGGTTGAATCCAGGAAAGTCTGGACTTAATGTCCCGTAAATCTGTAAATTGAACCAATTAAAAACACAAATTACTGTAAATTGCGGTAAATGTAAGGAAATCAAATGTATATGGTGTGCAAGTCAAAACCAGTACACCTCAACTGGATTAGGTAATCTTTATCAATGTCAAGTTCATGTCAAACTGCAGAAAACATCTTTCTGTCTCACCATCTTTTTTTCCATGCTTTGAACGGCTATCTGTAAGATGACCAAATGACTATAGTGAGACATGTATCAAGCACTTTCCAATTCCAGATGTTTATGGAAGAATTTGCACACCTAACTATCATGCAAAGTCTAGCTTGAGAGAATCTTAAATTGTGTTTGTAGGAATAATACTTTTAGAAAAGTCACCTTTGTAAGGAATTCTTTTGAGATCTTGTCCAAGTTGTGCTGCCAAGTCTGAGGAGCAAGGGAAACAGTTGATTGTTGTTTAATAAAAACAGAGGAATCTGGTTTGGTTGGTAACCTTCAATCACCACTTAAAACAATATTTGAACATTAACCATCTCACCTCTTAAAATTTCTGCCAGGAAAGGTTTACATTTATCAAGTGGGGTCTCCCCGTATTTATTGCACTGTGATACCAAAGCACCTCTCTTGACTAACTCCTATGAAAGAAAACATAAATGTAGAGACAATCGCTTTACATCTCCTAGGATAGCAGGTTTGTAGCTATGAAATTAAGCTGCTGGCTGAAATTTCAAGTGATGTGCCTCAAAGATGGCTGAGCTAGAGACCCAGCCTGGTGATGAAATTTTGTTCCCTAGCCAGCAATCTGGCTAATTTTGCCTGCAGCTGATGCTTGGTGACAACCTAGGCAACACTGCCAAAAACTACCCCAGTATGATGAGCGTGCGTGGTCTCTTGAATATGCCCAAATCAATCTCATTTCTTTTGGTGGAAGTAGATTTGATCTTACAGCCACTGCAATTACCATTAGGTATATAAATGGCTGCAAAATCTTAAGAGGGTCTAAGTATAGACAATGCTTTAGTAATTCTTGGTAACAACAAAATTATGTGTAAATCAATTCAGAGTTTCAACATCCCCACCCCAAGTAACCCCCTGCGTTTGGCATTTGCACCTTTGAAGATTGGCTCATTTGAACCCCTGCCTCTGAGGCCAAAATTGCATTCAAATACCCACCCAATATTAACCCTTTAACTCCCATGAGTGACCAAGACAGAATTTCTCCTCACAATATCAATACAATATCGACCAGATAAGTGATGAGAATAAAGAAAAATATCAATTTGGGGATAATTAGTTGATCCAATACTAAATTTTCTGAACTAACATTACAAGAATTGTATGGTTGGCGGTAAGAAGAATTACAAATTTGAGCTGGGAGTTGAAGGGTTAAACCATTCTTTGTGTGATCAATGAAAACAAAATCATCTGGCAAAGTCACATATCAATTATTGCTGCCACTATTGGGTTTTTGCAAGTAAGCATTATTCCACATTGTGAAAGTTGTCTTTTCTGAGCCATTTACTCATGAAAGCAGACTCTTTACTCATAGACTCCTCCAACAAAACATGAAAACATTTCTGCCCCACCCAAACAAGGTTAAAATTACCCACCCCCCCTCCCTCCCGATCACAGACAACAGTCAAATGCCTGTGGGTTACATAGGCATTCGGGAGGGAGGATGTTGAAGCTTCAAATCAGTGGGTGCATTATATGCCAGATTTTAGCATAAGATGTGGCAAGATGTCAAGGGTAGAACATTTTCTACCTCACTAAGCTGACACAATTTGATTGCTACAGGCATGAACAACCTGGTCCACTTTCAACTTTCCTAACCAATTTATTTGTTCATCCATTGGTACTCAGGAGTGGCCAGGTTGTTAATCATTGCATGCTTGCAATATTGTCAATGCGCTTTAAACAATTTTGGCCAATAACAAGAATAAAAAAAAAAAGGCATAAACGAGGGGAAATTGTTTGAAGGTAATGCTAAATTCTCAGGACTAGCCCAAAAATTAATTTTTTAGGATAAACGTCATCTGCCCCTGGGCTTTCCAATACCTTACCTCTGCACATTCTTCAGAATTCCAGAAGCAGGCATAATGGAGCGGCGTATTTCCATGATTATTGACCCCATTAACAGGACATTTATTTTTCAAGAGCTATAAAAGTAAACAATCATGGGAATTAGTAAACAATTTTAACACTTTATACCTCGATAATATCATTCATTTTCCCTATACTGCTCTCTACACACTTCCCAAGGTGCTGACAAGGAGAATTTGGTTAACAATCATGTGCCTATGTGTAATACAGGGCTAGTCTCTCTGTAGGGTCAAAGGGTTAACTTCCAGTAGTGATTAATATGTAACTTCTCCCTTTAATACCCATACATTATCCAGCAAACAGGTAATGAGAATACTCAGACTTATCAAGTAGAAGTTATTATCTTGATCTGACAACAAATTCTCACAACTAATTGACAAGGTAATGTTTAGTAGCTTGAGGGGAGAATTGGCAATCAGAACCTGGGATTTATGGGGTTAAAGAGTTTGAGAGGGTGGGAATTAAATTCTGAATTTTAAACAATTGGGGGAAGAATAAGTTTTCCAAAAATCAAAGGCACTGACTTGGTACTTGGGTATAAAATGGAAAGGTAAAACTGACTCAGACAGAAGTTATTGTATATTATTAATTGTATAATATTAATAAAACGGTCTATTAATAGAAGTCTGATATTCATACCCTATCATTTATGTCCTTAGTTTCACAGATTAGATAAGCACATCAGTTAAATTTCAGTTAAAATCAAATTGCAATTTAAAAGTGTTACAGTGTACGTGTATCTACTGCGCTGAGTTATCCGCTATTGAACAGGGTGTCATTCAATTTGCACAACAAAGAGAACAACTCATTTGTTTAACCTCATCCAAGTTTACATCACAAAACACTGATTTGATCTGTTGTTTACTTTACGACTACCGCGTTAAGTTACTTGGACGAAAATTACTTCGCTAAACAGGTCATGTTTACATGTGTTGCCCGCAGAAATCTGATAATTTTCAAGTTTGATGACCAAGACGCAGTCTCACCCTTTGTATAATTTCCTTGTTGCCTTTGCTGGCCGCCAAATGTAAGCCATTATCACCGCCATCGTTTAAAGCAGTGATCCGTGCGCCTCTTGATAAAAGTAGATCAAATACTGCGGTTTGGCCTTCTCTTGCTGACCATAACAAGGGAGTAAAACCGTGATCATCTCTGTATTAAAATAAGATGATAAATTCACAACTTAAAGGATAAGAAAATGTAATTCACACAGAACTCACACGTTCAAAGCTGAATCGTTCTCTCTCTTAAACACTAAATATATCCCAAACACATAAACAGATCAAAAAGTACAATGTACGTCGACGGATCATGTTGTCCAGGAGTAGCGTAAAGGCAAAGTCTGGAAGCTGAAACTGAAGTAAGGGTAAATGGCGAAAACGAAGTGATTATTCGCCTTCTTAACTGCTTGTCACTCTTTTCTCAAACAAAGCTGACAGCTTTTTCACTTTAATAGAACTGTTGACACTGTCTGCTTACCCTTGATTCAAATCGTTCGAAGTGTTTTCGAGCCATGTCTTCACAAATCGAAGATTGCCTTCACGCGAAGCAGAGAAGATGTCCTCCATCTCTCGGAAATCACTCCGATGCGTACAGATATAGCCGCCTAACTAGCTAACAGAACGGAAGCAATTGGCAATACGCATAATTAGCACACTACGCCAGATCAAAAGGCAGAACATTTGTGAGGGCGGCGAGATGTAATCACTTGAGGAATGGCAAATATTGTACGCTTGTTCGGCAGTCCGCTGACTAGACAAAGATGATGAAGGGTGTTTTTTTTGGGCGGTGTTTGGCATATCCGCACCGAATTCCACAGAAGAGGCACTCGAGTAGGAAAAAACGGATAATGCATGGTAAAATTTCCGCACAGCCCCATACTACATTATGCACTCAGTTCTATGGTGGCTGCGAAATTAACCCTAACCCTAACCCTAAGCAACTTGGGCAACTCTTTTTTCTTGTCAAATGAGACATCAAATTACAACCTACTGATGGACGCTTTCTGATAGTCCCTAAACACTCTTTTATAAATAATCAGCCAAAAAGGGGCAAATAATTCTTCACCCCTCAGCAAGAACCAGGATTACAAATTTCAAATCCCCAGCCTGTCATCTTATTCCATGATCAGCTTGGTACACTTGTAACTTGCACCAGAAATTGAAAATCTTGCAGGAAAGATCAACACTTTGAGAGAAGTCAATTTCATGGCAGTTTCACTGAGACCAACATAAATCGTGATTTGGCATACTGTACAAATCATTTACTGCCAAATTATCCAGAATCTGAAGTTTTGTCTGATTGGTTGAACACTGATTCTCACTAAACTCACATGAAAAAGAATGCCTCGTTGCAAATTAAAAAAATCAAAAGAATCTAGAAGTCAGGAGTTCTTCTTCAGGACAGTTTGTGTTCATGGTATTTTTTCCAAGTGTAGAGAAAGGTTTTTAAACATGATCACAGAACAAGATCCACACCTTCCATATTGCCATTCCCAAAATAATAGAACCACTGAAATGTATTTCAAGTATTCAAACAAACCATAATCATTTAAATATTATATTTTTGGTTCTTGTCATTCCTTACAGTTTTAGAGATAATACTGTGATATTTTGAGAGCCTGAAATATTAATAGCCTTTATACTCCATAAGAAATCTTTGTTGCATTTCTTGTGCTAGAAATGTCTTAGTGGCCCTTTTACTCCAAAGATCTCATTAGTAATTCTCCTTACTGTCAACCATATAATTCTTAAGATGTTAGTTTGCAGAATTTGACATTGGATAAGCTAATAATCCCCTAATTGATAATTTACTGTATTCTCATCACTTATCTTCTTAATATTGTATTCATATTGTATGGAGAAATTCTTACTTGGTCACTGATGGGAGTTAAAGGGTTAACGAAAGATTCTCCTGAAAGAGCAGACAAAGGGCAACCTGTAAGAAGATGGAACTCATGTACTAGATGAATGTGAGAATATTTTAAGAAGCTCATCAGCTGCCATTCCTGGTGTGACTTCCCCATCTGCTACTAATTTTTCATAGTTACAAATTTCTCTTTGAACTTCAGGATTTGATTTAAATCTTCCCATGATTTGTTCTCTGATATGATTCCACATCCAGACAACATGCTGTTTACAACGTCTTTGTTCAAGTTCACCATTTTCAACCATAATATTGTAATACTGCTGCATAGTTTCCCAAGCTTTCTCAATACCATCACCAGTTCTGGACGAAACACGGAGAACCTGAAAGTTCAAAATGAAGTAAAAATAATAAATAATTTACAATAAAAAATGTTTATCAACTTCTTATAAAAATGGTGAAAATAACAACAAATATTTGCTATTGAAAATCTCATCTCATTACATTAAAATTAATACTAAGTGACCTAACAAAATAAATCATAAAAAGAAAGAAGAAGAACTGTATAAATACCAAAAAATGTAAGTTAAAATCCTCTGACTCCTAAGAGTGATTAGCATCTTATTTCTCAACACAATATCATCCCTGGATCACACATTAGGGTCATGAGAATAAGGGAAATGATCATGAACTAAAGAAGCTCTTGATTGTTAGACAAATTCTCCTTGTCAGCACCCTAGGAAGTGTGTATAGAACAGTGTGGAGAGTGCACAGACTGATGTTAGGACGTAAAGGGTTAATCATACCGGGGGATTCCACTGAGCTGACTTTTTCTTTAACAATTTCAGAGCACTGATGTACTCTGTTTGTATTCTCTGAGCTGGAATAACAAGTTCTCCATCACATTTATTGACCAACACAAGATCTGCCATCTCCACGATGCCTTTTTTGATTCCTTGGAGTTCATCACCACCAGCTGGTGGAATAAGAAGAACAAACATGTCTACCATGGAGGCAACGGCAATTTCTGATTGTCCGACTCCCACTGTTTCTACCAAGATAGTGTCATAACCAGCAGCTTCACAAAGAAGAATGGCTTCATTTGTGCTCCGGTTTACACCACCTACAAGCATAAAGTTATAAAAGATCAGAATATATATTTTTTTCCTATAGTAGCACAAATGCACTAGTGAACTCCAGGGGACTTAATTCTGGGCTTTTACCAAATGGGTATATTAGAGACTGTGGTTTAATATGAACTTGTTGAGAGCCAAAGTGAATGTTATTATTTCATTTTTAAATTGTCAACATCTTGAACCTTTAACTCCTAAGAACTGATTGTTAGTTCCCCCCCCAGCTGCTACACACTTCCTTGTAAATTAGTTACGAGATGATGTAACCGAGGTGTTTGATTATCATCATCATCATAGTTGACTACATCGTTAATGTTGTTGTTGTCGCAATCTTTACTGCAATGTTGGGTGAGATCTCAGAAAAATTATGGCCACCTGGGCAGACACCTATGAGGAGGCACTTGCTCTATATCTGATTTTTGACATTAAGGCAGCTGTAAGAAAATTTGAGATTACCCAGCGTTCCACATGAGGGGGACGGCCTAATGTACGCATTGAGATTTCGTGACAACTCTGTCATTCGTGTCTTGTCGCCCAGTAAGGATCCACCTGTAGTAGAGGATGAAGGATCCACTGCCAAAACAGCAACCCGATGCTTTCCGTTGGTTAGAAAATTCCCAAAAGTCTCAATAAATGTAGATTTTCCACCTCCTGGGGGGCCTGATAAACCAATCCTGAAGGAGCACGGCTGGCCATTTGAGAATGGAGGTGCATGTTTTGAATGTTTAACAACCCTGGAGAGCAGTTTCTGTGCCTGGTGATATTTTATTGGATGAAGAGTTTCCACCAATGTTATGGCTTGCGCTAAACTTCCACGGTCGCCTCGAATGATTCCCTGAAATAACCGCTGAATGTGATACCCTTCGTCCACAGATTTGACTTCGAGATTTGTCGCATAATTTCTGCTTATCAATTCGACCCAAAAAGGACGTCTGTAGGCTGAAATACGGGTAAAATCACGTAAAACAAAACGATAAGGCATTTCAGATTTTTCGTCTAATCCGCCATCTTGGTGTCAAGACCTGTTTCACTTGAGAAGGACTGGGTATAGTTACGCTTTGTCACGCAGTTACTCACGCAATTTTGTTTTCTGCTGTTTTCTGCTAAAATAATGTTTGCGTAGGAAGCTGGGGGCGAGTATCCGGCGATCCTTCACGTCGCTGCTTTGTGTATCTGACAGTCCACAAATTGGCTTTCTATTATTGGTGGCTTTTAGAAGTTGGCATTGAACAAAGAGCCACATGAAAAGATGAGTTTAAGTATCTTTGGTGTGAAAGAGCGTCAGAAATTTTTCTGGAAATATTATCGCCGGTGAAATGGATCAGGACGGGGACGCCGTTATCTTCACCTGTAACGACCACCATCTCAAAACTTTCAAGAAGATGGAGGGTTATCGCAAAGATTCCAAACTATGTGATATTATTTTGGTGGTTGGGGAGAAGAGGATAAAGGCTCATCGACTCGTTCTCGCTGCTTTCAGCGATTATTTCAGCGCTTTGTTCACTGGTGAACTCTGTGAGAAGGGACAAAGTGTGGTGCATTTAACTGACATGGATCCCCAAGCTGTTGAAGATCTCGTTCAGTATGCCTACACTTCTCATATCGAAATTCGCGTTGATAACGTGGAGAACTTACTCTCAGTGTCGTGTATTTTACAGATTGATGAAGTGAAGGAGGCCTGTTCTGAATTTATGAAGCATCAACTGCACCCTAGTAACTGCTTGGGTATTCGTGCTTTTGCCGATGGACACGGTTGTAGTGAACTGTATAAAATCGCTGATGCGTTTACGAAGGAGCGATTTGTTGACGTTGTCAAAAATCAAGAATTTGTGCTTTTGAGCTCGGAATGCGTGGCTCGTCTTCTTTCAAGCGATGATCTGAATGTTTCTTCTGAATCGCAAATTTTTGACGCTCTCTGCGTGTGGGCAGAGTACGATAAAGAAAGTAGAAAGAAAGTATTGCCGAGATTGTTGGGACTTGTACGATTGCCTCTACTTGCGCCGGAATTTCTTGTTGATAAAGTGGAGATGTCATCTCTATTCCGTGATATTAGCTCCTGTAGGGAGCTCATTATCGAAGCAATGAAATACCAGCTTCTACCAAAACGGCGATTTCAACTTCAGAATTCAAGGACAACCCCAAGAAAGTCTACAGTAGGCAAACTTTATGTCGTTGGAGGTAAGTCAATATTTTCGCTTGGCTAATGAGCTTATTCAAATCAACTCGGTGATTCTAGATCGTTTGACTCTTTTGTTATTAAGAATGATAAATTAAACTTAAAATGTTTTTGTCAAGTGGCTGTTCCCTTCTGACGTAAATATGTGAGTTGATGAGGTAGTATATTGTTCCGAGGTCGAACCGCGCAGAGATATTGGTGGTTTTCATGATGATGAACAATACCGCACTCTCAAGTGGAACACTGAAAAGGAAGCGCGGTTGGATGAAGTTCTTTTTCTTGTTGAAAATAAGCTTTTTATTTCCCCGTTAAAATAATTAAATTTAAAGAATTTTAAGTGGCTTTTGGTGGGTGCGGTTTGGAAAAACATCGACGAAACTCGTGAAAAATTACAAACTTCTTATTTTGGTTCAAATTTAGTATTTTCGTGACTTTCCAAGTTTTGTTCAGGTGATCTGGAGTTTGTCATCATAGAAAGGCGATGCTTTCAGTTGATGATCGTCTGTTTTCTCAGTACTTGCTCTACTTACCAGAAAAGTGATAGTATAGGGAGAAACTGGCTATTAATCCATAGTAGAGTTGTCACTTAAAATTGATGTTACCTCTATAGGAAAAGGCACATCTTAGGTGGGATGTTTTTGTTTGAACTTCCCAATCCTCAAGATTTTCAGTCATTATCTTTATTAGCAGTGTTTTTAATAAAAATTCATTTGACCTCTTACGGAATGACTGTTTGGATATTTTCCAGAACAGTTAAAGGAAATGTGCTTTCTATCGCGTGCCGACATGCAGAGATTTTAACCATAATCAGCTTTGCAAAACAAAAGGTTTCAGACCAGAGTCTTTTATTATATTGATGGTTTTGTGTCATGAAAAACAATTAGCTTTGCTTCTTAACCTTTATTCTCAAAGAAGTGACAGAAAAGAAAATATTGACGAAATACTGAAGAACCAATATCAATATCATAAAATATTGCAAAGTTGCATCCTATTTATTGAAGTTACTTGAATAAATAAAGCAAACTTGGGTATTGTTTTTTCCAATTGTGCTCAAATATTCTCATCACTACAAACTTTATGTCTTCTTTTGATCCCGCAGTGAGTGTTTTGTAATCTTTTAAATGAGTTATTTAGTGTTCTGTTTATTCCCTCTTCATGTGACAGCTTCTTGAAATACTCTGGTTATAACAGTCATATGATCACATTTTGTTTGATATGCTCTCACTGTAATTTTTGCAAATTTGCCCTTGTTTTGTGAAAGATGATTTAAAACAATGAAATATCTAATATTTGGGGACTTCTCAAGAAATAAACAATAAGCTTATTCATTAAAAGTAATTAAGTTGCTCTGCCATTTTAGTCTACTGCACATGGCTGTTAAGTGTTATTGACTTGCTTTTAATGGTTTTGGCCTCATCAACAAGGCTGCTTAAGGTCTCTATCATTTAAGAGCATTTTAAAAAAGAACATTAGGCTCTTTTCTTCCCAATCTAGGAATGGATTCATCCAAGGGGGCAATCCAAATTGAGCACTATGACCCACGCAAGAACCAGTGGTCTGTGGTGTCTCCAATGGTTACAAGAAGGCTGCAGTTTGATGTGGCAGTGGTAGGTGGTAATCTCTATGTTGTGGGAGGCAGGGATGGACTGAAGACATTGAATACTGTGGAATGCTACAATCCAAGGACAAAACAGTGGAGTCCTGTGCCATCCATGAGCACTCATCGTCATGGATTGGGCGTGGCAACCTTGAATGGTCCTCTTTATGCTGTGGGTGGCCATGATGGCTGGTCTTACTTGAGCACGGTGGAAAGGTCAGTTTGTAGCTTTCAAACTCTTAAATGTAATGCAAATGTAAGGGTGCTTTATTTGTTCTTGCAATCTGCTGGGAATAGTTGACTGGGATAGAGGTGGGTTAATACCAGTGGAGTGTTCACTTTCATCCAATTTTTAGAATGAAATTTGAGATTTCCTGATTACTTCCAGATTTGACCCTGATACTAAACAGTGGAGCTTTGTTACACCAATGACGACAGCTCGTAGCACCGTGGGAGTGGCAATACTTAATGGCAGACTCTATGCAGTTGGAGGAAGGGATGGTTCTTCTTGTCTGAACTCAGTTGAGCGTTATGATCCTCACACCAACAAATGGTCAGTCACTTGCCCAATGCTTAAGAGAAGGGGAGGTAAGTCTTTATTGAATGTTGTTAGAGTTTTATGGATTTCAAAAACTTCTTTGTTGTTCAGTGTCTTTTTAAAATTTGTTGTTGTTAATGTCATGAGTGCAGAAAAAGGGGGAACCTTTTCATTTGAATCTAAGGTTTAAGAATAATACTGGGTTTCTTTATTTTATTTTATTTCATGTATTCCAATCAACTTTATAACCATATTTCTGTACAGAGGACAAAAATGTTCTCCCAACAGCATCATTATACAGGATCAAGTAAAGCAAATATGAGCAAAGCATGTAGTTCAACAAAGAGTTTTCGACCTTTTCTCATTATGGTACTCTTTTGTTTTCATAATGAAGGTGTTGGTGTGGCTGTTCTTGATAATTTTCTGTATGCTCTTGGGGGTCATGATGCACCTGCCAGCCAAGACTGTTCTCGCCAATTTGATTCAGTGGAAAGGTACAACCCTAATACTGACCAGTGGACTATGGTTGCACCCATGATCAACTGCCGTGATGCTGTTGGTGCAGCATGCCTTGGTGACAGGTTGTATGCCATTGGTGGTTATGATGGATCCAAGTATTTGAGTGCAGTGGAGTCGTATGACCCCGAGAAGAATAAATGGGAAGAAGTTGCTTCTCTTAACTCTGGAAGAGCTGCAGCCTGTGTGGTGTCTGTATCAAGTGATCCAGTAGCAGGTTGATTTTTTGGCCAACCTTTTTGGACAAATTATTATTTGTATTGACTTAAAAGTAGTACTCTTCAGCTGAGAGATCTGGAAACCATAAGCACCCAAAATATTTATGGAAATCAACTGAATGACATATTGAAAGATAACTAGACTGAGGAAACTCTTCTGTGAGTTGTTTGTGGTTTACTCCAGAACCCATCCCTCATCTTCAATTAAGTTATGAGTGATTAAGTCACTCATAACACAATAAGCATTCACAAAATATTTTAGGTGTTCATGGTTTTTTCAAGTTTGACGGTAGTTTTTGCTCATCATTTTTAAATAGTTTTTGCAGCCCATGAATACACAGAGATACTAATTAAAAGGATGAAGGGTTTTATGTTCAGTATATAATTTAAAGTATTGTCAAGTATTTATCAAATAAGAGATATACTATGGTGCAATCTGTTTGGGGAAAAAAAAAACTTTAGTGTCCATTATTAGAAAGTGATAGCCATATACAAATGGAAACTGACAGATTTTTACATTAGGTAAAATAATGGAAAGTGCATTCTTTTGTGAGATGAAAAATGTTGTAGTTTTTAATTGAACTGGAGATAAGGATGTGTTTGAATTCTTTTGAAGTCTTTGGAGACAATCAGGTCTTGTACGAATCATTTCATCCCTTTTCTCCATAAATGGTTAGAGTTACCAGAGAGTTATTTGATTTTTCTCTTCTTGTTGCTGTTTCTATGATGAGAAAGATATCTTCGATCCTCCTTGAAAATAATTTTTTAGACAGGCAATTCTTGGTTGATATTTGATTTAATATTTTTGTTCCAAAGCATTCTTTTTAAGTAAAAGATTATTTTATTTAGTATTTATTATGCGTAGTCTGAAATTATCACAAGTTAAATCCAAAACTACTGACAGAAAAAGATGATTATGAAATATTGAGTTTCTGGTAACATTTCTCAGTTACTCAGATGTTGTTGGCATCATACTGATGGGGCAGATAGCTTTGAATAATTAACTTGAGAGACAAAATTGACAGAAAATGGATATAAAATAATTTTATTTGATTTATGATAAAATTGGCAATGGTTTGATCAGAAAATTTTGCAGGGATTTTATTTTTTACATGGTTATGATTTAATTTTTTTTTTACGGACAAGTTTTTGCAGTCAAAATGACTGGGGCAGATAGCTTTGAATAATTAACTTGAGAGACAAAATTGACAGAAGAATAGTTATAAAATTGATATATGATAAAGTTGGCAATGATTTGATCAGAAAATTTTGCTGAAATTTTATTTTGTACATGGTTTTATTGAAATTTGTTTTTTAAGGGACAGGTTTTTGCAGTCTAAGATTACTAAAACATCTGTTGGGGACTCAGTTTTAAAATTTTATGTTCACCCACTAGCACATTGACAAGGAAAGAAATAGTTTTTCTTATTTGTGGAGTCATACAGGGGTGGGTTTCATCTAAGATTTCTTTAACGAATGACTCTATGAGTGAGTCTGAATCTGTATAGTTTTTCCTAGAGTTGGAAGTAGATTTTTGTGTCGTTTGTTATTAAATTTTTTTTTCCTGGGGAATTCTCGTTTGCAGAGTTAGTACTCTTAAATTAAAGCCCACAAAATGTTTATTGCCACTGGTATCATGCATTTATAATCAAGCTTGAGCTTGAAATTTTTAACAGCTATTCAGGCAAGAGCACTTTGAGAGTATAAATGTTTAATATATATTGTTTTCTAGTAACAGTAGTACCAAGCTTAGAGGTTTGTAGGCTTAATTTATTTGTACATAAGTTATGAGAATAAATGACAAATATTGATGACGTGAAGGCAATGCTGATTGAGAGAAACTGTATCTCTTATTAAATGACTGAATATATTTAAGTCATACACTTGAACTGTGGATAACAAAGTGAACATGAAAGCAGAGAGCAGTAGTGAAAATGAGGCCCAGGATCAACATAATGACCAGCTCCCAATTAGCTTGTAAGCTCAGTTGGTAGAGCAATGCACTGGTATTGCAGAGGTCATGGGTTCCTATCCCATACAGGCCTGAAATTTTTTTAGGCTTTATTTTCATCACTGCTTAACCCTTTAACTCCCAATTCTCCCTTTTAAGAGCTACACTTTTCCCTGTTAATTTACTGGGAGAATTTAGCATTTGATCAAGATAACATCCACCTGATAAGTTTGAGTATTCTCATTACCTGTTTGCTGGGTAATTTCTGGATATTATAGGGAGAAACTACATGTTAATCATGCCTGGGAGCTAAATGGTTAAGAAATGTTCATTACTGTGAAGATTGCCTTCATATTCACTGTGTCACCTATCATTCCTAACATTACAAAAACAGGGGTAGGTGGGAAGAATTCAAACATGGGTAAAGGTGTAAGGTTAAGTCTGTGCTCATGCCAAGCTCATCTCTCTAGAGCTTATCCTACTGTATTTAGCATGAAGCAACTTGGAAATATCCCTACTCCCCCCTGGATATGACACTTGTCCATTGCAAGGTTACCCCCTGTCATATGATTAGGCTTCCCTGATAATTCTACTTTACCCATCCATCCATCCATATTCCTGTTTGGAGAGAGGCACTGTGAAACTAAACTGTTTTGCCCAAGAACACAACACTCTGACCTGGCCAGGTCTTGAACCAGGTCTTAATCAGGACAGTGCAAATTTTTTTCAATCATTTCTGGATTTTCAGAAACAGTAATTATTTTTTTTACAAATTTAAGGTTTCCCTGATGGAGTTCTTCATTATCAATAAAAAAAAAAAAAAATCAGCAAAGGTCTAATCTTCCAAAATGAGCAAAGGACTTCTTGTACAAGGGTAAAGCAGTACTACAGAAACAACAATACATACTACAAACAACAAATCCAAACTTTTTTAATTATTATTTTGGTTACCTTGTCAAACACCTAATGAAACTACACATCAATCAATACCAATTGTTTTGAAACACTACCAGACCAAGGTGTAAATGTTGATGTCACATTTCTCCAGTGTGAGATAGAAAAAAAAAATACATACACCGACATGTTCCATTACAACACTTTGGCAAATAAAATATGTAAACATACTAGAACTACTTCAATCAAATTTGAAAAGGTATTTCTTAATTCAACAGTGATATCATTTCATCACTTTCCATAATTAACCTGTAAAAACTACTCCTATTTGGTGTTTGATCACCAACTTCCAAGTTTGGAGCTGTTATCCAGAATCTATAAATAACACACTGCTATAATTTTACAAGAATATCAAGTATGAATTATGAATGCATATCATTATTACTACCTGCTATCACTACCTATTTCTGCATCATAATTCTTGGAATCATAACCTTCTCTGAACATACTTACTTACAATAATTATTACAGTGAACAAGTTAACTCAAAATTGTTTGTCAATATTTAATAGGATGCCAGGAACTCATCAGCTAATTCCTGTCAATATGAAAAATTATAGTTGATTAAAAATTTCAGATTCTTTTATCTATGAAAAGTACAGTTGGCTTACCTTGAGCCATTTTGCACATGGATTTGTGAAAGGGTGCGAATGTAAAATTAACTTTTGTCTCAAAATTCACAGAGCATTTGGGTATACCCCATCTATCATTGCTAGACACAACAAGGCTAGCACTCGATATATCCCTGACATTTCAACAGCTAAAAGACAAAGGCTTTCCTGTCAGAAATCTTGGGTGCCAAGCTCTTCTTAGACTTCATATGAAGACAATACACATCAAGTCACCCAAAACTTTAGCTCACTTGTTTATGGTACCTGTGCTTTGCAAGAGCAAAGCCTCAAATACCAAATAACGTCCCCACCTTGAACATGAATAGGTAGAGTCCAGTCCAAGTGTCTGGCAAGGTACAGTACAACTGCACACTCTTGATAACAGGTTGGCATTAAACCCTGTAATTAGTGCTGGAAACTTAAGTATTGCCACAAAATTGGTCAGCAGCTTTCCATGGTGAATTTTCAGTGCAGAAGACTTTAGCCCTAAGGAAAGGGCGAGGGAACAAAATCAATATTTACAGCATCTTGTGCAAAGGAGATTTCTTCACTGAGAGTCTGTAGAAGATTTATCCATCTTTTCGTCTAGAGTTCTGAGATAGTCACGAAGTTTCTGAACTTCCTCTCGTAACTGTCTGTTCTCGTCTTCCAGCGAAGCAGCTCTTTCCGCAACACATAACTCTTTCTGTCTCTTGAGATCTCGAGATCTTTTGGCAGCTTGATTGTTCTTCCTCCTTCTCTCCCAGTATTTTTCATCTTTAACATCGTCGTTCACTGTCTGTCGGGAGATCTTTCGCGGCTGTTTTCCCTCATCATTGCCAGCTGTTGTATTCCCCTGTTTCTCTTTGGTATCTTCTGCTTTCCTTCTCCTTCTTCGCGGTGCACTTGTTTTCTGTGCGTCGTCATTTTTCGCTGTTGATTTGCGCTTTCTCTTCTTGGGAGAGGCTCTCTCGGTCTCATTTGAATTAAGGGACTCGCTCGAGCTTAAAGAGGCAGGATTTTCAGAGCTAACACTCTCACCTCGTCCCTCGTCCGTATCGCTGGTACTACCTCCGAAGCAATCTGGAGATAGCTGAGGAATATTCGAAGGTGGAAAGGTGTAAAACGGAGGGACATCTTCATCGTCCACGAGATTAGCGATGTCTTGATCGATTTCATCTTCCGAGTAATCACTCTCAGTTCGAGAAAGGCCAGTGCAAAGATCTTTGACGGCCAAAAACTCATCCAAGTCCATGTAATCTTTAAGAAAGTTGGCGGTCATTGTGATCAACCTGACGAAGAAATAAACGTACTCTTTTTCAAATTGTCCAAAACAACATTAAGCTTAGATGTTCTGTCTAATTTCTTACTGGCGACTCCGGTGTTAAAACTTGCGTTAAATGATAACTAGCGTTAAAATTTTGGAGACGTTAAGGTACACTTGCCTAAATTTTGCAGAATTAGTGCAAAACAAAGCTCTTCATTCGTATCACACCAGGTTCGCCGCTAAAGTTTTCGTCGTCGTCTTCCTTCCCTCACTTTTTCACTCGTACTGCTATTTTTCAGAATATGTCTAACTTATTTCACGTGCCGACGGTAGTACCGATCGAGACTACCTCATCCAGGAGAAACTCAGACAGGACACTATTGGATGGAAACTTGGAACAATCAGCTTGCTTCACGTGCGGAATATATTTCCTACTGGAGAAGTCACTTGGACATGTTGGATAAAGGTGATTAGGTCACGTTTTACGAACACAGCCCGTGAAACGTGCGTATGTGTTGGGGCGCTACACGCGACTGTCAGTGCTGAAGGAAGCGAGAAAAAGTAAAGAGTTTCGAAAAGGTGTTCAGTTAGCTGCAAATTGTCTTTTTATTTTCCTTCCTTGAATGCTTAGGCATTGGGAAAATTATATTTCTCATAATAATGCCTAAACCTTTTTATTTGCTTTGCAAAACTCACTAGTTATTCAGACAGCTGTGCTGAGTCTGCTTTCCGATATTGAGCCACATTAAAATCCAGACAGACAGTGACCATTTTTGTGTGAGAAAATTATGCACCTGCGCTTAGAAAACGAACACTTCGATTATCTGTGTAGCGCGCCGAACACATTGGAACCTCTTCACGCTTCCAAAAGTCGCAGGGTAATGAGACACGCTTCCTTGCTCGCGTGCATGAGCCGCGTGAGTTTTGAAGGTAACATACAACTACGCACGTGTAGGATAAAAACTTTCCTCCCTCCCCTCCCTTCCATTAATTTTAGCGAGTACCCGTATGTAGAGTAATCATCGAGTCAGTTTTATCAAAACCGAAAACCAAACTATCAAGTTATCAATTCAGTAGAAATCCAACATCATTCACTGACTTGCACGAGAAATAAAATTAGAGAAATTTAATTCTTTTAGAGGTTGTTATTCAGATATAACATTTATTGCTCTCCCAGGGTTAGATCTAGCAAATCCTGTGTAGTAAACCTTCATCGCTAAAATTAGGACAAGCCTATTATAGGCCATGTTTTTGACAAGGTCATGTTGTGACTTGAGTTGTTTGTTTACAACTTGGAAAACAATGTCAACGTGTAAAAGTGGAACAAACCACGTTTCACACGTGTCACATCTGCAATCATGCGTAAAATACTACCCCACTCCCCATCCGGAGAGATCTCACTCTCAATATGACTGTTAATGGCCACGTCCGATAGCGAACATGACAACTCTTCCTCTCCGAAGTCGGAAAGCAAATTTGGACATTCTTATGAGGATGAAAGATTTGCAAGAGCAGAAGAAGCTAAAGTAGCTGATCCTAAAGGCTCTCCTATTGTTTGGGGTAGACAAGAAAGTATATTTCTTGCTGAATCTTCGACTTCTTCGGAAGACATTCAAACTATATACACTGAAAGGTGTGAAACGGCTCCACTTACAACCGCAAGTGAATCAGCAAATACGATAACAGAAGAACCAGATTTTTCTGATGAGTTTGAATTAGTTGCCGATTTTAGCGAGGGAGACTTTACAGTAGAGATAAGATTATCTGAATTAGTTAGAATTAAGTTTAAGCCTCTCAGTAAAGTTTTGCTTACTTGAAGAAAATCAGATTGAATGAAAAACATTACTATAACGTTTGAATTTTTGTACACATAACTTCCAGAATGAAGGCAATAGTGGATCATTAGAGGACGAAGCGCGGACCAATTTCTTAAGTAAGAAGTTTAAAATTCTCACCTCATCCCAGACAAGCACCAAGACACAAACTGACACGGAGGGAAGAAGTGACGAAAAAGTTGCTGGTATGAATATTTCGATCTTTCAAAGGCGCCTAACTCTAACCCAAATAAGCCAAAAATTTGATGTGACAGCTGTATTTTACAATCACAATCACTGAGAAGTTTGTGGCGCCACTTCCGTGTAATCCCATTCTTCATTATGCCCAGTCAGTTGTTTTGTAAAATAAATTCGTTCAGGTGGCTAGTTAACGGCTGACTATGTTCTCGGCAGAGAGATTGTGTGAAAATTTATTATTTGGCCGAGAAGAGAAGCTTTAAGGGTTATCGTGAAACTTTCTGGAACTATAGTCATTACAGAGTTTGATTTCTATATTGTGTGGGAGACGTAATCAATTTGGTTAAAAGTGGTGTATGGAGGGTGATGAGGAAGGCAGAGCACCTTTTGACAAAACTAAGATGAGTATATCTCCCTGCTGCTGTCTGAACTATTGCAGGACAAAGAGATTTGATTTCTGTTTTTAACCTCTCAGCCCACAACTGTCAGGAAATCAACTTCTGTGCAAGGAAATTGGAATTGGTGGAAACAAATGGAAAGAAAACTGGAATAGGACACTGTGAGTACAATCTGTCTTCAAAAAAAGTGTTACAAAATTAAGTTGTGTAGTTAAAACTAAAAATATTTAGGTGGCCAAGTTGAAAAGTGATTAGCAAGAACTGTTCAACTATGAGCAGCAGGAGAGAGAAAATTGTGCATCAAGAGTCTAATTCCTGAACATTTCTTTGCTATGTTTCAGAATTAAACTAATTGTGATATTTCTGTAGTACATCAGTGTCAGTGTCTGTATCACCTTGGTATCAGTGAAAGAAGTGGATATTTAACTTGCCACTTTGCAGTGTGGTAAATATCCACCGCTATTTACTGACACTGAGATGAATAGTTGTGAACTATACTACTGACAAGTATGAACCCTGGGTTAGAGTGCAGTACTCTGTTGATAAGGTTACAGTTTGAGCCTGAAGAAGACTTTTATTTATTTATTTATTTATTTAAGGATTTGTACAAAGCAGTAACTGAGTAAAAACAATAGGACATAAGTCCCCTACTAGGTTTAAGCTCCAACCCAACCCCCTTTTATTAAAAAATTAACTTTGTGTACACTTGAGTGCTTTCCTGGTATCTTTGAATCATAGGGTCTGGGTAAACTGTGCTTATAATATAGAGTTCCATCAAGTTGATTTTGGTGATGGTAAATTGTCACAAGCACAACTCTTTTTTGTAATCAGCTGACCAGAGAGTGATGGCAAATGCAAAAGGGATGTCACATGGACAGGATAAACCCATTGAGGGTAACAGAAGAAAGATTGAAAATTTAATGATTGAGAACTTGATGAACAAGGCAAAAAAGGTTAGTGTAATGGTGGTGTTTAAGTGAATTTTTCATCATTATAAAATCTTCTAGAGGAAATATACACCCTTTGAAACCAAAACATTGTCCATGTTTGTGAGATGACCATTTCACTCCCAGAAGTGGTTATCAATACCAGTGAGAATACAGAAAATTATGAATTAGCCAGCAGTTGTTGTCTTGGTGTTAAGACTAAATTCAGGATAAATTTGAATTCATCTTGCCGGGATTTTGAAAAAAAAAAACCAAAGGAACCCATCGGGAATGAATGTCTCCCTTCCTTTATTTGATTTCTAATGTGCATTAAGTCTTAAAATGGGCCCTTAATTGAGAATGTTGGGTAAACGTTCAACTAGATTTCTGATGTTTTGCTTACAGCTTAAAGAATGGGACTTCCACAATCCTAAACACTGCACTGACTGCAGGTAATCCTACTTTTTGCATATAAGGGTTGACAAGCTCCCTGTTAATTTTTCCAGAACTAGTTCATTTCTATGACGAGGGAATAACTTCTCTCTTCTCTGAATTTTCTATTTAGGAAAATGAAGGCTAGTGTTGCAAGCAAGACTTTTTTGAAAAGAAAGGTGGAGATAGCAAAGAGAGCTGAGTTTGAAGAGAGACTTCAGTTACATTTGTATCACAAGGCATGTTTAATGTAGGGATGTACTCTTTCAAAATGATCAAATTTTAAGACATTCCATGACCCTTGAGCAGGTTCAACATATCCATGTGTCTGTTCTAACCCTTTTACTCCCAAGATCTTATTCAATTCTCTACCATACAATTCTTATATTGTTAGTTCAGAGAATTTGGTATTGGATCAACTAATAATCCTCTAATTGATATTTCTGCTTGCCATAGTAATGGGATTGTGGGATACATTACTGTTTAAACACTCTTGGAAGTCAAGGGTTAAAACACAAGTTTGAAAGTGGAGATGTACATGGCATATTCAGGGTTCACTAATGGGAGCAATTTTGTTTTTTTGTTACAGGATTCTGCCACCCTCCTTGCTGAAATAGTGAATTCTTGTACAAAGCCATCTGAATCCCCAGCTGAAGTTTGGGAAAAACTACTTTGCACAGAAAGAAAAATATGATGACTGGTGTAATACCAATATTAGTTACCAAGCTCTTGGCAAGTGGAGATGAGTTAAAAAAATCTGAAGGATTCTATGTACTGTAATGTTGCTTATTCCCAGAAAGCAATGCTTGGAGTATAAGTACTGCCATCTGTGCTAAGTTAATGCATTTCATTGATGCCAACTGAAGAACAGTTTTATGAATTATGGTACATCAACCCAGTTATTGTATTGGACAGATCATTAATGAACCATTATGCGAGTGACATCTGCAGGGTTGAGCGCTGTTGCCCTCATTACACTCCCTACTTTTATCCTGTTATCCTCTGGCACAACCCACAATTTAGTCACTTCCCAGTAACAAAGAGCTTCAATTGGCTTTATATTGACATCAACAAAACGCTTCTGCATGTCATAAGTACTCAATGACAGACATTTTTTTTTTTAAATATGAGAATTTCCTGAGTGACTGCATGGATACATGATTAGTTTACTATTTTCCTTGCTAAGTTATTGAAAAAATAAACAAAGGTTAGTGCTTATTTAAACTTATTTATTTTAACTCTGTCAGTAAAACATGTTATTAATAAAAAGAATCTTTACATGATAAATTTATTTCATTTGACTGATTCTCTGACTGAATTTAGTGAGTACCAGAACTATTGCTGGATAAAAAGGGCCAATGAGCTTCACTTTCCCCTTTAATTCACCAATTAAAACAGGTGAAATAAAACCTGCCCCCTCTCCCCCTCACCAATGAGATACAATTGATAATTAGGGGCTATTTACACTAAAACACTAGACAAATTATATAGTTAAATATTGCACAAAAAAATACATTGTCTTTAAACAAAATGTCTTTTCACTCTTTTATTTATATACCTGTACTGAAATTTACAGAGTTGACATGGCTACTAAATTTTTATTTCTCTACCACCCACTCAAAAATAATGATAATGATGAAATTAAATTAATTTCTTTGTTATACAAAAGAAATCTTCACATTTATCAGCACTAGTGCTATACCAACAACTTAATGTCACTGATGACTGCAAGTACAGTAGTATACCCTCCTAAATACTTGTTATCAGAGAGGTTGCTGCCATCCTCCCTACAATAATTTCCCTGCTTGACTTGCTGAGAGCAACATTCCTTGCTACCTTTAAGAGCAATCCAACTTCAAATTGAATCAGGGGAAGGAAAATTATTGTGCCAGCAGGTGTTTATAAGGATGAAGGCAACAAAATCCCAAAATTTAACTACAGGCTTAAAAACCTTTTGCGACAAGGCCTTCACCTCTTTATCAAATAACCATTTACTTCCTACTAAAACAATTCTAGAAAAGAAACAAATTGGTAACCAAGTCACTGTCAACTGTTTGAACATGCAGCTTTGTGTTACCTACTCTTTCCCTATCTTTATCTTTCATTACAATACATATCTATATCAATTTCAGTTGTTTGTTTTAACACAGTAAATAGCAGAGTTGTCTCATGATGGCAAGATTAAATGGAAGGTTTAACAGTGTATTAAATATTTCACTTACATCACATATCCCCCCCAAAGGTATTTTACCTTAATTGTCACGCATTGTCAATACTGTTTGCTCTTTCATAAACCATTAAGCTGCGTAATTTTCTTTTTAATGCAACAAGAACTCTTTATAATATCTTTTAACACCTGAGCTTTATACCACTATGTTTTACTGATAAAACTAATTGTAATTTAGCAGAAATTAGTGGGTTGTGTGGAATGGAGATCAGAAAGAGGAGTGGTTTTGTACCATGTTACACAAATAATAAAATCATTGTGGCTTTAAGAGAATTAGCCTTTTTTACCTATTTCCTATTTAAGAACTTTGGAAACCTAGGTGCTTATCCATCCTTGAAATCAATATTCATTTAAGAAAATAATAGCCACCTCTAATTTTCAAGGAAAAATAAAGCCTTTTATGAATAACATCTTGCTGATGAAATTTCATGTTATTGGGCTCAATAAACAAAGCTGTTTTCGTCATTGCTGTGACAAAAAAAAAAAAAAGAATGGAAAACAAGGAAAAAAAGGGAATTGAGAACCATTTTGCAACATATCAACTAAAAATATACTTTCCTTTTACCCTTTAACCCTAAGAGTGACTAGCATCCAATTTCTCAGCACAATGTTAACTCAAATCACACATTAGGGTTATGAAACTAAAGGGGATGACCACTAATTTAAAGACACTCTTGATTGTTAAACAAATTCTTCTGGTCAGCACTTCAAGAGATGTAAAGAGAACAGTATGGAGAATATGCATACTGATGTCAGGGTTAAAGTCTCTGACTCTATCACTTGCAAGAGGTAAAACATGTCAAGTACTTGATCCATATTTGAAATTGCTTTGAATTCACTCTCAATATTTCTTTAATCAACCTCACTCTGGTAGGGTACTTTCCTTTCTAACTGAGGATGAAACTGAAAGAAAATTATTGAATAAAGGTTGTTGATTACTCACACCACAATTCATGCAAAAAGCAGTCAAAGTAAAAGTAAGTTATTTTCGAGGTGCTAACTCCTAACCCAAACTATTGTACCATACAGTAAACAGAACGTTCTTTGTTGTAACTATCCAAAATTCTGTTCTCACTTTTGGCGTGCTAACACACTTCTTACCATTTTCTTAGTAACCCATTAAGTTAAAAACCCACATATATGGATCAATTGATTACCTCAGTTATGATTTTCCGCTTAGATTCCACAGAACTTGTACCTAGTTATTTGAAGACATGCATTTCACTTTTTGCACTCACAAACAAAGTGTAAGAGGAAATTGGGTACTAATTAAAATATGTATGAAACTAAAATTCAGAAATATTACCTTTTCTGAAGTCTTTGATTTCCACTTTTAGTGGGCTGGTGGCTTTTTTCACATTGAAAGAACTCCATGCAGAGACTGAGGTTTTATCCACTTGTACTCCTGAAGCATGCAGTGACCTGGTTACACCACAAACTGGTGATTCTTTAGAGTGGCTTTCCTCAGACTCACTTAAAGGATCTGGTGATTTTTCATCATCTGTGTTCTTGTCCAAATCAACCAGATTTTCAATAACCTCTGGCAGTTTTGCCAGGGGCACATCTGGATTTTGCTCTAAGCCTGGTATTTGTAGCATCTCCTGGGTCAAAACTGTAGAAGAATGTGATGATTCTTCTTTAAATATATCATCAGGAATCTTAGGAGAACTTTGAGCAGTTCTTACCAAGTCATCCACTTGATTATTGATTTCAGTAGTTCCCAAATCTAAGGCAGTAGTGGCATGACTTGGCTCTACAGACACTGTTGTAGATGCCACAACGGGTGTTGACACAACAGGCGTGGACAGAAGAGTGGCTGTACAGGTGGAGCTTGAAATAGGTGGGCTTGACGCAAGTGGACTTGATGCTGCAATTTGTTTTGGAACTAGATTGAACGGATCTAAACATGTTTTAATCAGAGGTACATTAGCACCACTATTGGTACTATTGGTACTCATACTTGGAGAAGATGGCAAGGAATTTTGAGTTAATGATGAGAGGCTTGTGTTCAGAGGAGAAGAACTAGAAATAGGAATTATTGGTATAACAGAGATCTGTGGGTGTTTTGTTGTGGATGAAAAAGTTTGTTTTGAAGATGTCAGGTGAACTTGGCTGCCCTGAAATTTTGGTGTGCCTGTAGCCATGGATACTGTTGGCAAGTCAGTTGTTGACGAGCAAGTGTCAGGTTGCCTAGGAACTACTTTCATTACAACATTTTTTAGACCACTTAAGATTCCAGCTACAGGAGTTAAAGTCAGACTTGCTGGGCTTGTAACTGTTCCTGCTTGAGGGACCTTGTTGGCTTGTAATTGGTTAAGAGAAGCTAGTGCTCTCAGTGCAATGTCAGAAGTTGGTGTGTTGCTGGTTGAAGTTAACACACCATACTGTTTTCCATCAATGATAACTTGTGCTGTTGGTAAAGGTTTCACAGGAATCTGTGAGACTAAGACTGTATTTTCATCATTTTTTGGTGCTACGGGTGATGTTGAAATCCCAGGTGCTTGAGGTATTTTAGCAGCCCCTACTGTAACAAAATTTGACACCGTTAAGCTGGGTGTTGCTGAACCTTGCTGACTTGTTGTCAATGTGGTTCCCAAAGAAGTGTTTAAAATTGCACCCTCTGCATTTTCAGGTATCAGAGGAAGCTTGGAAACTAAGAGTGCACTCTTGACATGTTTTTGCACAGCAGGTGTCTGGATTCCAGAGACTTCAGGTATTTTAGCAGTCCCTCCTGTGACAAAATTTGGCATCTTTACACTGGGGGTTGCTGAAACTTGCTGACTTGTTGTCAATGTGGATGCCAAAGAAGTGTTCAAACTGACTTCATCTGCTTTTTTTGAAGTATTATTTGTACCAGTAATGGTGATATGCATAACATTCTTACTTTCTAGGCTCTTCATGAATGGGCCATCACTCCTAATGATTCGAATTCCAGAAGAACTGCTGGGATTCTGTTGGGTACTCAACCGTGAGAGATTGCAAATAATTTTATCGCTGGATGGCTGCCTCACCTGTCCAAGAGTTTCCATGATCACTTTCTGCTGAGTTGGATGTAACTGAAGAATAGGAATACCTGGCTTGGGCAAAATTTTCACCAAATTTGCCTTTTGTTCCTCTTGACTGGTTGATTCCAAGGATGGCTTGCTTTTTGCTGTGCTGCTGTCTTTCAAGAAAATATGTGGCAGGTGGGTGAATAATTTTGATTGATCTTGACCCACTTTCTGAATTTGACTTTCGCATGATGCATTTGAATTGACTGAAGGTGATGTCTCTGTGGAGGATGCCACTAAACTTAAAATATCTTTTGATGTTTCCAAAGCACCCTCTATAGTAGTTTTCTTTGGAGGAACTCTTAAGCTTTGTGGTTCTTCTCTGTTTTTCAGTGCTGGTTTGTTACTGATATTGGAAATCCATGCCACAGGAGACAGCAATGTCTTCTTTGCCCGTGGACGACCCTTGACACAAGGTTCCATTGCACCTTTAGATTTGTTATTTGCTATCACAGCTACATCTTGTTTCCTGTTCAAATTTTCTTCTGATTTTGAGACATCTTCTTCCTCTACAGTAATGTTGAGGTGCTTTAATATGGTATCAACCTTTGCAGGATCAACATCAATTGAAATTTTTCCAAACATTAGTAAATTTCTTTTCTCCTGAAGTTCTTTGTTAGCTTTTATAAGCTCATTTTTTGTGTTAATTAAATCTTTTGACTCTTTTGCTAATTCTTCCACTGTACTGATTCCCTTGCTGAGAATAGCTTGTTTGCTAAAGTACAAGTCTACATCTACAAGGTCAGTAAACACCTCCACCTTCATGTCATTGAACAGATCACCCAGGTGGTGACGACGCTTTCTTTCTGTGGCACTCCTTGTTGCTTTAACAGTGTTTGGATCACGACCATTTTTCTGTGACATATGGGAGTGTAAGTCTTCAGAATCATCAGGTTTAATTATCTTGATCACCTCCCCTTCCTGCATTTTGGCACATTGCAAGAAAATGTCAATCTCATTTGGCCATGCTTGAATTGATGTATCAATTGTTCCATCTTTGGTCATTCCAGGGTGGTAACTGAAGTGACTAGCCTCCACGCCACTCACCACAAGAAAGTTCTTACTTGTTTCTCTCCCAACTGTTTCAACGTCAACTTCTGTAACTTCTGTTCCCTTCTCTGATTCTTCTTTTTCAACCTTTTGGATCTTATTATTCAAGAGAAAACAACCACTACCATCAATTGTGTCTGTTTCTGAGGAATTGTCACTCAAATCAGAAAAAACACTGATGGTTGTTGTTTCGTCACCAATATCAACTTCTTGGTCACTGCTGATTGGTGTTAAAACATCCTGTGAAATTTTCTCTTCCCCAGGCCCCTCTTTGGATAGACTTAGCTCAGAAGATAAATTACTAGTCAAATTCAGTGACTGCAAAGCACCCACTGACTCAGAAGTGTTCTGTTTATTTTTCCAAAAACCACCTCTAATAGGCCATGCTATGGTTCGTGCACTCCAGGATTTTTCCATTTTTGGTTTTAACAATGATGATGGCCCTTGAGTCTTCTTTCCCTCTTCATTATTGCTGCCTTCAAATTGTACATTTTCCACATCTTGTAATGTAAGACTATCATCATCTCCTAAGTTCTCTGTATTTTCTTTTTGGGTTCTCTCTGTATCTGGGACTTTTGATTCGTGTTTCCCTCGTTTCTTTATTCTAAATTTGGTTTGACTTGTTTGATCACAATGTTCATGTTTCCTTTTTTTCTTCTTTTTCTTTCTAAGAATCAAATCAGATGATGTGCCAACCCCTTCTGATTCAACCTCATTCACCTTACCAGTAGCTGATAAGTCAGCTACAACATCTTCTACATTCTTAGTAGCCACAGATTTTGCAGAAGCTTGGTTTACGTCCTGTTGTGAATCTTCATCATCCCCTAAATCCACAGTTTCGGAGCACAAAAGCGAAATTTCGGAGAAAACGCTCAAAGACAGATCATTGTTTTCGCTTGCGTCACCAGAATCATTTGCTGGGATAGATTGAGAAAGCTCTCGATCATTTAAAAACGTGCTCGCGGCTGAGGCAGTGTCGGTTTTCTCCCTTGACAATACCAACGCGTCGGTTGTCAAGGGACAAGTTTTCTTGGCAACTTTTTTCTTACCGGTAGTAGCTTTTTTCTTGCTTGGTGGAGCATACAGGCCCAATTTTTCCTCAATAATTCCAGCGCTGACTTCTTTTTTCCTCTTCTGGCGCACATTTACGTTGATGGCCGTAGATGTCGCTTCGTTGCTTTCGATATGACTTTCGAGTTCATCGAGCGACGCGAAGGATAAGAACGCAAACCCACCAAGGAGGTCCAAATCGGGCTCCAGAAAAACTCTTCTAGAAGAGCTTGCAGGCGATTTACCCTTCCATCCCGCTTTAGATACAAATCCAAACGTGGAATTCGTCAAATTGGCGTTCAAAACTTGAGCAATAGGGCTATCTGCCGCAGCCTTCGTCTTGGACTTGCTTCCCATACCAGACACCTTCCGGAAACTTGCCACTACGCCCTGTGCAATTTATACCTAATAACCGCCAGATCGGCCTTTAAGTAAATTTAATGACTATTAAACTTGCCCTTAAACCTAATCTTGGCTCATTCTGAAGAAAATATGCTGCAAAAATCAGCCATTTCTCGGTTGTTTTTCTCGAGTTCTGAGATCGCGGCCACGTGTTTTCACCCAGAATCCTCCACCCTAATCGTCGCCATTTTGAATTCCAAATAAAGCGCTGATTGTTTTATTAGCCAATGCAATCACTTACCCTCAAAGTCACTGACCGCGTGACTGGTTGTTTAAAAACATCCAGGGACATCCTAGGAGTACACCGGTTAGGTGTGAAATTTGCTCATAATCCACAGAGATGTTGCTTAAAACCAAGAAGACTTGTACTAGAATCTGTGTTGGACTGTTTTTCTTGCTCGGTGGTATCGAATATGGTAAGAAATTACTGCATGCGTTTTTAGCTCAACTTTGTTTATTGTTTTGCAATTTTGCAAGCTTCTTGGTGTTACGTGTGTTTGACATGTTTCACCTTCTCGTGTTTGAGTCAGTCAAATAATGATGTACATGACAACAGTATGTGTAAACACGGATAATAACTTATAAATAATAATAAATAACGTGAACGCAACGATAAAGGAGTCGATTCCGTGTCTGGTTACGTCAGCCTGAATTAGTATTTTTGGAGTTATTCACGTGATGTTACTACAGAATAACGTCTGAGTATTTTTGAACGATTTAAAGCTGCGATGGTACTGATCCCAATCCTTTTCTTTAAAAGTTTACTCTTTTCTATAATAATCTCTGATGGGATCGGTGTTCCTGTCTGACTGTTTGAAACCGTTCACACGTTTGATAGCCTTCTAATTAGTAACTCTATCCACGAATAACTCATTAACTGAATTAAAATCTCATCATGTTGATCACTTAATAACTTTGTGTTTGTTTATGAGCTTGCTGTTGTCCATTATGTTTTCAATCCTCTTGAAATTGTAACCCTGGTTATGTTGTGTGACTTAGAGTAGTTGTACACACTTCACTTTGATGTTTTAACTCTATCCACGAATAACTCATTAACTGAATTAAAATCTCATCATGTTGATCACTTAATAACTTTGTGTTTGTTTATGAACTTGCTGTTGTCCATTATGTTTTCAATCCTCTTGAAATTGTAACCCTGGTTATGTTGTGTGACTTAGAGTAGTTGTACACACTTCACTTTGATGTTTTAGGGTTAAAGCCCTTTAACTCCCATGAGTGACCAAAACAGAATTTCTCCTTACAATATCAATACAATATCAAGCAGAAAAGTGATGAGAATGAAGAAGGAAACCTTAATTTGGGGATTATTAGTTGATCCAATACCAAATTCTCCAAACTAACATTACAAGAACTGTTGTGTAGACAATAAGGAGAATTACCAATGAGATCTTGGGAGTTAAAGGGTTAAATAAGCTATTAAATAGGCTATTAAAATAAGCCCTTATATAGAAAATGGGAAGAAGAATAAAACTAAATCTGTTGCCCTTCAATGCTAATGTATTGACTGTAAAGTCTTTGTTTTATCATTTTAAACCAAAATATGCTGACCAAAAAGGTGTATTGAGCAGCAAGAATAAAAACTTTTAACTTATTGCTGCTGTCCACGTCTCAAGAATGTTGGTGCTTAAGCTCCCAATGATCAATTCTCAACAGTGGCTGCCGTATATTTCCTGAATTTTAAGAGTGCAGTGAATGAGAATTTAGTGTTGGATCAAACATTGTATCTTAGTTGATTTATCATTTTCTTCTTTAAAATGTATCACTATTGCGAGGAGAAACTTCTTTTCCACCTCTCCTGGGAGTGAAAGGGTCAGGAATTACTTGTACTACTTAGGAAGAGAATGTTTATCCTTTCAGTCTGTAGGATGTTAATATTCAAAAATTAATAATTATTTGTACCACTGCAGCTGTAATTCTTCCAACTCTTTGGTTGTACCTGGAGCACAGATTTGATGCAGAGCAATGGTTTTTTGGGGTAGTGTTTGCAGCCTTCTGTTTCTCAAATCTGTTGGCCAGTCCTTTTTTTGGCTTCTGGGTTGATTATACACGAAAAACCAAATCTGCAATTCTGTTTGCAAATCTCTTTGAGATTGGAGGTTAGTTAGGGCTTTGTGACTACACTTTAATAGTCATTTTTAATGTTTATTTTGTTAGTATTATCTGAATGATCATTGTGAGTCATCAGTGAGTTAATTTTATTTGTTTTTATGACCATGATAATCTACTGTTGTACATACCATGTACATTTTTTTATGTGGACAGTTGAATCGAAGGTGTACAATATATGTTTTTTAAAAAAAACAGGCCTTCTCTGTAGAATACCTTTGGTTTTTCTTCACCTTTAAAAAGTCAATTGAATGACTGGCTACCAGCTAGTTTGCAGTTTTACATATATCACATCATCAAATATTGTGAGCAGACTCAGTTATGTCATGTTCCATGTCACAGTCTGTTGAAGCAAAAGAGGATTCCCGAAATTATCCTGTTCTGAAATTATTAAGTTTGGAAACCTTCAAAAATTGAATTGAAGTGTTTGTTCATCATATACCACATCAAATACAAAAGATAACTCCATTACTCTGTGTTCCATACCAATTTTTGTTGCGCCACTCACTATTTTCAAATATGAGGTCTTGTTTAAGGAACAGAAGAGATCCATTATAACATGGAGGTAATTTTAAAAGTATGCTTACTTATGTGAAAGGATGATCACTGGCTTGTTTTGTTAGCTCTTGAGGGATTATTTGAAACACAAGCTTGTTTTCCACTGTTGTTCCACATCTTCTAATGAAATCTGTTGTTCTTCCAGGCAATTTCTTATATTTTGTTGCTTGGTCCAAGTACTGGGTACTTGGTGCACGTCTTATTTCAGGTATATACTTCAATTTTTTAGCTCTTTGTTAGTCCCAAGATTCAATTAGTATTTGTCCCTACTGACTGTTATACAATTCCTTGTAAATAGGACAGGGGAATTTGGTGTTATAACAATGTAACACCCTTATGCTGATAAGCTTGTCTATTCTCGATACCTGTTTGCAAAATAACATATTAGAATTGCAAGGAGAAGTTATAAGTTAATCACATCTGGGGTTAAAGGGTTACTAACTTGTGCAGGATTTATTGTTAGTAGAGAATACTACTGGAGGACTAGAAATTAGTTATCTGTAGCCCGTGCATCTAATGATATGGTTACTTTTAATTATAAACTATAAATTTTAATTGTAGTCTTTTAAGTCTGATGATTAGGTATTGATTGAACAGGATGGAGTGGTTGGATAACTTCCTGTGATTTTTTACAATAGTTGATGTCAAATTCACTGTGAAAAATGTAAAATATCAAAGGAAAACTCCCTGTAGTTAAAACATAAAAGTGATTCATGATCCAGAAACCAAACAGTAAAACTATAAAATTACCATTAAGAGCTGCAAAAATTAAAGGAAAAATAATTATAATGGTAAATTTTGCAAAGCATTTCATCCAGGATTAAAGAATGGTTTATATCATTTGTAAGGTATTGGTGTAGGAGTAGGTGCTGGAATTTTTGCACAGATTGCAAGAACAACAACTGAACAAGAGCGAACTGGGATGTTTTCCATTGCAATGGCCTTGCGACAGTTTGGTTTGTTAGTAGGTGCGTATCTTTTTGTAAATGATATTCTTAAATTTTTGCTGTCTTGCACCTATAACTTGCATTAACTCTGGGCTTGTTTTGGGTTATTTTATTGTATTTAGATGAAGTTAATCATTGTTTGGGTAACTTGAATGCAAGCTGTAATGTTACTGTTGGTGATTAATTTCCAGTTTTGCAGTTTGCTTAATGTAAGTTGTAAACTGTGTTGTGATTGTTTATAACACACAAACCATGTATGAATTATTTCAGATGTACATCACTTTCTGCATTAGACAAAATATTAGCTTTTAAATATTTGTAATGAGCTATCTCGTTTTGTTAATTTTTTCGGGGGGTTCATTGTGCTGTGTCTTGCATTATTGTTTGATTAATCTGTCATTGAGAAAGATGAAGCACTTTTGGATTTTTGATAAACACCTTGAATTTATGTGGATATTTTTATTGAATTTCAGGACCTGGCTTCAATCTTTTCCTACGGAAGTTAAATTTCAAAATAGGACCATTTGAAGTGGATTCATATACTGCACCTGGAGTTAGTGTTTAGGATTTAACAAATCACTTCGGACTATTTTTTTTAACTTGAATATATTACTTATTTTTTTTAATGACAGTCATGCTTTTGATGTGGGAAAATGTAATTTAGCAAACTAAAAGTTGACACAAGACAGTGGTGGCTATTGGTGTTATGTTAGTTATTTGCTCTTAAGTGGGTCACATTTCCTTACAAGGGCTTCCAGGGTTCTACCATTACCCTGCAAATGTCATTTTATTTGTTTGGGTTTCTTTGCATTAAATAGGCTCTCCAGTTGTTACAAGTGGCTGTAACCAAGAATTTGATATGTGTGTGAGGTTTGGCAAGCTCTACATACACTACCAACTTTCCTTTGAGACCACATGTATGGAACATGGGGTTATTCCCCCTCCCCCAAGAGAGAGAGAGAGAGACTCTTTAACATAATCCAATATCATCAGTTCAAGTCATGTGGTTTTTTCTTCTTTTGATAGATCTTCATGGCTGCATTATGGTTGCTACTAGAATTGATTATGACATTCCTCTATTATGACCTGCCAACTGTAAAGAATGATGTTGATGATCATTCAACTAATGATGAGCAACACAGATATGATAACAGTGTCCAGAATTATAGTAGTACTGAGAGAAACATAGCTAACAATTCAATAAATGTTGATGCAACGGAAAATGAGCACATTGTTTCTGGTGACATGATCAGGGATCTGTACAGCAAACACAGTTCAATCATAGCAGACAGCAGAAGGCAAAATCTAATACACACCACAACTCAAGATTTTCAGAAACGTGCAAGGAAAGAGCCAGTAATGGATAAGTGGCACTTAGCAAAAGGTGTGCATAGATAGTTATTTTACATTAATTTGATCCGTAAAATGCTATAACCCTGAAACTCCCAGTTGTGATTATCATGTAACTTCTACCGATAATATCCATACGATATCCATCAGACAGGTAGTGAGAATACCCAAACTTATCAGGTAGAAATAGTTATCTTCACTTGATCTTACACTGAATTCTCATAACTAATTTACTAGGAAATGTTTAGCAGCTGGAGGGAAGAATTAGAATCATATATTGGAAGTTAAAGGGTTATGAATTAAGGAAAGAAAGAATTGAAATTGTCAATAAATTGAGCCAGTTTTATAACATGACATCTGGAGATTTCACAAAGTTTTTCATGTAATTCTGGTTGAGATGTTTAATGGTTTCATGTGAACACATTTAAAGATGCTCTAAAAAATATTCAGGACTCCTAAAAGATTGGAGTGTGAGACCTTATGCTCGTGGTTCCATGTTCTAATACCAACAGGGCTATGGAGCTGCTGATATTGGGAGTGGGTTTTTTTTCTTGGTTTCAAAATTTTAAACTGGTTAAATATTTATTATGCTCCTTTGTCTCAGATTGTTGGATATCTGAGACAAAGAAAAATTTAAAATGGAATTTTTTCTTATGAAGAAAAATTTGGTTTCCTTGTGTTTACTGGGGATGTGATTGTTTTCTGGAACAAAGAGTTTGTTCAAATTCTGAGTACCATTTCCAGAAATCGTACCAGCCATTGAGTTTGCACAATTTGCAATGTATAGCTGCTTTTCCAAGGCTAAGATAAATGTAATTTATATCTTTACAAATATGAGCTTGAACAATGTACATTTTTTTCTACAGATCTTGTCCGTGAAGAAGTAATTGTTATCCTGGCATCACAATTTTTGATGTTCTTTAATCAAACAGCACTAGAGGTTTGCCACACCCCATTCTTTTTTTTTGAGTTTTTTTTTAAAGTTATAAATCCAGAGATATCATATCTTAGGAACAGAATTGACTCTGGTATTTCATTCACAGCTACATGAACTGAATGTGTTAATATTTAGACTTGGACTTGACTGACCCTCTGATCTAGACATGAAGTTATCCATTTGGAAATTTTATATAAACAGTTATGACTGAAAGAAGGGAAACATTTCAGACTTCCAAATTCACCAAATATTGAAAGAAGAATGGCAACAATTTTCATATATTAATTGGTGACAACAATTTTTAAAACATTCTAAACCTGTGATGACCAAAGCCTTTTTTTTTGAAAAGTATTTAACTGCTTCCCCTATTTATCAAAATGTCATTCCACTGTAATTTCTTACACACCTTATTACAGGCTATAGTCACCCCTTTATCTGAGTACCTCATGGGATGGAAGGAATTAGAGAACAGTATTGCCTATTGTTTAATAGCTTTAGAGGTAAAGTATGTTTTTTGTAAATTTGTCAAATCTTGCAGTTTGTTTTTAAGTTTGTTGTCATTAAAAGGGATTATGGCTCGTTATTATTATTTTCATTATCATCATTATTGTCACCTTGATAGGTACTGATAAATGTGTTTGTAAATTTTTATATAAAATATATTTATTTATAAGGTCCACCTCTGTAATTTAAGATAAGTTAATGTTTTAATTTTTAAACTTTTATTTTTTATTCCAGTAAAGCACATTTGATTGTAGTGACATGGAATTAACACCCTACAAATTGTAATTATTATTTAATTATCACTATTATCTGATTCCTTATGATCAGGCCATTCTAGTATTTGCTCTTGTGAGAAAGCTCAGTCGAAAGCTTGCAGACAGGTAAGGAATTGTCTTTCAGTCCTTCTTTTTTCACAATATCTGATCGCCAGGGATTCACTTGAACTGCTGTTACTTAAAGTCGGGAAGGAAAGAAATTTTAAGTTAAAATTCAGCCTTGTTTGTTCAGTTAGCCTCATCAGACTGTTTATGAACATGTTTGTCATTAACTTCTATGCCATCCTGTGTAAATCTTTTTTTTTTTGTAGGTGGCTAATGGTGATAGGTATTGCCTTTGAAGGATTTGCGCTAGTTTGGTATCTCTTCCTTTTGGCCAATGCAAAACCATGTAAGTTGTTTTACCTCATTCTTTCAACATTTAATTTTCTTCTTGTGCCTTCTTTACTGTTCAGTGTATTTCAAATCATGTTGCTCCAGGAAAGCATTGAGTTTAGTTCATTTTGCCAATCTACACCTTTTTGCTCGCCTTGCGAGAAGGAAAAAAGGGCGACTGAAGCTGCAGCGAAAGTCGACAATTTTACGACCGGTGTTCGGTGGTTATCTTACAGGCTGTTATGTGATAGTTTGTCAGTTCTGCAGATTAATGTTAAAGCTAAATGCATACCTTCTGTCATATTGTGCGAAATGCCTTTTTTTCTTGTGACCGTTTATCAAGTTCGCCAAATGGCTACTTTGAAAAATAGAAGCCTAGAGCTTGCCAAGGGGGGTTAATTCATTCGAACCTGTATTTGTCATGGAAACCTGATCAAATGCGAGCTGTATTCAAAGTTAGCTCCGATTTTCTCCACCGTCTTTAATCGACAATTTTTTTTCTCTTATCTTTCCAGATGATTCTATAGTTCTTCCAACCATAATTGTTGGCACATTGGTCATTGTGTTTGGTTTGCCGTTTTTCTCAGTAGCAAACATTTCCCTTTATTCTAAAATTACTGATGAGAAAACCCAAGGTAAGTAATGCTCTCTCCTGAGTAAGATCCGTGAAATACTTGTTAACCTCAGTTTATTGAATAGTTTGTAGTTTCCAAATGAATCCAAGACAGCAGTAGCAAATTCGATGTCAGTTCTGGCCAATCCCGTAGAATAATTCGTCGCAAAGTAATTCACACGCAGCTTATATTCAGCGGCAGTTTCTCCTTTCAGGGAACACGTTTGATTGATGGGAACAGAAATAAAAGCATATGCCACATTTTATCCATTTGGAACCGCAATTTGTTTCCCTTAATGGAGGTTACTACGTCATAGTGGTGTCTCAAAGAGACGCTCGATTTCAGATACAAAATTGGTTGTTTCCTGTGTGTTGGGTACGATTTTAGTGCGCGAGCGAGGACGCATGCTACTCGTCGAGCGAGTGGACTTTGCACGCGTCCTGTCCGATTATAGAGATGCGTGCACTCTGATCGGTCGGAAATTGCGTCGTGAGGGAGTTAGAAAAATTCTTCCTAACGAGATGAACGACTGAATTCGTGTTGGTCATTTTTTCATGTTGTGTTTCCTTTTCATAGGTATAGCTCAAGGTATTCAGAGGTCAGTAACAGGAGTGGCCATGATCCTAGGTCCATTATGGGGAGGGGCACTGACGACGAGGCTCTTTATTATGTTGGGAGTCATGGCAGGTCTTGAAGTTATCTTAGCAGTAAGTATTTCTCCTCTGAGTAATTAATTATTATCAACTGAGTTGATAACGTAAATTGGCCATCGTTAAGAGTTTAAGAGCTGACGTTTCGAGCGTTACAGCCCTTCGTCAGATCGAATGTAATCGCCGAATCGTTCCTGCAGTGAGGTCTCTCAAGTACTATGGTTTCCTACAAAGGAGTTTTTTCTTTTTCCATAGTTACCTTTTGTTTTCTTTGATAAAAATACCCATTAGTTTTTTTGTTTTTCACACAGATTTTGATGTACTTATCTTTTCATCGCCTTAAAGAACCTTCCAAGCAACTGCCATCCCAGTACGACCAAATAGGCTCTCAAAGTGAACGACAGCCTCTACTGGGATAAAAGGCCCTCTATCTATTTTGTACCAAGCCTTACTTCTCCCCTCTTTCACTCCTCTTTTCGAGAAAGTTGAAAATAAAAACAGCAAGCCTCCGTGTTTCCCCAGCCGGGAACACCATGAGCTAGGATCGTGTGAAGTTTATAGACAACTACTTTAGTCATAGAGTTTAGAGTTTAGAAGTTTAGAGACAACTATTTTAGTCATATCTAAATGAACCGGGAAATGGGATTTCGCCCTTTCCCCAAATTTCCTTCTGGGCCCCCATCGATGAGCTTGTTAGCTGAATTTGTTTGGATAGGTCAGAATAACATGATTGTTTTTGCCGTAATTGCTCTTGATCTTTTGAACAATGGCGAGTCGCTAAAAGGGACGTTGCGGGGGACACTAAGCGTTGTACTCAGAAAATTCTTGTGTGAATTCTGTTGAATTGAATTTTAAGAAAACGTTGTCTTTGAACGACGATATTGGGATGAAACTTATGAGGATAACTGGTAGATATTTATAAAGAATTCTATTGCGTTGAGTAGGTAGTTGTGAATATAGATTGGATGATAGTGAATGAATCCTTGGGATTACCAATAAAAACCTCGATTAATACAGGCACAGGATATATATTTTTAAATGACTTTATCAATTAAAATTTTATTCCTATTGAGAAATGTTTACTGTACTGTATATTCTTCCATACGGTGTAAAATGTGATATCAAGCACCAAACCAAGCACTATTATCAAAATGATATAAATTTGAACTCAAAACCTGTTATCAGATATGTGATATTTATTGGTTTTGGTCGACTTTGCAACTGTTGTAAGAAATAATTTCTGTACTATATATTATGCATTTTGATGTGTTATGTCACATCAAACACTGAATAAGTAACTTTAACCACACGAATTATTGTCAGATTTATTTCCAATTAAGGCTTTTTTCATAAACAAATTAAATTCACGTTGTGCATCTGTGTCTCAGTCTTTATCGCCCTTGGTATAATAATTTTTTTAACTTTGAAGATTTTAATTGTGTGGCTCAGATAGCCACATGATCAGTTCTGTTGGTAGATAAGAGGAATAGGAACACAGAAGTGAAGAGAAAAGTCAAGTGACCGGAGTGGAAAAATCGCGAGTACGAACGACAATTTATCAGGTTCGCGTATGTTGAAAAAGTAAGATGAACATGTCAATGGTTCTCGCAAGGAACGTTTCAGGATCATTTTGCTACCTTTTCCGTTAAATCACAATGGTTAATTTTTATTTACTGGCTATTAAGTCGAACTCGTGAAGGTTTTTCGTTAATTCCTCTGTATAAACCTTACAAGACATTAATTAGCATTTCCCCTCGAAAGCGGGTTGTGTCACCACGTCACGTGATTGCTTCTACCCACGACCCAGAACTGAGTAATACTCTTCTTCAGTAGCTATTTGCTAGTTTTTATACTCTGCATCCCAGAAGTTAAAAATCTTCGTTTAAAATTAGATGCATGACGGAAAGGCGTTTTGCTTTTGCATCAGAAGAATGGTTAAACAACTCTTTGACAAAGCTGAACCAGACATTGCTTAAAAAAAATACAAATCTCGTGCAGTAAAAGATTCTGACGGTAAGCTTGTATAAAAGGTTCTTTAATTTCGCGTTGGATGCAAAACTAATCGAAGTATTTCATATCCCTGTCCCGAGTACTTACAGTCTGCCCAGAAAGTAATACTAATCGCTACGATCGGATTATTGTGCATGTCCCGTTGCTAAAGAACAACAGAACCGCGTAAGACACGTTTGATGATTGGAATGCAGTGGAGCTTGACACCGCATACATTTGTGTCAGATAACAGAGTTGTAAGATACACAGATCGTACTCAAGTGATATATTGCAGCGTCTATCGTTGATACCATCGGTCGAAAGGACATTTCTTGAGGAAGTTTACTGTACTAGACAGCATAGGAAGTGCGAAGTGATACAGGGCACTATTTGGTTCGTTGACTGAGGCGAGGTGGACAGGTAAGATCAGTGGTTAAAAATATTGCGTCAAAATGTAATCGAAATTACTTCGCAAATCAAAGCTTTGTTTTTCTTTACTGTAGCATCCGATTTTAACTGCTAACATTTTACCGAAACGCACTACTGGCAGTGTTATATTGGAAATCGTTTGTCGGTTTTTCTGGTGGACTGGTTGTTTAACCACAAGCTTTCTGCAATGCTGATGCTACTGACAGCTTCATGGCTTTAACCCGACCTCTGTGTAGAGTCTTGACATAAATAATTTTGTTTACTGATAGGGAAATAGCACAATCATTCGCGACTTTTGAAGTTATTTCCTAGGCGCTTGTAGATATTATATTCTTTTTCACGCTAATGTGCGTTGTGTGTAACACCTTTTGTCACCGGCCGGCCGTTTATTACGAACCTTAGCTTGATACCTCTTTAACTCCTCTGCGGAACTTCAGCAGTTTCTTCTGTTGAGTGTCGCCGGCGAAGAGTATTTCATAATCCGGACCTCAGTGTTAACTTTCAATAATGTAATACGTGCTCGTGTATATTTTCTGTCAAGAAACGCGATCGAATTGTAGACATATTCATGCGCTACTTCGCGTTTGCAATTCGAAAACATCTGAAATTGAATAGATAATTGATCGTACCATCATAAACTGGAACCAAATAACAACAACAGAGAAATTGGTGAGCTTAGATCTCTGTACGACTTTTCAGAAGGACTCAAGGTTTGAATTTTGATCGCCAACACACTTAGGAATGGAAATCTGTTGATGGAACGGTGATGTATTGTGAAATAGTACATTGTTTACTTTACTGCCGTGACAGGCTATCGCTCCTTCCATTCCCATCAGCCGGTAATACCCAAGAGCAATCTTAAGTGAAATGTTTATAAGCGTAATATCAACTCTGAATTTTGATGGAGTAATCTGTGGCACTATATTTTCTTCTGCCTTTGATTTTTGGCAATAATTTTCGCGACAAATCGAAGCGGGTTCTTTGATAAACTCTGTTAATCGTCGAGGCGCTGTGTGAGTTGTTTTAGCACGTCGTATTTTTTTCTGTGGTTTTTATGTAAATTCTTTCCATATTCTTGTCTTTTCCAGAACAAAATGGGAGGGTTATGTGTTTTACAAAACGCTCTGAAAAGAGCTAGCATTTTACCACTAGCTATAATTGAAAAATCAATTTTGAGACAGCCGATAGCGGTATGCAAATGTGGAAATTCAATGTGTTTTGATAGCTATCGTAAGCTCTCACTCTCGATGCCTAAGCATGTTGAAAACAACTTTCATTTTTCTTTCAGTCGTTGTCCTTGAGCATATACCCGTTGTATATTAACGTTTTATGGTAATTTTAATTGTTAATTATTTATATTTTGCACCCCTTTTATGAGTGTTAATTCAATTTTTAAGTTCTGTTAGTTTTAATCACCTTTTAGTTACCCAGAAACTTTTCTTTTTTCCGACCAGTAAAACCCGGCCAGGTCGTTTCATGCACTCTTTTTATAATGTGTGTTGTAAGAAAAGTGTTGCCCATTAATTTGTCTGTTGTCAGTGATAGGATTGCGTACTGCAAGAACATTTCTGGCATGACATGTAAATTTAAAATGATAATACCTCTTTTGCCAATTCAGAGTTACAGTAATAATCGACAGAATAATCTTTTTAGTGCTAATTTAAATGTTTGGGTTACAGTATTTTGTCATCCAATACCTGTGAGCTCTCTATTTGAGCAGTCCTCTCGTAGTTTCAATTCCCCTGCATGTCTGAGGAAATTTTTGACGAGGTAAACAAATCCTGCCATTTTGCAATGCAGATGTATGTTTCGATTTTCTTGACCTTTCTATTTGCAGTAGGTTCTTTAATGAGGTTAGCTGAGGTGAATAATAATTAAACATCAATGACATGATTACAAACTACAGCTAAGTGTAGCTCAGATCTATAGTGTAATTTATACTTAAAGAGCATTTTCTGTTCCTGTCCAAAAAAAGTAGAGTAGTCTTCCTATACTTCCAGTGGTTGTCAGAAGTTCAGTCGATATAAAGTTAATTGAAAGCCCAAGAATATGTTCTTGTGCAAATCTTTTGCTTTTACAGACTGTAATTATGTCTTTTAAGAGCAGTTTCAGGTGTTACAGTCAAACCTCAATTATCAGAATTTCCAGATTAGTCAGACTTTTTCTCTGGTCCCAATTTTGTCAAGAATATTTATTAGTCATGATCAAGATCCATAGCTATATTATTTTAAAACTACAACGTTGAAAAGCAAAGGTGTTTGTTTCACTTTCAAAAAGCAATAGGAAGCACTCTCATGGGTCATAACTAATGAGTTCAAAAGTGTTTGTTATGGATGGATAGACAGAACAATGTTGACAGCTATTCAGATTATGCAGCTTCGAAGATGGATGGAACTCTCAATTCTCATGCAATGTTCTTTTTTAAGACAAACTGACTTTCTTCATCATTTAGGCCAATGTAAAAACATTTTTCATTCATTTTAGTTGTTAATACACATATGTAGAGGTATTCACAATGGACAGTGAAGATGTAGACCATATTTTTTTAAAAGTGATATGTAAATGTTTTGTTTCATGATTAAATTTTACTTTCTTAATTCAATCAGTTTGTGTTTCTCATTAATATTCACATCCTCGATTATCAAGACTATTTTGTCTAGTCTCAAGGAGTCTGCATAATGGAGGTTCGACTGTAGTTAAGATCATAGGCACTATCATCTGTATTTTCTTGAAGTATTCATGTACATATTAAGATCCCAAAATGTTGAAATTTAACATAGCTAATTTTTTCTGCAGAATGTAATGAGAGAGAAGTGGTAAACATGGGAAGTCTCACAATGGTGGCAGCTGATCCAGGATCTCCAAGGTCTGTCACTATCTGTTAATAATCAAATGAACAAATTGCACAATTCTTAACTTTGTAAGGATGAGATATTATGGCTAGGACCATGAGATGGGTGGCTGTTCCTGTGGAGGAACACAACAAAGCTATGTACCTCTGCAAGAAGAGGAGTCTGGTTACATGTTTGGAAATTTAGAGGCTTTGAATGCTGACATGAAATATATATATGCGTTTTTTTCCCTACTCTGTTCAGATCCCGAATTGATGTTAGAGATAGAGATGACACAGAGGTGATAAATATTAAAAACTGTCTTAGTGGACTAGGTAACATTCTTCTTGATTTCTCTTTTAATTTAACTTTGAATTCAACTGTAACTGATCAATTAAGTGTTTTATTGGGTCATTTTTCAGCTATCAGTAGCCAATAGAACACGCAAATGATGTATTTTCTTAATTGTTTTGAATTATTTGTTAAGGTGGGAAGGGGGGTGGCAGCTGTTAGGAAAGGGACTTTGGAAAGGAATAGTTTGAGAGGAGGTTGGAGGGGCTGTATGACATTTTGGAAAATTTCCTGTGTTTTTAAGAGAGAGTGAAAATTTATCTTGTTACAATCATTCATGATCTTTAGTATGACCAACTTCAATCACTTTTTGATGAAAAATGTATTGGGTCCTATTCCTTATAGGAATAGCTAACTAAACATGTAGAAGATGTGTTTAGAGGTGAAGTTAAAAGATACAATTTATTATAAGTTATTGGTTTTTAATTATTCTTAGGTATGAATTTAATATGTGATTTTTGGATGGTAGGGAGGTGTTACAGTGGGCTTTTCGAAGGAGTGGGTTAGGTTTGGAAAGTGTCAAAACAACTTTTACTAGGATTTCAGAAAACTTAATATTTGTTTTGTGAAGAGACTTTGAAAAAAAGGATTTATCTTGTCGTTCTTTATTTTGTCAAATATTGCAGACATGATCTATGGTCACTCTTGTGGGGAAAAAGTTGTGGTCCCTCTCAGCTCTTAAAATCTCCTAGCTATTCAATAGCTAGGAGGTTTTAAAAGAGGAGAGACACCACAGGCGATCTAACTTAACCCTTTACACCCCAACATCAGTATGCATATTCTCCATATTATGGTATATACATTTCTTAAGGTGCAGAGAAGGAGAATTTATTCAGCAATCTAGAGCCTCAGTCTCTAGTTTGTGATCATTTCCTTTATTTTCTAAGGTGCAGATAATGAGAATTTATTCAGTAATCTAGAGCCTCAGTCTCTAGTTTGTGATCATTTCCCTTATTTTCTAAGGTGCAGAAAATGAGAATTTATTCAGCAATCTAGAGCCTCAGTCTCTAGTTTGTGATCATTTCCTTTATTTTCTAAGGTGCAGAGAATGAGAATTTATTCAGCAATCTAGAGCCTCAGTCTCTAGTTTGTGATCATTTCCTTTATTTTCTAAGGTGCAGAGAATGAGAATTTATTCAGCAATCTAGAGCCTCAGTCTCTAGTTTGTGATCATTTCCTTTATTTTCTAAGGTGCAGAGAATGAGAATTTATTCAGCAATCTAGAGCCTCAGTCCCTAGTTTGCGATCATTTCCTTCATTTATGTAACCTTGATGCCTGATTCAGTGGTGGTGCCATGAGGAGAAATTAGATCGTCGTCACAGGGGTCAAAGGGATAAGAATCTTTTGTAATGTACGGTTTTAAATTATGTATAATTAGTATAATAACTTGTTTTTTATTTTTGTTTCAAGGTATAAAAATTGCTGGTGGGAGATCAGCTTTTGGAGCTGACTTTGGAATCTTTGTCAAGAAAGTTTTAAGTAGAGGTGCAGCTGATCTTGATGGTGAGAATAAGACTGTGATGTATTACATCATAGAAGCCTGGCACTGAAAGGGCTTGAAAATTTTCTTCTGTAATGTGTGCTTACGAAAATGTCTGCTCGGTGACTACATGGAGAATTTAGTGTGGTGAATGTTCATGTGGGAAGTTTTAGCTCAAATTTGACCTTGCAGGTTTTATCTTTGTAACCAGTCTATAGTATTTCCATTGTCCCTAAGATCTTTGACAGAATGTTTTTATTTCTGTCTTTATCAGGACGGTTAAGAGAAGGAGACCAACTCTTAGAAGTTAATGGGTGCAGCCTGCTTGGAGTATCAAATGACAAGTAAATTGCTAATTGATAAATATTATTTGTCTCTGACAGTGTTGTTACAAATCAGTGCATAATGAGGCAACAACTCAATTGGCAATGAATCTATTAATTTTTTTTTCTTTTTTTGTTATTTAGGGCAATGTCGCTCCTGCGCAGTGCTGCCCAGTCTAACAATGCAAAATTGCTCATTAGCAGAGATGTCCGGGCTAGGTAAAATGAGATTTCAGATTAATTATAGTATTATAATTTATAATCATAGATAATGATTGCATTTATTTAGCCATCAAAGTTCCACTGATTTTGTAGCTCAGTTTCACTTCTTCAAGAGAGAGTCACCTAGAAGTTATTATGAAGTTATTTGTATCATAATAGATGGAATTGATATGAAATCTCTGCAGTCTTCAGTGATCATTTTATTATCAGTAGAGGTAGTCCTTTTTTTTACCTCTGCAGTGAGATATTTACAAAAGGCCTGTTTTTCACATCACTTAATTAAGATATTAACACTGTGTCCTCCAGGCAAGAGTTTGCAAACTTGATGACAGCGTTAAATGGTGGATCCACAATATCAGGTCTCAATGGTTCAACAGCACCTGGATTAACAAGGAGTGACAGTTTTGGTAGTTCACGAGCCTCGACTCCCTCGCCAACTATGGGTAAGTAAAGCCAGCAAAAAATGCTGCAAAATGTTCTGAGAAGCAAGACAACACCTTCGTGTTGTGATTTGATTTTGTCTTGTCTGTTATTGTGATTCATTGTTTTCCTTTTTTCATATGGTTTCAAATTTGGTATCAAACGATGCTTTTGTGTTAGAAAACTTATTTAGATGACAGAACTGAAGTCTTTGCTTGCTCTTTGCCCTTTTATGATATATCCAAAAATGTTTTCAATTAGTAAATATAGTAGCACTCTTAGTAATTTTACTGCAACCTAATTTTCACATAACCTCAAGGAGAGGCAGCTCTTATCCTCTAAAACTTGAAATTGGTTTGTGTATCCCTAAAGCAAAGGGAAATTACATGTTACTGATTACATTAATTTTATAAAAGCAGCACAGGTTTTAATTCACCACCATTCATAGCCTGGTTATTAATAACTTAACTTTCTTTTTTCAAAGGGAAACGTTCATGGGTGATGACTGCTGGGCGGATGTCACCTCTCATGGGTGGGAGACATGGCAGTCCTGTCTTGTCACCCACCAACTCACTGGATAGACCTTCAGCTAGTCTGCAGAGAATGTATTCCATGGACCTACCAACACTTTCAGTGGGTCCTACTGTGGTTCAACACACCCCTGGTAAGTCTGTGCCTCTGCTCTTTATCTTGGAAAATATGGTCACACTTTTTGAGAATTCTCAATTAACTAAGTTAAACAATCCTTCCTGAAGGTAACTGACTAACTTGAAGGTGAAAATTCACAATCTTTCTTTATTCTTTTATGTTCCCTACTTCTGGATTTTTGCTGGCTTGTCACTGATTTGTGGAAAGATTTTTTTTAGTTTCTCCAAAATGTGAGATAGGGTCAAGGGGGTAGGGGAAAGGGGCCCTAGGAGAGGTGGGGTCAGGAAATTAGTGGGCTAGAACTTTCAGGGAGGGGTTGGATAATACCAGCTTGCATGTCATGTAACTGGGGCAGTTAGAAAACAACAGAAAAGAGGTAAAAAAATTGATAAAAGGGTTTAAAATGTGAAATTCAAGGCACATGTGAAACAATTAAAGCCCCTTTTAATTACAGCCATTATATTCCTTACCTGGAGACACCAAGGGATTGACTCAAAAGGCACAATTTAAAGAACATTATTTTATCTTTTATGTAGATAATCTTTCTGGCAGGAAATCTTTTATCTGTTAGTAAAAGTAAAACGTGCTTTGTTGTATTCACAGGAGCTCAGGAACCTCCCTCTTACAACTCCAGTCTCCAAAAGCTGTCCACACCAGCAAGCAGAACACAGTACACCCGTCACCTAAATGGCAATGCCCATTCTCCTGACGAACCACCTGAGTTCAATGGAAGTGGACATCTAACTGTAGAACAGCAAAGTGTTTCATCAGAGTTCACTAATGATTCTGGTCTGCCTACTGATAGACATTCTAATAGTTCTTCTCCAACATTTGACCATCCTGGTGAACTGCAGACCATTCAGATTCAGTACTCGACCGGACTTGGGCTGTGTATTATCGGCGGAACAAACAGACCTGAGGGGCGACATATTTTTATTGATGATATTATTGAAGGAGGAGATGCCCACAAGGTACAGTTGAATGGGAGACTTTTTACTCTGTTTGTTTGATGTTCATCTTGTATTTATGGCTAACAATTTTTATTGTTCCTATTCTGATAGCGATGATATTAGTACAAATTGTACAAAAAATATCCTTCTGTTCTGGTTCTCAAGCAGTCTCCAGCAGTTTATCTTAAAAAGGAAATGCAATATTACCCTTTTGTTGGAGACGAGAAATTATATTAGCCTTTTAATCAATAGTCAATACCTTTCACCCCCCTCCTCCCCCCCTCAAAAAAAACAAAGCAAAACAAAAAATGATATCCAGTGTATTTATTTGTTCATTAAGAATATTTGGTGGAAATTTAAAACCAAATCTTGTCACCAAGTTGTGCATTCAATTTTCAAACATCGTCTTTGTTTTCAGTTAAAATCTTTGTTGGCTTGTATGATTAAAGTTTCTTTTTTCTTTTAAATGCATTTATGTTAGAGAACATTGTTAAACTTTGATCTCTTCAAACAAAAATCAAATTTTTCTTTCGCTTTCTGTGATAAACAAATATTTTCTTTCTCTATTATGAGATATATATTGTGTTCCCATTGCAGTTTTTCCATCTTCATATTTGTCAGGCATCCATCATTTATTAGTTTTTTTTACCTTTAATTTCATCCATTTGCAAGTGTTAATTGAATGTTTCCTGTATTTTCATCAGTTTTTTTTTTCCTCTTTTGTTAATTCCTTTAATTTTATATTGAGCAAGTTTACAAGAGGCCTTGTCATAATTGAATGTTTCCGGGAAATTCTGCCCTCATTTTACAGTTTTCATTAGAGATCTAATTTTTTTTCCTCTTTTATTAATTCAAGGTCCAGTTGCAACTTGAAATTATGAATTGTCCTAAATTAACATATTTTTGCTCTGAAAACAAGAACTCTTTAAAGAACATGAGAAATGATAGATATTTGGACAACTTTTATTCTTGAGAATAAAATATAGGCTTTAAATATTGAACAGCTGTCATCTGACTCATTGAAACACAAGGATGCATATTTTTTGGTTTTAAAAATTGGCAAATTGTATAGTTTTTGTCTTTACAGTCAATTTAAAAGGTTTGGTTTTTTGAAACCTTTTGGTAAAAACAAATTCACAATCCTTGAGCAGACTCTCTGTTGGTGATGGCAATGACCATTGTTTATTTTGTAAAGAAACAGTTCAAACTTATCATTTGAAGCTCTTTAAAGCATCAAATGGATTGTTTAATCACCCCATTGTGAAAAGACCAGCTCTTGAACTCAAAATTATAAGATTCTTTGTCTTAATTGCATGTGAAGATGATTTGCATTTTTCGGGTTTTGAATTTCATTTGAAATTTATCCATTCTGGATTCTTCTGGCCACCTGTAGTAGGTACCTGTTTTAGGGTATAAACATACATTGATGTCCAACTAAATTCAAAATGCAAAGCTTTAGAGCAATACCACATTTTTTCCACATTCAAAGCAAGTGCATTTTTATTTTCCCTTACAGGATAGAAGACTGAAAAGAGGTGATAGGCTCATCTGTATAAATGGAGAAACTCTTGTTGGAATTACCCATGAGCAAGCAAAATCTCTTTTGACAAGACTCAAACTGAGGTATTAATTTTCACCAAATTTTGTTTGTCTAATTCATGACTTAATGTGTCTTGTGTTTTTCTTTTTTTTTTTTTTTTTGGTGCTCTGACAGATTAAAGTATCTTTGTCAAACAGCTCAGAAGTGTAATCTAAGCTAACAGTGTTTGGCTTCCTGAGAGAATATTTTTTGCACTTTCACAGTCAAACATGTTTTATAATTTTATTATTTTGTGCTGGACCAGCTCTTTTCATTGTCATAAATTTAAAAGTATATTAACTCTTTAACTCCCACGAGTGACCAAGACAGAATTTCTCCTTACAATATCTTTACAATATCAAGCAGACAAGTGATGAGAATAAAGAAAAATATAAATTAAGGGAATATAAGTTGATCCAATACCAAATTCTCCAAACAAACATCACAAGAACTGTATGGCAGACAGTAAGGAGAATTACAAATGAGATCTTGGGAGTTAAAGGGTTACGATTGTTATAAAGTGAAAGGTTATGATGCCAGCTATATAAATATTTACAATGGAAAAGGAAAAAAAGTTATATTATTGGAATGTTATTGGAAATGAGCTATTGGTAGGGAAATATTTTGACACTTAATAATTTTTCCCAGAAAGTATGCAAAAGACAATTCACTGAAACAATAATTTATAAATATATATATGTATAACTGTGTTTTCCTTTGTTGATAGTGACACATTAACTTGAGTATTAAATTTTGTAGTATTAGACATCATAGTCTGTTGAAAACCATGGTTTAAATTTGTACATTTTTTTCACACCAGCAATGAGTGATAAAAGGTTTATCAAAGCTTATGGACAAAGTGCAAAATAGATAATAAATTGGGTGTGAAATTTCAATGAATGTTTTGACTGAATCATATTACTGAAAAGACAACTGGTATTTGTATTGCAATATAAGAGAAGGCTGTTAATAAAATGTTTACTATTTATAAACAGAGGACAAGACACAGAAGTAACATTTATTCGAGGTGGTCATAGACCAGGAAGTCAGACACCTAACGGCTCAGCAAGTCCAGCACACAACAGTCCCAGAGGGAACTCTGAAAATGGATTTCCATCAGCACAAAATTTTCATCTGAACCTCAGTGGGTTAGACAACTCAAGCTCTCCACCTTCATCAAGCAGATCATCCAGAGCAAGTGAACCTGATTTAAGTAACACAGATGTTTTTATGAAAGAACTGTTGGTAGAGGGTTTAAACCAATCAGCAAGGAGTGATAGTAGGGAAAGTAGCTTAAGTGTCGAAACTTTCCAAGGAAGTCCGCAATCGCAGGTATCACCTCCTGCATTATCAGATTCCCAACCAGCTGTTATGCAACCAACTTCGCATCCAATACAGCCTGTGGGAGGTGTTAGGAACCATTCAGTGATGCCTAATTCTCACCCACAGCTAGTTAATGGTTTTTACCCAGCACCAAGTGTGGTCCCACAGCGATTGTTTGGTAGTTTTCAGCCAGCTATGTCATCTACACCAACAACAGTTGATAGTGTACCTAATGGATTTCCTGGGAATGTGCAGCAAGCTCCATGGAATTCTTCTCCTCCCTATGTAAATGGAGTTCTTGGGAGCCAACCCCAGCTTAATCAAACATCTATTCCAGTTTCTGGAAATGGTAAGTTTTTGTTAATAATTTTAATATTTGCCATCACATCCTGTGAATGCATCCAGTTTTTAATACTCACCCTTTAAAACTAATGAAAATACCACAATGTTTATTTAACATAGAGAAAAGAATTAGTTAATGCAGAGGATATGCTCAATACATTTCATCATAGCACTCAAACTCACAAATTATGTGTATGAAATTTGTAACATTCATTCAGAAAATGCTCTTTGATCTAGAACAGTCTTGTCTCTATGTTTATTTAATTCACAAATTTTGTTTTCCTATCTCACTAAACTTCAACATCTAACTTTTCTTTTTGTCAGTAATATTTGTTTTAGTTTTTTTGGCAGTGAAAAACATAAATAACCATTATGCTTTTTTGAGATATAATTTTGTAGGTAGAAGTGTCAAAGGTGTAACTGTTTTGTCAAAGTGAGTGATTTGATTCAAAACGATGATTATAAAATCATATAAATTATTTATTAGGGACTCATTTTTAAGTGATACAATTTTCTTGAATAACAAAATTAGTGTGAAGACTAATTTCAGTATTTGTGATATTATTGGCCAGTTGCTTTATTCAATCTTTTTTATTGAATATTTCTCTGAGGATGCGAGAAATTACAAATTTTCCTTCTGGTCCTAAATAGCCCAAGCCTGTAAATTTTATTTTGGCCAAAATCCTCTTTATTCTTATCATGTCTGTTGGAATTGTGGATTCTTTGCTGCAACCTTGAGATGGAAATTTATATTTAATCACAAGGTATCGGTATTTAAACTAATCAAACAATGTACAAGCGTAGTTATACGTTTTTTTTCGTCAGAGAAACCTTTTAGGCGAGTTTTCTCAGCACTTAAACTTCATTATAGGTTGTGAGCGAAACTTCAGTGTCATTAGCGTAAGAAATTGGCAATTATCATTGATATAACCATGGTGTCATATTCATTACCTCAAGTGTTACAAACCATGAATATTCACATTAATCAATTTTAAAGAAAATGTTTCAACAGGTAAATACAATGAAATAATAAATTGTATAGAAGGTAAATATGAAAGCTTTAGCCAGTACATTTCATGTCATCCACGTTTCTTACATGGTTTGTTTTCATTTCGTGTACATTCAACCCGGCCATTGTGTCGTCTGCCATGATTTACGCAAAATAAAATTCACAACTTTGCTCATTGTGACATACATTTGAATTCGAGTATTGGTGCCTATAAACAACTTTTGATTTATTTCATTTAAAGTGGCTTACAGGTTTAGTGTAAAGCAAGTTTGATTAATGCACTCAATGATGCGAGAGGCGAAAATTCCAAGGTGTTTTTTGTTCGGAGTAGAATTTATAGATTGGTTTAGTTTGGTACAGGGCTCTGCTAATCGCTAGAGGGTCTTATTGAGCTGATGGCTCTTGCTACCAACGGGCTAAATTTTGGCCATTTCACGACCGTTGCGATTAAAAGAAACAGTTATTACGGCTCACTTTTTTACGACTAACAGTTGAAAATTTGTTAATTTTTACGCCTAACGGCTAACAGTTTGCCCCATTGAGACCCTCCTGCAAGTTAGTGTTTCACAACGGTAGCTTCGTCCCCAGGGCGCTGTTTCCTCGGAGGCAAAAGCGTCTGGAAACGAGTTTGACACCAGGGGTAGTTAGTTTAGAAACATTTTATTGAATAGGCAAAACTTCCTGTAACTTATACTGTGTTCTTTACTAACAGGAGCAGGGCCTACCGCTGTCATACAACCTCAACAACTACCACTTAGTTCACTCCACATCAGCCCTGTACAGACAGCATTTGAACCCTCGTCAGTCCCTTTCTACTTACAACAAGATCTGGAAGCCCTCCAGCGAGTTGCACAACGGTACGCTTCACCTCCTTCAGGTCAGCAGTCCAGTCCAAGGCCTGTGAATGAACAGCAGTCGCTCCTGACCACAACAGCTGCGGCTGGGAGCATAAGGGCCAGGCGACATGGGCGCGGTAGCCGGCGACTGTCACTGGACCCTCATACCAAGTTAAAGGTGGAAAAATTGGAAGTGGTGAGTTTACACCCTGCGGTGTAAAATTTACATCGTTGTTGCCTTTTATTTATTAAGTATAACTGCGTTAATAAATTGCCTCAGAGAAATGGATTCCCTATTTTCTTCTTCAAACCCTTACACCGTACGGTGAAATCTTTCGGTAATGACGTAATAGCTTTTATAGAAGTTAAAAAAAAAACAACAACAAAAAAAAAAAAACAGAGTTTAACTCATGTCTTTTTTGTTTGCAAGCTATATGTGAAAACAAACGGTTTGAATGTTGACAGCTTTCCAGGATTGCGAAATCTTTCATGTAAAATATTACAATTTTATTGATTGAAAAATATACGATCAAAAACCATGCATAATTTTTACCTTCCTTTCTTTCATGTTTTCCTTTGAAGAGAGATCGTAATGAAGGTACAACGCTTCTTAAAATACGGATGAAGTTTTTCCGGTTTCTTATATCCTTCCCGAGTCAGCTGAATAAACATGCTTTGTTAAAGTTGATTCATCTGTTTGTTTAAAAATTGGTGGATTTAAAATACTCCAAAGTTTGCATGGTTAATGTATCTGCTGTTATTATGATATTTATGTTTCTTTTTTACTTTTGAATTTAGGCTTTGAGGTATTTAGGATTCTCTCCAACTGAAGACCAACAGCGTGAATTGAGGCAAAGATTACCGGCAGATCAACACGGCTTTGTGTCCTATGGAGGTGAGATTCGAGAAAGGGAAATTTGCATTGGTTAAAGCAGCTTTGTGTAGACTATTTGCGAGTCTACATATATTGAGGCAACGAAGGATATATTCGTTAACTTTTTCATTGAAGTTTTTAAGTAAAATTTATCAAGCGTAACGAAAGGTAAACGTTTCGGGTAAATTTCATTTGGTAGTTTTCCCTTGCTCTTCTGGATGTGAATAGTTGTCTTTTTGTTTGGAGTGTCCTTGTTTGAAAACCAGCTGATTTTTATGTACGTGAAAACTTTCCGGCAAAGAAAGATTTTAGGTGTACAATAGTTTTTCATATGATCAAGAAACGCTTTCACAGTTTGTCATAACTCGATAAGATTAAAGCACCAGTGATGCTCCATTACACCTTAGTTCCCCTCCAGTCCCACCGTCTCTATTTTGCTACCAGCTTCAGTCAAATGTATTATTATTTATGTACCATTTCAGATTTCGTGAACGCAGCCAGACAGGTGTTCGCCTTTCAGTTAAATGATCATTCTCTGAGTACTTCAGCAGTGCAATTCGCAGTACAAGATGTTAATGCAGCAACTGCAACGACCGAAATGGAATCATACGAAAAGGTTTTTAGGAAATAATTTCACATCTTGAGAATTTTTTATCAATTTTCGACGACAGGTCTGTAGTTCTTACTCGATCTCATAATTTTTGGCAGTCTCTTAAGAACTGATATTTTGGCTTTGCTTCCTTAATTTTAAAGGAACTGTAACCCATTTGGCCTCATATTTGATGTGACTGTTTTACCTAAAGGGGATTTACGTTCCATAATTGATTGAAATTTGGTAGAATTTTGAAATCGAAAGAAACAACATGACAATTCAGACTTTATAAAAGGCTGCGCCAGGTCTCTTTACAAGGAAACTCAAATAATTACAGGAGCATGAACTGTAGAAAAGATAAATTTATATTTTTGTTGTTGCCTCGTGCGGTTTAATTTCTTTCAATCACGAAAGCTATTCTTCGAGAGTTTAGGGGGGTCTTGCTAAACTGAAACGGTGACTTTTTTACTCACGTTTTCCTACGTTTGAGGGCAGCTAGGTTTGCTTACCTTGAGTTCTCAATATCGCTTTGTGACATTTATCTTTATTTTGATTGGCCGTTGGGATTTGGTTTTTTGCTTTACAACAGTCCCTTCCAAACCAGGAATGCATGACCCTGAAAGCAAGCCTTCTCCCGAATTCTTCTCGTGGAATAGTCGCTTTTGTAAAAGTGATTGTAGCCTTTTTAGATACCTCACAATGTTAAATGTTCGCTAATTCGTCTTTCCGCAGATGCAGCAACGATCACAGCTTGCTTCATTAGAAGCAAAGGCGAAGCAGAATGCTGAAGATGCTCAGCGGATACGACGAGAAAGAGACGAAGCGTTACGTGAGGTGCAACACCTAAAGAAATTATTAAAGAAGAAGGAGGAAGATTGTCTGACGGCTGAGGAGGAACTCATGAAAGCACGAAGGGTAAGAATGAATTACTTCATGTAAGAAATTTTACCAGCGTGCGACATAGAAATATTCCGAGTCCCCAATTGGGATTTGAACTCCAGTTCCAATTTTTTTGCGGTGGAATCGAGCGGCAGAGGTTTCGTAGGCCATACACTACGATACAGCACCAAACCTTCCTAGGATCACCAGTGTCTAACACATCGTGCTTCGAGATAGAACACGATTTTCAAGCTAAATTCTGAATTTTGAATTCTGCACTCGATTTAAGAGATGTATTCAATTAAGTCTATGGCCTAATTGCAAGTTATATTTTGAGTTAAGGATCACATGACAAAGGTTGTAGGCTTTGTCGTAGAGTTCTATTCGTCATGTTTCACTTGTACTGAATGTTGCAAGCCATGGTCCGGAAAGTTATGACACAGTGTTTTCTTGAAACAGGATGCGCAAGGTCTGTTAGAAGAAAGTAGATCGCTCGAAAAGAAAGTTTATCTGGCATCTGAAGCCCAAAAAGCCGCGAAGGATGTAGAACAAGACTATGCGGAGGTAAGGGTTGTAATAGCTTCATAATTGTTTCCCCCTCACCCCCTCCTCCCTGCCCTCCTTCTCTTCCCCTCCCCCCCTTAGGGCGAAGATTAAGCAGTAAATTTGTCATCTGACTTTTCAACGATTCGAATAGCTTCTTTCATCCATGAGTTCGCGTGCTGAGTAAAAGGTCATTCATAGCGTTTCGGCACGAGTGTTTCTTCGCCTGCGGGAAAGTATTAGGCGTGGAGCGATGCGAACCGGCGAGAGGTCTTCAGGGGGTCAAGCACTCATTATTAGTGCCAGGCTCCCAGCAAACCTCTCCCGGCAAAACTCTCCCTGATTCGTTTCCCGGGGCCGTAGCCAGACTTCAAAACAAGACCAGGCAAGTTTCGAGCGCCGAAGGTGCGAGCCGCTAGGGGAGTCTGGGGGCATGCCCCCCCAGATATTTTTGAAATCTAGAGGCCTAGAAATGCTCTTTTAACCAATACAATTTTTTCTAGGGATTATTTTCTCAATTAAACGTTTCTTCTAGCTACGACCCTGTTTCCAATCTTCCCACAGGTGGAGAAGTGCGCGTCCCGGAACTCTAATAATGAGGGGGCCTGTATTCAGGCTAGCTTAGAACTGTTTTCAAGTAACGCCGACTTAGGATGCTGTACGCTAACAAATCACTTCAGATCCCTAAAATAGTGACCAATAATCAGATCATGTGCCTGCGACTGTTAGTTGATCCGCGCTTCCTGATTGGATTATTTTGTGCTCTCTGTTACGGTTTTGAATGGTCACGATCTTTTTATTGCAGGTAAAATGGATTTAAAACTAAAATGTTCCTTTCCTTACAGGTAGTAAGACTTCTAGAGAAAGAACTGGATACATACAAAGCGAAACAGGCGGAACCAAAACCTGATGCGGTGAGCAAACCCATTTGCAAATAGGTTGCTCGATTTTCATAACTTGTACACTCGGATTTGAGTTCATATTGTCAGAGGGTGTTTATCACAAGACGATTTTTTTTGTATCGTAGAAAGAACTCCAAGAGTTACAGAAGAGACTGGTTGTTCTCGGCTGCCAACTTCGGAAAGCCGAAGTTGGTAAGCGAACTTACGAAGTAGCCACGGATAAACTGATTCACTTTGCTGAGGTACAAAGGGGTGTTTTTTGTTTGTTTGTTTGTTTGGTTTTCTTTTTTTTTTTCAACAAGTGTATTGTTAATGAAAAAATTAAGGGAACTTAACTGTCTTCTTTTTTGCGTTCATGGAGGAGTTGGTAATTGCCTTTCTTTCCGACTTCATAACGTTTCCTAGTGGTAGTTATAGCCTCAAGATTTTGGCATGAAAAATAACTTTATGGTTGATTGATTGACTGATTGATCGATTTTTTGTTTCAACGATGGAAAGATTCATTGATCGAACGATTGATCGCGATCAATCGATCGGTTGATTCGTGTTTAATTGATTGATTGATTCGTTTCGATGGCTCACTGACACTTTGTGTTCCTGGTATTTGTTTGTTTCAGTTGGTCCATGAAACTCTGTCAGAGGGAGGCTCAGGAGCGTAAGTTATTATTAGCGAAGTATTCATAAAACAACAAATTGCCTCAGAACGAGCAATGCTTCGGGCTCAAACCTATTTAACTGCGAAGAGATAAAGTGTTTAGCCCGAGACATCTGAAAACATTGCACGCTTTAAGGCTCTTTTTATTCGTTTCAAACCGATATTTTTCTAATCTGCTAGTATGTAAGAGCAGCGCACGGAAATATTTCTGTTTGTCCTTCTAATTTGCGTGTTGTATTGAATTTAGCTTGGGAGTAGGCCTTCATTACTTGCGCTGCCGAACGTGCATTTCTATACCCCTGGAAAAATTTGCGACAAGTCACTAGAGTCAGGAAGAGGTTTGATGGGGGTCTGGTACTAGACCCCTCGTACACCTCTAGCCAACTCGCGCTGCTCAAGGCGTTATATTTTCTAGGAAACATTCGTGCGAAAGCGCTAATAGGCTGGTTATATCGAATTGTTTCAATCTTCAAGTGTGATCATCTGGTTAGCCTATAAAAGGACTTCTGTCTGTTTCTGTGAACGGCGCAACTGACTTGACACTGAATGTGAGCCCGCGTATCTTATTTCCAGGCTCCAACAGCGTGGTAAAGGGGAGTCAGTTCGTCGTGACGGCGGAGCCAATCCTAAACCGCCATCTTACATGTCCCGTCATTCCAAGTACACGCCGGCTTCCCTGGCAAAAGAAGCTCGCGAAACTGTTAAGTCAGTCAAAGCACTCATAGAGGAAGAACGTAAGTTTACCCTTTCTGCCTTGTCAGCTTATTTTTAATCCGCATTATTTGCCATTGCTTTTCTTTTTAAACAATCCCCTCGTTTGGTTTAAGGAAAGAAAAGGTGACTTTGTGAAGGTTTTGCTAGATAGCAAACAGAATTCATCACCAAACGAATGATTGCATTTTTAAAGTTGTTTTACTGAGTTATAAAATTTCTGGAGTGTTATAATTTTAAGGCCCAATTTTGACCTATACACACCATCATACCACAAACCGCTCCCATTTCAGCTGAGGATCAGTTCCAAGTTATTCTGAGGGTTGAATTTGCGTTTTTTATCTATTTTTACAGCCCTTCCGTTTGGATGGGAGGAGGCCTTCACAACAGATGGTGTCAGATATTATATCAAGTAAGTAGTTATGAAACAGACAGTAGCTTTTCTTCAACCTCAGCCTCAACCAACAGCATTTAACGGTTTTGCTGTAATTCATTTTCGGACTAGACTGTGTGTGGTTTCTAACCAAGCCGTGTAAGAATTTCAAGATTTAATGCCCATAGATAACCTTCAGTGATAGAAAACAAGCTTTTCCGCTGGCAAGCGGACGGAGATAATAAAAAACTTTTCAGTGCCATCGATCGATAGATCGGTACAAAACTATATCTAAACCCTGTCATGTCAATATCTTTGGTAATGTCCAGTGAGGGTCTGATTCGCACAGGCGACATAATAGTTTAAAAGCGATTTCATCCCCAGCCTCCATGTTTTACGTTAGCTGCCTAGACAAGAAAGTCAAAGCGTAATGTCAAAACAAAAGCAATGTTGCTACTTTACGAAAATGTTAGTTATTATTTGCAACCCACACAACTACCATCCGATCGATTTTAGCGTTAGCTCTTCGTCAGACAATTCGTTCTGACGAAGGGCTAACGCTCGAAACGTCAGTTTTGAACTCTTAACGGTGGCCAATTTACGTTATCAATTCCGTTGATAATACCAAATTACCCTGTTATACTCTCCCAACGACACAGCACCACAGCTTCTTTAGAAACTTATCCCCTTTACCTTCCGATCGAGGCAGGTTATTAGATTTTATTAGCGAGGTAAGCTTAAAAAAATGGAAATAATAACTAAAAGACTGAGAAGATTGGAATAGATCTTAAGATACATAAAACTTTGGTTTTTTTTGGTTTTTTTCAGGGCAGTCACTGACTTTCTGTCTTAATTTCCTTTTGTCTTATAGTCACGTGACACAGCAAACGTCTTGGCTCCATCCTGTCAGTCAAGTTCAACATTTGCCGCCTATTGCAGAAAACGAAGACAACATCAGAGAATCGCAAACGTGACGTCAGTGCACCGCACACGCGTCACGTGATCCCCATCCAAGAGCTTGTGACAGTAGTGGTGTAAACTTCAGAAGAGCGTTATCAATTGTAAGGCAAATGTAAACCAAAGAATCGATAACAGCCGATCATGGCCATTGTGAAGAAACACGTGAAAACAAGATGTGAGGTCGGCGCCGAGCCAAGGAAATCATCTGCTTTGTTTAGTCATACGTATAAATAATCGCGTAGGTGGCTGTAGCGTTCACAAAATCTTTCTAAAATTTGGAAAAGCTTTAGTCTGTAAAGAAAGTTGAACATAAAAGTAGTTTATTATCCGTGGCTAATTTATACTGTTGAAATGTTGAATGCTGCTGTTGAAGCTGAACTAACACATTTCCTATATGAGAGAGAAATTTAATCTATATTGCAAACGGAAAAAGGAAAAAATGATAAGATTTTATCATCCATGCGATGCACAGAAAAAATGAATTGAAACGATTACAAGCAAACTGAAATGTATGACTGTTTTTTTTTTTAATTTTTTATCAAGCTTACAGGAGCATTTTGCCTTATATTGATTGTTTTGCTTATTTATTATACCTCACCCTTTCTGTTTTTGGTGTAGATATTGCAAAAACTTGTTTGTTTGAGAATGGTGTTTTACAATCTTTTCACTCCCAATATCTCTTCATGGATATTCCTTACTCTCTGTTCTTTTCTTTTCCATACGTTCTAGTTGTGTGAATTTCTAGTAAAATAAAGCAGTATCTCCTAGCTGATATTTCTCTTTAGTCTCATTGCTCTTCTCTCATTGCTTGGAAATGAATCATTGCCTTAAGGAGAACTAAATTATTTGTCACCCTTTTTAACAAACTAGACCAGTGTGGTTCTTTCTAGCCTGGCTTTTAACTAAGGATATTTCTGTATGGGAGTATTAATTATGTATGGGAGTATTAATTATGTAAATAGTAGTCTAAAATATGATTGCCTTAAATCTGACAAAATCTATCAACTAATCTTATCATGGAATTGTTAATTGTCATTAAATATTATAGGTTTGATATGGGAAGTTTTTCCATTTTTCCTCCATCTTGTTCAACCGGTATATTTTTATAAAATGAGTGCAGTGGCCTCAGAGAGTATTTCTGACTGCTAAAGCATGGTAGTTGGAACACATCATGTGATCACATCTTTGGCATCTATATAGTGTGATAGAGACCAGTACATTTGGTCATCAATAAAATATAGTATAACTTTTACACTGTCTTTTCATTCTTAGTGGGGTAGGGGGTTAGAAATGTGAACAAGAGGAGTCAGAAAGGCTTTCCTTTCTTTTTTGTCCTTCTTCTGTATCTTACCTACTAGTTTGTTACAGGACACTTCATTTTGCACGGTTTATTCTAGAAACTGGCCAATGAGGGGCAAATGGGCCCCTTTCAGAATATTAGGGGGGGCCTATTTCAAGAAATAGGGTTCAAGAAAGGGGTTCCCTTAAAGGTAGTTGAACTTATTGGTACAGAAAAGAAAGGCAGCCAAGACATTAAGAGGCCTTAAGAGTTATAAGTAGGTGTGTAGAGTTGCTGTCAAATCAGTGTTGTTGTCAGTGATGTTTTTGAATACTTTATTTCCAAAAAATGGTATTTATCCTTGGGTCTATTTTTTATTTTTATTTTTTGCCCCATTTGACCCAGAAGCACAAATTTTAAGCAGCATTTTTTTTCCAATTTGTAGAAATCCTGCAAAGCTGTGCCCTTGAATAAACCCTGTTTTGTTAGCCTGAGGCACTAATTTTGCAATTTATTAACACAGATGATTTGATTTATTCTTCATACTGTTCTTTATACATTTCCTAAGGTACTGACCCTGTAGAAACCTTTTGAGAAAATAGAGTGAAACAAATAGAAAAGGACATGAATTAGGGGGTAAGTGGGTAACTCCAAATACAATGTGAGAAATTTAATAATAAAAAATATATAATTTGTATCAGACAAATGATAAATTTAATAAATTTACTAATTTGATATTTTATGGGAACCATGTGCTATCAACAATATTTTCTTTCCATATTAACATGGTGAAAATTTTGGAAAGGGCCTGGTGAAAAAAATAGAGCGAGGGATCTTCCAACATTTTTCCAGAATTCAATACATGACACTACTGGTGCCACTAAAATTATACCACAAGATAACCAACCAGCTTGCTGTAAAAAGCAATATACCTCTTAGTCCTTAATCATCCACTCACTACCCTCCAGTTTTTTTTCTCTTTGGTCACTTATCTCCATTGAATGAAGGTCTGGAACAGGCTAAGTAAAAAGTTGATTAAATGTTTTGAGGTAAGGTTATAAACATTGCTGCCAGGTTTTACCACAGAGTCCAACAAGCTAGGCACGCTGTCATCACATCAAGTCAAACAAAACTCAAGGCTGAAGTGTACTAACAGATTTACAACCCCCTGGATTGATTACAAGCTCTTGTTCTGGAAATAAGCCTGCCCTCACCAGAAGTTGCTTCCTGGGTTTTTTCAAAAACCAGACTTCAGAGAATGGCAGAAATCTAGCCCCCAAAACCCCTACTGATAGTCCCCAATGAGTGACCATCAATACATGCATTATTTAAAAAATATAATTAAATATTTGGGATTAAAAGTAAGCTTAATCTACAAACAATGTCTCTCGTTATTTAAGTATAGATGGTTATGTTTTAAAAACCAATTCCAGAAGTGTAAAGCAAAACCGAAGCAATTCTTCAGAATTTGCACACTTTTTGAGAGATAGCTCAGTTGTGTTGTCAACCCTTTAACTCCTGTGAGTGACCAAGACAGAATTTCTCCTTACCTATATCTATACAATATCATGCAGAAGAGCGATGAGAATAAAGAAAAATATCAATTACCAGATTACTAACTGATCCGATACCAAATTCTCAAAACTAACATAGTGAGAATCCTTTGGCAGACAGTAAAGAGAATTACTAATGAGATCTCAGGAGTTAAAGGGTCAACAAATAGATAATGGGCTGCTGTGCGTCAGTTCAGTGATAGATCACAGTTGATATTCAAAATTTAAGAACAGAAGAGGGGCACACAAGGTGCAGCTGAGTGCGTCACTAATGTTCTTCTCACAGTATACTGCCAATTTCGTCAACAAATAAGCATGAAGGAAATAAATACCTAGCAAGGATAAAACGAAGTTCATAATTCGATTGAGGGGTGCTATAATAAAAAAAGTACTTTCTTTTCGTTGACTTTTCTATAATTTATAGGTGGTTATGGAACCATTTGGAAGATATTGTGTTACAGGCCGCTCGTAATATTTGTTAAGAAAGCTCCTCAGAAACATGCTATGTGAAAATACCAAAATGTTTGTTTCATCGCGACTTCGAAGGAAAGCATGAAAACGTTTCAGTCTTTGCTGAAAATAGTCATCTGTTTCACCCATTAGAAAGGTTCCGTTGTTCAACAGCCACTCATAGCATTTCCTCTGATCTGTCAGCTGATCTCTCAAATTTTCGTCAACGTACCACCATACGTTCGGAGGCAGCTCGCTAAAATCTAGCGTTGGATACATTCTCTCGAGGCTGTCTCTGGTATTTCCTATGTCGCATAAAGATTCTCCTCTTTCCCCGCACCAATGCGAAACAACAACATTCTGACTACCATAAGATCCAAGACATGTCTGAATGGCTCGCGTAAACGGAGAGGTTATAGCGATCTCGGCGTTCAAAGCCTTTACTTTCGGCTGCAAGGTGGTAACTTGTTCTTCACCAAGAGTACTCAACGGACAGTCTAGGTAAGCTTCAGAGTGCAGATCTTTGCGAGAAATTTTGAAAACATGCTGTGCCTCGTTCCATGTAGATTGACAGTGACGGACGAAATGCACGGTCTTTTCATCGTTGGGCATTGTTGTTAGAATTTTCAAGCGTAATTCCAAGTGATAACCCTTTGAGCAATGGCAAGAACAATTGGTAACCTCGCGATCGCCTTCTTCGAAAGACGAGGCCTGGGCCTAATTAACCTTTCCATTCGCCCGAGTAATAACATATCTGCCTCTTCTTTCAATCCCTTCAAAGAAAAACGACTATTCACATTTTTTCATTTGAATCCGCTTCCCAACCTCTCTATCTCTCGCAATCTCCCGTACCATACTCCGAAACTCCCCTATTCTGCGATTTTTTGCCAGTATAATTGGTATTCACTAGACGATTGCGCTGACGCGAAACGAACATCGACTTCCACAACTTTGTTTTTCTCTCTCGCAAGATCGAAAAGTAATGATGAAAACACAGGCTAACTTGATTGGCTAATGATATAGATTTTCCGTCTCACCCACCGGTATATCTTCTTAAGTGTCTCTACACACTAAAAGCATTTTTAAGCTTCGTTATTCCGCTTTCAAAAGTGCAATCAGTTTGCACCTTGAAGAACTTTGCGAGTGGAAATACTACTCCCTGCTATGGATTATGGCCATAACATCGTCCGTACACAGGCAGACATGGCACAACTCGAGAGCAAACCCCTTCGCGTGTAACGGGCTTAAAGATCGAGAAGAAGGGAAACCCCCGCCCCTCGTACCCTCTTCCCTATTGACCGAGTCCACTTCGTTGTCTTCGAGACATGGACAAGAGATACAGTAAAAGAGATTTTTAATATATTTCTTTCTTTTTCTTACATATTCGCGATATAATCAGAAGCGCTTAATTACTGCACAAGTCAAGTTTGATTCTCAGCAGGGCTAGCGAGCTTAGGTAGTCTAATAACGTAGTATTATTATTTAATGACCTAATCACATCTGGCCAAATATGGTCCATGTATTGACTGATTTTTTTGCCAAATTAAGCTTGAATTATTCACACATTTTCGAACAGTCCCACAAAGTCAAGGAACCAGCGACTACCAACCATAACCTTTGACCTATTACGTGACTTTACAGAAGTAACACCAAGAGTGTCACGCAAGGAGCTCCCCCACTGATTACTTGAAGAAGCCAGCTCCCCGTTATAATCAGAAAAAAAACGAACACAAATTCAAAGGTAGATTTGCAAATTTGATTTCAATCAGACAAACAGAGTAAAAATAAATTGAAATATTTTCCAAGACTTTCAAAATCCTCAAGGTCTTGCTTATCATAATTCAATCCTAATCCTAAGCTTAGAGCAACTGCGTTCTAAAAGACTAGACTTGCTAGGGGTGGCACACGATGTATCAATGTCACGTAACGAATAATGTCACGTAACGGATAGAAGGATGAAGTTTTTTACTTAAAATTCACGCCATATCGTCGTCAAATAAGAACAGAAACTATAGAAAAGTGCGAGAACAGCATGTCAAATTCAGAGGCTGTAACCGATTGCATAAAATTTCACTTCAATTCAGCAAATATTAAAATTAGAAAAAAACCTCTGTTCTACCAGAAACTTCAGACACATTGCAACACCCCTAAGCTTACATCAATTTGTTTTAAAAATCATTTTTCATTAAAATTCAATTTACAAAAAAAAAATAAAGGAGAGAGAGAGAGAGACATGATTGACAACCAATCCACAGCGAATAACCCTGCACGTGTGAATAATGTCTTCACTTTCATGATGAAAATTAAGGCAGATGTTCCTGAGTCCTACAGAACACTGCGGGAGTTTCAGCATTCTTACTGTCGATAACCTTGTCTAGACTTAAACAAAAAATCAGTTGACCAGCAACGTAAAAAATGATTAATAAAAATAGTGAGAAGATTCGCAAATCGTTTTCTTAACAATACGCTGTCTAAAAAATTAACCCATCGCGATTTCGGCGTTCCAGCAATAACAATTCTCATGGTTTCTAAGCTCATTTGTTTCTCCTTAGGAGAAAGGAAGATTTCACCGATCTTACTTCGTTCACGTGGGATCAACTCCATAACCGATCAGATCACGCTGCACACGTGCCTCTTCATGCTACAAACACATGCATATCCACTTCCGTGTCGAAAACTGACGAAACATTTTCCACGCCTTCCGTCTGTCTGGCTACTCATCATGTCTTAGAACTCTTCATAGCTACATCATTTTAACGAATATCTTTTCCGTTTCAGTTAGCATTAAAGTAGGTATTGATAACTACGTTTAATGCCAAATACGTCATTTTGGAAGGAATTCTATCTCCTTGATCACCAATTAAAATATCCTAAATCTCTGATATATTAAAAAGTCAGCTACGTGATAGTTTCAACGTAATTCTCAGGAACAAGACCTGTCCTTCCGTTCAGCGTACCTTCCAGCCAGCCAGGTTCTTTCGAAGGGCGCACTATTGAAAAATAAAATTAAGGAGTTATGAAGAAAAATTACCATGACAACCCAGTCAGAGACCCCATCCATATGATCACACCTCCCCCCCAAAAAAAAAAAAAAAAAAAAGAAGTTGTTCGATAAATGAAACATTATTCGCCCAACAATCAGGACACAGAGCACATAGAAATTGTTACAGGAAAACCTTGTAGTGATAACCCTTTTGAACTACACCAGAGAAGTCTGACCTTTCCCTCTACAGTTAACAAGCCCCGCCCCAACCCGCACCGCCCCCGGTGACTTAAGCCCTGGAGAAACCCCAACATTGCAGGAGCCCAGTCTTTATTTGGAATTTTATGGCGGTCTAAATCAAGCTTTCGAGCGAAATCAGCAACCCGTAGATAGGACTACCAAAAATGCAGGTTGTTTTGAGGTCCAATTTTGGAAACAAATTAAGTAACTTTACTTACCATTTGAAATAACCATGCCAGCATCAAACGAAAGTTCCGAACTGTTCTCCGCTACACAGGGATATATCGTCCTGACTTTCCTAGAGTATTAAGAAATTACGGGGTTATAACCGAAAAGTTAAAAAATCATATCTTCTGAAAATTAACGATTTTCCATTTCAACTCAATACTCGCGGTCTCACTTCGGTGTTTTGGTAGCTGGAGATGGCTTCGGTTCATCTACCGGCGGGGGTTCCTTAGGGAGAGGGGGAGGCCCCGTCCCCCAAGACTGCACTCCCCTGTTAAGGCTTCCCCCTTGACTGCTAGCACGGCGAATACCAGAAGACTTCTCCTTTGCCTTATCGTTTCTGAAGACAAAATATCACACGATATAGAGGCATTATTATAAGAGCGTGAGTAATTGCACGCGGACATCGATACATCGAAAAGGATTCTCAGGCAGGTCCAATAGGTTGATCAAGGGAATATTGAGGAACAGGGGGTAAAGTTTCTAAAGAAACTGTGGTGCTGCGTCGGTGGGAGAGTATAACAGGGTAATTTAGTATTATCAACTGAGTTGATAACGTAAACTGGCCACCGTAAAGAGTTTCAAAGCTGACTTTTCGAGCGTTAGCACTTCGTTTTTCGCTCTGACAAAGGGGTAACGCTCGAAACGTAAGCTGTGAAACTCTTTACGGTGGACAATCTACTTTATCAACTCAGTTGATAATACCAAATTACCCGAATATTGAGTAAAAGTTGATTCGTCTCAAATGAAATAACTCTTTTGTCTTTCCTTTGTCCCTATCAATTTCCTACGCCAGGTAAATAAAAGGAGTATCTCTCAAGTCAAATGCGATATTTAGAAGGTAGGGGTTTAGAATTCACAGAGGGCATTCCCCCCTCCCAACACAACATACACACACACACACACAAACTTCGTTCAGTTCCTACCCTTTCGCATTCAGCCCTTATGACAAAGATTCGTGACGGCTGACTGTGATGCAAACATATGTGACTGACACAACATGCGGCGTGTGAACAAAAAAGGAACAAAATACAGCAGCAAAAACAACATAACTGGTGCAAGGTGTTACAAAATGGACTGCTCTTCAAGACTAGGAGAGAACGTAACGATGTATCACAAGAAAAAATGATTTCATAACTCTTGCGGTTAGACAAACACAGGTGGTGAAAACTAGCACCAATTTTTTACTAAATTTGGTGAAAATCAATGGAACTTCTCTTAAGTTTCATTGACGTTTTATATGAACCATCTTCAAAACGTTTGAACACGACCTAGGGAAACTGGGTCTTGTACATCACATCGAGGCTCACTGGAAAACAGATGAAGGTTTCCTAACTTGTTTCGAACAGCTTTCTATCATACATTTCTATCAACATAATCTTAAATATAACGGGACGGAATGTGGGGACATCACAGTTCAAAGAGAAGAGATAGAAATTCTGACGTTTATTTCTCCTGAGAAGATTACCAGCTAGCCTAGATTTAAGGTACTAGACCCAGTTTTCCAGCTTCGTATCTGAACATTTAGTTCGTGGTTTGCCGAGTTTTTATAAATTCGCCAAATTTCTCTTTCCTTTCTGTTCTCCTTTTTTTCTGGTCAAAGGTGAAAGGTACCAGTACCGCCTGGAAAGATCAGTAAAACAAACCAATCTGTCTGCTCTGGAGACAAAAACAATATTTTGGAAAAACATGAAAAGGGGAGAAACAAGACTTACATGGGATCAACCATAGAAAAAGGTCTTGAAGAGCCTTCAAATCTGCTCTTAAACTCAGCGCTAAAATAAACAAGCAAAATAAAAGCTTAAAGCAAACACAAAATATAACACTACGAACGGCATGCAGCTTAGTTAAAGCGTTAAAAAGTAAAAGTAAATCCAACAGTAAAGTGAAAGGAAAAAAAAACTTGTGATCCTGCAGGGATCAGTCGATGTATAACTATCACAGGGGACATTTTTGTGTCTTCATCATTACTATGAGAAGTTTACGATCCACTTTTTATAACAAAATCCACTCGCGTCGTGGTAGGTTTCACCGTGGTCTCAAGGTCCCGTTCATACTTCTCAACATAAGTAAGCCCTATCGCTCACAAGATCTAACAATTAATTTTCTGCAGTGATTATCATATAGGCCTCTCGATTTTGCTTTCATATCAAAACAATATCTCCTGGCCGGTACGCTTCTTTTTAACTCTAATTATCTGTCTGCTCAACAGTGCCGGGAAAATTTCAAACTGATCAATTCCAAGAGTCAAAGGATTTAAGATGGAGCAGCACACAAAATAACGAGAGGGACTGGGAAAGACATCCCAGAAGTCAGCATCCAGGAGTGTTGCTACATCACATAAATGGCAAGCTAAACCATCGCATTAAACTCCTTAGAGTGTCGTTTCCCTGAAATTTGGCTTGTATATAGTTTCCTACTGAGTGAGTACACTTTTCCTATCAAAAAACACAACACGGAAGCCTGGCTTGGTATTGATCTAAGACATTTCAATCCGGAGTACAGCCCCCAAGTCATTAATCGGCCGAACAGCCACAAAATGCTAGACGAAAAAATGCCCAGGAGGCCAAACAAAGGCACAGTGTTCTACACAGCTTTCAAAAACGGCGTAAGTAGTGCTGCAATTGGCTGAAGATCAGCATGTCTGGTTTAGCAGCAAAAGAACCCCTGTTCTAATCACAAACAAGTCAAAGAACAAAGCACACAAAAAGATTTTTCTCCTCAAAGCGAGTTGTACTTACACTACTTCAGGTTTCTTCGGAGGAGGTACTGGTTTATTTGCTAAATTAAAACAGAAAAATAGAATTATACAGAGCCAAAGGCTTGGGCGTCGAGAAGCTTTGCTTGTGAAGTAAACGGTCGTCTGTGTCAACAGAATAGGAACAAAATTCTCACTTGAAAGCTTCTGCATGGCAAATGCTTACCCTTCGAAGGCATTCCCCTTTTCAGCACTGTAGACTTACCAGTTTTTTCTCTCCAAAAATCCCTTGGAGATAACGGCCCTTTCCCTTCACTCTGAGGGGTTGAATTTGCACTCGAAGACTCAGACAAACTGCTAAGATCGTCCTCGGAATCTGACATAAAACAGGAACTTCGTATTAACTGCCCGTGCAAAAGCGAACCTCGTTCTATGACTTTTTAGCGACCCTGGCGAGAAAGATAGGTCTACTCTTTCGCTCAGGATTTCTCAATTCGTTCCCGCATAAACGAAATTCTACCGTGTAATATTTTTGGCATCTTCGAAATTATTTACTAACCACGCTGATACGATCAAGATGGTTAGATATTGACCTTCGTCCTTTCCTGGCTCTAAATGTCGCCTTGGTAAAAAAATGCGCCCAAAACGCCCAAAAACCGAAAACTGCAATCGATGATGCAGCCTCCTTCACAGCCGTCCATGACGCAACAGTGCGTTGCGTGACATCCTAACGAACAGCTGCGGAGGAGACTTTAAATAACGTGACCTATTCAATTTTAGAGTCTAAGGGTAACTCACCTGTCGCAACAATGGCTCTGACTTTCGGCCTCGCATACGGAGCTGGTTTGTTCGGAGGGGGTGGGGCACGGTAGCCTTTAGTGGGGAGGGGTAGAGGCTTGGAGGGTGTAACAGGTTTGGCTTCATTTATTTTAGCACCAGTATCATCACTGTTTCTCTTCTTAGGGAGAGGTTTGGGCTTTTCGTAGACGTGCGTAGAATCATTCTCTTTTTCTTCTACGAAGGGATTCCCTGTGTTGTTCTCTACTACAATTGGAGAGGAATCAGTAGAATCTTCCCCTGAATCCGGACTAGGATCAGGCCCAAAAATCTGCGAGAAAAGCCAAGTAATACTCAACAAAAGAAGGTTCAAATTTTTCATCTTGGTGACATTCTGACCGAGACAATTCTAAATTCATCTTCTTCCTAAATACCCCACCCAAAGATGTTGTAAATGATGCAGCTTTGCAAAAATTCCAGATTTCCTCCCACGTTTTTTTTTCTTGAGACTTAATCGTTCACTTTTCTAAGTCTGGAAAGATTTTGGCAAATTTCAATACTATGCAAAAATTCAAGAACAAAACTCAACTGTTGGCTACTCACTGTGTTAAACTCTTTGATGAGCAGCTCAATAACAATACTCTGGTATTTCAAATTCATGATCGCAGCCATAGATTCCTCTCTAGATTTCATCAATGTTGGACCAAACACAACTCCAAGGTTGCTTGCTGCCATTAAGTTCCTATTGGAATGAGCCGCAACCCTGCCAGGAAAAACACACTGTATGAAGTACTGCCATGCATAGTGCAAGAATGCCGAAAAATGACCAAACAGCGATTAAAGTAACCATGGCGAACTCAAATATGAAAATCACAAACAAGGGTATAGACGGGCAAAACTGTACATTCATTAGTATCATGTGGGTGTGGACTTCTCAAAAACACCTTGGCTCTTTTTGAGCTTATTCTGATCAATTTTAAGAAAGAATCACCCATCGAGTAATGCATGCATATTAACATAAGATGCGATGAAAATTGTATAAAGAATTAGCTGAGACACCATTATCGCCACTTTCAAAAGAAAATAAATGTGCCTCTTACTGTGTTAAATGTTTCATAATCATTCTTATTAACTTCCTGTTTTCTTCAGGTAATTCAGCCACAAGGCACTTCAAGGCCTCAACTCGTTTCTCGAATGTATCTTTTTCTACAAAAAAAAAAAATCATCACACTAACTAAAAATCACAAGTCTCCAAAGAGCACATTCATACAGATTATTATAAGACCAAAAAAAGTACCACAAAGATCAATCAGATTAACCCTTTAACTCCCAAGATCTCACTAGTGATTCTCCTTACTGTCTGCCATACAGTTCTTGTGATGTAAGTTTGGAGAATTATGTATTGAATCAACTTATAATCCCTTGACTGATATTTTTCTTCATTCTCATCACTTGTCTGTTTGATATTGTATTGATATTGTAAGGAGAAATTCTGTCTTGGTCACTCAGGAGAGAGAGTTAAAGTTAAACATGAGAATTTGAGTGAAAACAGTAAACCAATCTCAACCACAGAGAAAACACTGGTGACTAATTTGACTCTGATTCATTATTGCATCTCACTGTTTAGAGAGTGGTGTTGGTTTTTTAAGACCAATAGGAGAGCAGAGAGAGGAAAGCATAAGCTGTAGTAGATACTCAACTGAAAACTGTTATATTTAATTAAAAATAATATCAATTGTAAAATACAATACAAAAGTTAACTTTTAGATTCACTGCTTCTCACACTTGTTATTAATTCATCAAATAAGTTTAGAAACAGTATTCTGTACTTACTAACAGCTTCCAGGAATTGTTCATGGTAGTTGTATGTAAACAAAGGCTCTGGCATGTTCCTAAGAGCAACAAAATGTTTAAATGACACTGATAGTTTCTACAAAACATAATACTTTAATTTACTCTTAAAAGACAACATAAAATGCCTTCAGCTTCAAAATGCACACACATCAGAACATGCACTACCTTCAAATCCTGCCATAACCTTACCTCAAGTACTGTTTAAGTGCACTGGTAATGGTTTTGACTTCCCATTCACATTCCTGGTCTGCAAGGTCAACTGTCTTTGCCTTCTTTCTTTCAATACATTGTAACAAAAGATTCTGGACCTTGGAACCCACACCAACTATTCTGTAAAGACCTTGGTCTGTTATACCTGGAATAAGCATTGAGATGAGAAATATGAAATCTTCTATTATCAATAAAAATACAAGAGGAAAATACTATCATCATTGTAACAGATCTCTCATAGGCAGACAACATCCACTGTGGAGCTGGCTGCTTATGGGAGTTTACAATTCTTAAAGGCTGCTGCAAGTGGTGTAGGCCATAGCTGACCCAGTAAGGGAGCCTGCTTGGATAAGAGGTGATTTGAAATGTAACTGGATGTGTATTGTAAATGTCTGACAACAAAGCAAGTTTACACTGAACTTAGAACAAAAATCTGTGAAGTACAGTAATGTGATGTTGGTTGATAAAAATACAACTACTGGGATTTCATTCATGTTCCCCTTTAAGGTTTTAAGGCAAAGGAAACATATAAATCATCACCCCTAATAGTGGCCTCACCTACTTACAGGAATGTCCAATTCTGAAAATGTGTTTACAAAGAGTTTGCACCATGAAAGTTGAAAGGGGCTTGTGACTCACAATGAGGGCAACTGTGAGTAGACATGTACACTAGGGACAGTGTCTGCCAAGATAATCGGAGTTGTGTTTAATTGATATCTTTGTCAGAACAAACCTCGTTTTTCCACTGCCGAAATACACTTGGTGATAAAAGTGAGTTCAAGATCACGTGTTTCCTCTGAAAGATATTGACATAAAATTTCTTTAAACTTTGGCATCAAGTAAAATTATGGTGGCTCTGTTGAAAAACTGATTAGCAAAGGGCTAGGAACGTTGCAAACACTGTAGGAATGGGACTATGCTAAGATTAAAAAACTTACCATCTTTAAGCTTGGGTAGGTTATTGAAATCCTCATACAACTGAAAAGAGAGAAGAAGATTGCTCAAAGGAGAAAGATTTATGTAAGTCAAGAAAAAAGCCTTAAAGATTTACTTATTTAAATAAGTATTATAAGCATTATTAATAAGTATTATTTAAATATTTCTGACAAGATAAACTTACAGGTTCTTTGCCATCCATGGCTTCCAACCAAGATTTTCTATCATCCTCTCCCTGTGCTTGCAATAAGATAGGTTGTGCTCTGTTCCAAAATGATAAAAAATAAAATAAATGAATGATGAAACAATTTTTAACCTCTTCAAAAGCAAAATAATTCAGTGGAACTACACTATTTCTCTTGTCAATACTGAAAACAACTATACAACATGTCAACAGGTGACTGAGGTAAGCAGTGAACTGGATGAGATGTTTACACCATTGTTACCTTTCCTCAGCAGTAATTTCAAAAGTAAATCTTCTGTCTATAGAATCTGTCATTCTTCTACAACATCAAACAAACATCAATATGAATGAAATGGTTCTTGCCATGGAAATGTAGTCAAGGAATGCTAAGGGTGATAAATCTAAACCTCATTGCATTTATTATTATATTTGTCCTACCTGATGCAAGATGTTACAACCATTGTGTCAGTTGATGCATTCTAAAAGATAAATAATTTGACTTGATTACTTGTTAGTAGTGCAAAAAATATGAACTTAATTGAGTGTTTGTTGGCTGCAAAGCAACAATGAAGAGTACCATAAACCCATATGACCACATCACATCACAGATCAAAGTTTTTACAAAGAACAATCCTTAATAATAAGAGATTGGAGAATCCTCTGGCTACCATCCAGAATTCTCAAGCCACTGCCAAAAATTCTCTGACTGCTACCATGAATTCTCTAGCTACTATCCAGAACCCTCAGGCCATTGCAAAGAATTCTCTGGCTAGATACCTAGAAGATACCTAGAATACTCTGGCTGCTACCTTAAAATCACTGGTACCTGGGTAGAATTCTTTACCTACTGTCCAGAATTTCTGATTAATACCCAGAAGTATCTGGCTACAGCCTAGAATTCTCTGGCTACAACAAAGAATTATCTGACAACTACCCAGAATACCCTTGCCAAAGTTTGATGGCCTGAGCTATTTATAATTCAGACCTGGAGAATACTCTCCTGTCCACTAAAACCCTACTGCTACATTCCATGATGAAGACCAGCTCACACCTACCAGTCGTCCCTGAGTCTGCGTGTATGGAATCATGGTGAGAATCTTGTTTTCCTTTGTGTACATACAGTAATGTTTGTGCCAAGTATTGGTACCAAGGCTTCCTAAAATGGCCATGTATAAAGTGTGTCAAGCAGAAAGTGATTTTTACACAAGAGGTTTGCATTAACTGGGCAGGCGAGATTTTTCATTATGCCACAAAAGGCATGATTTAAATCAGGGTTCATTTTTGTCATTAAGCCATTGCTTTAAAATCAAGCATAAGCTGTCTATACAGTGTCATAAGAACCACCATAGAAGCCAGAATCTTGCAGGGCACCTTCAAACCAAAATTTCAAAGTAAAATCAACCAAAAAATGATTGAAAATGTTTCCAATAGGTTCTAAAAGAGCTAAACATGAAAAGCACACACACCACATTAATCTGACAGTTCCCTCAAACTTGTTTCAATCAATGTTACCTTTCTTCTGCACTGCCAGATATCCTTGCCTTGTATGTGCACCACGATACTGTAGCTCACCACTTTGAGCTTTCTGTATTGGAAAAAGGAAAAATACCCAAATAATTTTTAAACCAATTAAAAAATGATACAAGTACTGGTCAAGAACAGTTAGAGAAATTAGTTGACACAACACCTACATGTACTTCTCAGGGCATGACAGCAGTAGAAAAGGAAGCCTCAATTTAATCCTACCACTCCAACAAGTGATTAGCATGTAACTTCTCCCTATATATGTATCCTTACATTATCCAGCCAATTGGTAATGAGAATACTCAGACCCATCAGGTAAGAGTTTTTGTCTTGATCAAACTCCAAATTCCTGTAACTAATGTAAAGGAAATGAGTAGCAGGTAGAGGGGATAATTAGCCATCTGATCTTGGGTGTCTAAGGATTAACACTCACCATTTGTACTCGACTCATGAGGCTTTCAGCTTCTTCTTTGGCCGTGTCAAATCTTTCTCGAGTCTAAGAAGCATGTATAGACAATATTACAAGGTGGCACAAAGATATGAATTTTACTTTTAAGTGAAAAAAACACTTCACCAACAAATGCAGCAAGAAACACTTTATTTTCAATGTGATAAAGTAAAATTTATTCCTTTGAGCAACCACTACATGTATTTAAACAACCAATCTGTTGTTACAGTCATGATTTTAAACTTACATTTTGAAGTTTCAGCTGAAGATCTTTCATGTACATGACATAGTCAATAAAATGTTGTAACTGTTATGATTCAAACTTACATTTTGAAGTTTCAGTTGAAGATCTTTCATGTACATGACATAGTCAATAAAATGTTGTAACTGTTATGATTCAAACTTACATTTTGAAGTTTCAGTTGAAGATCTTTCATGTAATCAACGTAGTCATTAAATACTTCATGCCCTGTTGACAACGTTTAGAAAAGGAAAAAGTTCATTAAAAAATGACCAGGCTTCCATAACAAGAATGAGATGCAAGGTTACAAAGAAATTTTAAACCACAACTTACAACTACTTTGTAAAGAACACCTTACCGCTGTGAAAAAATGTTTGATGCCCATACATAAAGGATAAAATCTGGAAAAGAACAATAAAATTGATGAGGATTGCCATGTTGTTATACAGAAGAGACATGCATGTACATTGTATATGTACATGAATCCTGTTTTGAATTCAGTGACTACTACCCAGGGTTTTCATTTACTTTTGAAGTAGAAGGGCACTGCCTTGTGAGTAGGCAGGTACACTGTGAAATTGAGGGCTGAAGGCCCAAACCTTTAGGGGGGTCTGGGGGTATGCTCCTCTGGAGACATTTAAGACTTGAGTCCCCTAGAAGCACATTTTCCTGCAATCTGGTAAAGAAATCTTCCTGAAATGAAGCATCCTTAATTTAATTACAGTAAAAAATAATGGTACTCTAGGAGAATTTGTTTATTTCACTACACAGCTATAGCTACATCAAAACAGTGCTCTTGTTCTCAGGGCTTCCTTTCTTATTACAGTTATAAGTTTAATTTAACTCATAAACGGATAAAGAGTGAAACTTACAACACTTTTTGTAGTTTATGAAAACTCAAAGTCAGATCTGTAATCATTTACATTAATGCCTTTTGTCATCATGTACCACCAAGCAGTTAAAAATTTAAAACAGATATTGATGGAACACTGGAGTATGATACACAATCAGCCCTTGCTGAAAACAATTTTTACAAAACCTCCCATGAGCTTTACAAAAGCCACATGGGCTTTATCTTGAATGAAAATTAAATTGGAACAAAGTTTCTCTCAATTGCTTGGAATATTTAAGCTTTAAAGCCAACAAGATGTTGGGTTAATGAGATGCATGTGTCAGCTGATAAGCATCTTTTATGGTGAAATTCATCTCTTGTTGATTATCTAATATTCTGAATTATATTTCAGAGAAATACAAAATGTTTTGTGTACAGTTTAAATTATGGAAAGCATAGAAATTGTACCTAATATTTTGAAAAACCTTTCCACTGGCTGTAATCCAATTAAAACCTCAAAACATATATTTAATTTTTTAGGTCATCACACTTGACTTTTCACAAGCAAATGAGTGCTTGCGAATGTTTTACTTTTGCTTGTCATGATGACTCCGCAGAATGCCTTGCTTTAATGGCAAGTCACATTTAAGAGTTATGTAATAGTTAATTAGGCACTTTAGGAAGAGACAGTCCTCAGAACACTATTATCGTGCAGCGCCTTTCTCATCCAAGTAAATTTTGTTTCCAAAATCTGATGGCAAGTAATTAATAAATAAGTGCAGAAAAATGTTTTAAACTTACAGGGAAGAGTTATTATTTAGTTGAGGTTGATAATTTTTTTCACGACAATTTTCTTTTCTAAATTTGGTACTTTAAGTAGCCAGGTACTCCGTTCAAAGTAGGAGGGTGCCAGTACCCAGGACCCAGCTTCTAATAAAAAACCCTGGCTACCACTTCAGATTTATGCCATACTTCCTACGTCTAACACAAGCTTATTGTTTATATTAAACATAAAATATTACAGGAAAAATATTTTCTTCTAGAAACCAAATTTCATTTATTGCTACCATTACATAATTTAAGGTTGCCATGTAACCACTTTGAAAAAACGTTAAGCTTGGAGCTCTGACATGGGAAACAAGATTCAGGAATCAAAACCTGGGCCAAAGCAGAGGCAGATAAGGACCTAGAGGAGAGGGGAGGGAGTACTTGTGTTATTTGTTTGGGTGTGTGCAGCATACCTCTCAGAACCACTACCCCATTATACTCTATTCTGTGGCCAATTATCTACCCCATCTTAGTCCATTTTGGTGATGAAGTAACAACTTTTCGACCACAAACCTTCCCTTTTTTTTGGTCCCTAGTTACTAGAAATTTCTTACACCCAAAACCTAGAAAATGTGCAACCCCCATACCAAGGATAAGGGCTCTTACCACTGTAACATTTCTGTTTATACTTACAGTTTCAACAAATTCAAACTTCTTCTTCTCATTAACCTCTTGAAGTTTGACAACATAATCAAGGGCAGACTGATGGAAAAGACGCTTCTCTGATTGAAGTAGTTGATCCGCCTATGCAAAAAAAAAAAAAAAAAAAAGAAATAAGAAAATTACATCAAATATCCCTGATTAAATGCTCAAAAGTCAAGAATCTTGTGCACTCATGCCAAAAAAAATTCGCAAACTTATGTCCCCTCTCTAGGTCCCCTGCTAGTTACTTGAAAGGTAAAAAGAGAAAGTCGGCTCTTGAGCCAAGGTGCTAAAGCTTATTCCAGTCTCCAGAGAATGAAGCTGCTAGGGGCATTGCCTCACCGCCATGTAGGGTAGCAGTCCATCACATGTGACCACTGCCCCTTCCCCACCCCCACAAGCATTTTACTAGGCTTCACTGATACCTATTTGTACTCCTGGGTGGAGAGAGTCAAAGTGAGACTGAACAATCTTGCTTAACCCTTAAATTCCAAAAAAGCGACCAAGAAAAAAATTATCCTTACAATATCTATACAAATCAAGCAGACAAGTGATGACAATTAAGAAATATTTTGAATTGAGGTTGTATTTGTTGATCTAATAAGTAAATCTCCAAACTGAAATCATAAGAATTGTATTTCAGACAGTAAGGAGAATTACTAAAGAGATCTTGGAAGAGAAAGGGTTAAAATCATAAGAGAATGACCCCCACCTCTTAAACACACAAAAACACCAGCCTGTTGTGTATCCCAACATTTACTACTAGTAAAATTATCTAAATACTACAAACCTCACTCAGAATGGTTTCTTTCTTCTTGTAAGAAAGATTCAAGTAGTTCTGAACTGTTAAACAATATTTTTCTGTCTGCTTGTCAAATTTCTTTTTTTCCTCCTACAGAGAAATGTTAGTTTTTTCATGTGATGTAAATAACAAATACATGAAATGAAATACCTCAAGCAAAGTAAAAAAGAGAAGGGATAAACACTATTACACATGAGCTTAACTTTAAGCCCTGAGTGACCAGCATCTAATTTCTCCTTACAGTAATAGTGTTGAATCATTCATTTAAGATAATGAGCATTTAACAAATTATCACCAACCTACTGAGCTCTGATTGTTAAATGAATTCTTCTTGTCAGTAACCAAAGAAAATGTATAGAGCACAGTATGGAGAATATAGATACCGATGTCAGGGTGTAAAGGTTTAACATAGTGTCTGCCTAATATCCTGAATCTCAAACTTAAGAGGGTGCTCAAAATTTAATTTCCTTATAAAGTTCCAAAAGCTACCTCTGGTAAATTTAATGGCAACAAGCCATTTTTAAGGGGAAGTTGTAAAGCAGAATTCCACATTACCAGTCATTCTTTTGTCAAACCTCGTGATTCCCTTCAAATAATAATGTGAAACAAGAAACAAAATACCAACAATATACCTTTGCTCCTCCAATCTGCTCTCTCCTGAATATCTCTAGCGGCACTATCAGCTGGGAATTTGCATGGTTTAACTAGAAGGAAAAAGTGCTAACTATATAACAATGAATCTTGAATATCTTAACCCAGAAAGAAGACCCACAAAGATGGGAAAAAATGGGAAATATGAAGGAAGTGAACAAAGACTTGAGAAATACCACTTTTTGTGGCCTGAGATTATTGATTTAAGATGATGATAATCATTACTATTATGATATTGATAGTCATACGAGAAGAAAACAGTATTACCATTCTTTCTCGTTCATCTTCAACACTATTGATCATGCTAGCAAATTCCTTCAGCGAATCAGCTATAATGGAAAAAAAAATCAGTTTTTGAACAAAACTGCAGCAAATTTAAAACAAATGCATCATACTTTTGGGACCAAATTGTATATCACAGAATTCACTTTTTTAAAAAAGGATTACTAAATTTGTCAGGAAACTGGTGTCAAAGCAAGAGAAACTGCAATAATTATTGCCCAGACTGGAATTTGTGATTAACTGAGATAAGTGACTGATTGACCTTATTAAAGATTCAACTCACCAATAATCATCTCATCATCAGTCTCTACTTCACCAATGCATTCCAACCCAAAGCCATTCAGCACATTTGCAAAGCTACGTTGTGCTTTGGATAAATCTAGACAAGAGATGAATCGATGTTTGTACACAAAGAGGATACATTTCCTTGCCTAAGCCATATAGCTATCTACAAACCAGACGGATATGGACTCAGCCTCTTTACTTCTGAAATTTGTCAGTGGGAACAGATTGAGACTATTTGCATCTTGTACACCCTCTTGAATTGGGTCTGTGGTTTTCTTTTTTTTTGGCAGATGAGAGAACTTTTTGGTCAATAAAGTTTGTGATTCGTAATTGCATAATTCCCTGTTTCAGAAGGTTTCAAATTTATCTTATTGCCCCTTGAGTGAACAAAGGGACTATTTCAAATCTTCTTGACTAGTGTCATGACCCTAACTTCTGTCAACTAATTAAAAATCGCAAGCAAAGCTCTTTAGAGTGCCTCCATAGTAGTATTGCAATTTTTTTTTCCTCTACAAGAAATTTCCACTTCACAGAAAGCATTTCGAATGACCATCTATGATGTTGGACCTCTGGACAACCACAAAAGAAAAAAAAACTTCAAGGAAAAGAAGGATTGCATTGTTTAGGTTTTGAAATAATGTTAAGACCACTAAAGGTATTTTTGCATGTCAATAGAATTAAATGAAGGCAAAAAAAATACTTTTAAAATTCGACAATGCCTTGAAAACAATCTAAAGTGAAGTCTGCTCCGAAGTGAAAGACTCATGTCAAAGCATACTGCTGAGCGGAAAAAAATAACGAGGCAAGGGACCTTAACTTCCTGATGGCAAAAGAGTCTGGTTTGGAGGAACACAAATAAAATTTGAAAAAAATTTTAATTAGTATGAAAAATACAAAAATAGACCATTTGGTCAAGGAAAAAATATTAAGCTAGCTACATTAAAAAAGGTTATTGATTACCCAACAAAATTAGCAAATGTGTTTCTGAAATAAAAGTGACTGAATTATGTCAGTAATTTGCTGATCATGAAGCCTAAAATTGACAAGAATTCAGTAAATATTTCAAATTATTCACAACTAATTTGGCAAACACGGGAAATCAAGTACACAAACATCACACTCATCCTGCCATAGGGTATACTTTGGCAGCTTTAGAGGAAGATGAAGGAATTTGTGTTTAAGTTTAAGAACAGACAAAATAAATGTACACAGCATTCAGACAAGACAAAGGGAACACTACACAGTAATAACAGAGAGTCATAAACTTCCAGGACCGGCAAGAGGTTGTTCCTGTCAAATAACGTTCTTGACAGTTTCAGCCGGAAAATGTTTACAGAGCCAATTATGCGATATCGAGGAACGTTTACCATCCTTGTGAGAGATTTCCCACTTAAAGATCATTTCAAAATTTCAATATTGAATGGTTTAATCTCCATTTAAACATACAAATATTTTAGGTTACGTCAAATTTCTGGAGCCCATATCCGTTTTGCCTCGTGCAGAAACAGATTTGAGGCTTCAAATAAAATGTGTGTGTTGCCTTTTGAAAACCCTCATGTTATAACCTGTCGATTTCACTCAAAAATCGAATTTCTACCGAACGACGACAAATAATTCAATTCTAGGAAATTGCTCGCATGAAAATTCAAAAGATTATATTTTGGTCGTCAATTGATTTATTGATGTCTTAGGAGATAGGAAGGTGATCGTTGCACGAAAATTCTTGTAAAAATTCCCAGTAAATTCACCTGATTGATCGGGAAAATTCATTCATTCGTTCAGATGTACAGAAGGATGATCGAGTGACCAGAAGCACTACAGACAGCTTGAGACATTAGACAAAAGCTCTTTGCAGGAAGTCAAGGTCGCCTGAGGCTTGGAAAAACAAGAGCTAACTCGCTCGCGTTCGTAACGCTGTCCCTTTAAATATAGACACTGATCGATAAAAATATTAAGCGACTTCCAAGCAGGGACGACAGCTATTTTACTGTGTATTTAAGCTCTAGATGTACACGGAACAGTCACTTACTTTCGATCGCCTTCAACAAAGTCTTACATTCTTTGATGAGGCCCTTGATGGCCTCGTTCGTTCTTTCCAGCTCCCGTTCATGTTCGTGGATGTTCTCACGGAAATACGGACTATCCAAAATGCAATCTTCGAACTCAAGAGGCTTAAGCCCCATTGCTTAAGATGGATGATACCTTCTTCCTGAATTCTCGTGTCGGTTTCAAGGAATGCCTTATTCCGTAGATATAAACAACTGGCAGGGTCGGCTAAAATTTCTCTGCTTTAAGATTCGAATCTCATTACGCATGTGCAGACATGTGACCAGTTATCCGTGACGTTGATAGACTAAGGAACCCCGCCCCACGGGACTTAGTATTAAAAAAATTATACAGGTGTGTATTCTCGAAGAAGGATATTAATAACAGTGAAAAGAAGAAAAATAAAGTTCAAATGTAATTGAAACTAGATTTACGTCTGAAAGTACTATAAGGCTTTCTTCTGGACGAGAAAAAGGAGAAAAAGTCGAGAAGAATCTAATCAAATCCGGGTACCTGGCTGTGTGCGGAAGTTAGTTACTCATAATTCCACCTGAGCTGCATTTGGAATCCCTGGACCACCGAAAAAGGAATGTTTTAAAACATTACGCAATGCTCTCTCTTGATGACCTCATCTTCCCGTTTCAATTAGCGTTCGATATTAGCAGCAGCGGTTAAAATGAATAACTTTAGGAATAATGAAGAAGAAAGATAAATTTTTTACTTACAAGGACAATTTATAACTCACTACATAGGAAAGTGTTTTAAATGACCCTTGTGAACAAAAAAGACGATTTTAGTGGCCTTGATATCCGAAAAAGGATTATTTTTTCATTCTAGGTCATGCTCTCTTAAGAAACTCGTCTTCCCGTTTCAATTAGCTCTCAGTTTCAGCAACAGCGGTAAATAAATAATTTTGGAAAATTACAAGACGCTTTCTACTGGCTCTGAATCACCCTATCACACCGGACAGCTGGTTTTATGACAGCCTTGAACAGGAAGAAGGAAGCGGAATACTTGATTAACCTCAGCATTATGACGAGCCACAGGACTGGAGAACATGGATGAACTAAAAAACGTAGAGACTGAAGGAAAACAGTTGAAAAATAATTGAAAAATTTCTCTTATCGACTAGTTCGGGAGACCGTCCGCAGAAAGTTAGGAAAATGCGGTCTCCCAAACGCGCATGCGCAGCTTGTGTGGATATTGATGTAAAAGGAACATTCTGCGCAGGCTCTTTATTTCGTCACGCAACGAGATCTCTCCCTCTATTTTTGTTCCGGTATTGTTTTCAGACAGAACTGTGGAAGTTAGGCTAGAATATGGCGGGTATGGTAGTAGGTGTAATGGATCCTTGCGCTAAAGTAATACAAAAAATAATTTATTCCTCATTCGTCGATTATCTTGAGCGTGATTGACAAACCAATGATATTTCACTTTGCTGCAACACGTTCAAGAAGTAGATGGAAATTCAAAAAGTGAAATGATCGCATTAGCAGTCTGGTCGTATATCATAGATCAAAACCAGGAAAGGGAAAAGGAATATTTTTATCTGCTTAATCTTCCTCAACTTCCTCAGACATGAGCCTAATATAGACTCTACCAGGACCCTTGTTCTTGTTTGCCTTATTAGAAGGTGAAATCCCGGCGTTGTACGAACTTCCTCCTTCCGCCGTGCCACCATTCTTACCATCACACTGCAACCAACACCCTTTGACACCACCCCCCGAATACCCTCCCCCACCTCCGGGCAACAAACCAGCAGCCCCTCCCCCGCCAAAACCTCCACGACCCCTCTTCCCATGGGGAAACTTATCATATACCGTGTTTGCCTCTCCACCATTTCCTCCACCAACGAAGCTTTCTCCACCCCAGCCTTCTTTGAAGCCGACTCCAGCGCTGTACATGCCTCCTCCTGCGCCTGCAATAACTTTGTGATGCCCAGTGGATTCATTGATGACCGTCTCGCTGCTGTCGCTGTAGTCTAAAAGTTTCCCGCCTTTACCCTCGCTGCCGCTGACACTGGAGGATGGCTCATCATTGGACCTGCCACCTTTCCCATCTGTCTGTCGAGCTATGAGAATATTACAAGATTAATTTTAAAGTTTAGTTGCCCAAGTAGTCACTTGTGATTGAGCAGAAGGAATATCCAAGGGTCAGGAGGTATATTACAGCCTAATACACAAAAATGTTGTGCATGGCTTCTTTCTGTAGCGAATTCGTAAGTGACTTCAGAACAGCTTTTATCCTGAAGGGCACTAAAAAACGCCTCCAAGAGAAAATTTGCACAACACTTTAAGAAATCATTTAATCTAAGCGCCTTATGCGTACATCGAAGTAGGAGGATTACGAACTTTTAGTCAGGATTGTGGGCTAGTTCCAAAATCATGTTTATCAGTAAATTTTCGATCTTATTGGGGAAGTAAAGCTTCGTTGAGACAAACTGCTCTCCTCATTCCCTCGGACCAATAAGGACGTGATGGATTGGAGCCTACCAACAACCTCTCTACCCATACATATTTTGATAGCTAACTATTAGATTATTTGGAGCTTGATTGTGTGAGAACGACTTAGGCTTGTTCTGGCCCTCATGTTTTTGTAGCTTTGTGACAATCGGCACAAAATCATTGTATAATAGGTGCATGCGTACTTACAAGCTTTTGGTATTCCACCACCACCCCCACCACCAGCTACAAGCAGCGGTTTACCATCCTCGTACACAACAAAGGTACCACCCCCTCCTCCCCCAGGACGGTGAGGGTCTAGAAAGTCACGGAAGCCCTCATTGCCGACCAAAATCTTTAGGATTCTTCCCCTGTGTAGAAGGAATTTTCCTTTCACAATAGCTCCGTATCCTCCTCGCTTACGGTTACTTGAACTTCCGGCTAATATCCCGTCAGCCCCGGAGGCTCCTCTAGCTTCGATAGACCAGAGACCGGAAACTGGAATCGTCCAAAGTTGAATGCCCGGATGCTGGGGGGAGACTTTGACCTCGTTTTTCAGGACGCCTTCGTACTTGAGTATAGATGGTCCAAAATTACCCACACCACCCTGGTTCGTCAGTACGCGAACTAAAATATAAAGAAAACTGCATGAGAATGGCTTGATTGAGGGAATTAGTAAAAATTAGGCATCCCGGATGACCCAAATGACTTCTTGGAGAGCTAGACGAGAAATGTGTAGCATAAACCCCTATCTCAGACCCCCAGAGAGGCTCCAAAAGTCTGATGTAGATAGACCACGAGCACTAAAATGCAATAGATCCAGTTGCAACCATCGCCTTTTAATGGGGGATTGGCAAAAATCGTATGCACCTTTTTCAGGGTTAGGACGATATTTAGATCATCAAGCCTGGTACTTTTAATTTATTTGGCCACTTTCAGAAAGCAAGAACGCGCGCGCCACAGTTGTGACGTAACACACGAAACAAAGGCTGCGAACTTGTGGAAAATCAGTTTCTTTCCGGAAATAATTGCCACAAGAAACAACTGAAATGAAAAAAGTGCTATTTCCTTGGGTAATTGTCTTCAGAACAACGACATCTTTCAGGAACAACTTGAAGCATTATGGTAAATGATGCCGTTGCTTCAACTACGAAAGAACGCAAAATGTTTGAGTACAGTAACTTCAAAATAAAATTTCAATTATCTAACGTACCTTCATTAAATGTTTTTTCCTTTTTGGAGTCGCTGGAGGAGTCCTCAAACGTTTTGAGGACTTTTAAAACTACAACAACCACTGCCACACAAACAACCACAACGACGATTAATCCAATCACCTTTTTCACTAACGCCTTATTTGAGGCGATTCCAGCTCGCACCGCCATCACAGTAGTCGTCATACTCGGTTGTTGTCGTCTGGTCTAAGCCTTGGTGAATTTTTCGTCATAATTGATTGACGCGCGCAGTAAGATCTGTTACAAACAAGTCTCTAAACGCGTTTTATTTTGGTACTGGGTGGGGAAGGAATAAGAATAAGTAACTTTCTCGCCCACCTTGACCACTCTTTCCGCTGTCGGTGCACGGAAAAAAAGGCATCCCTGGGAAAAAGGCAGTAATTGCAGATCTGCAGTGTACAATGCATTGCAGAACTCATTGTGAAAGCAATCTCTTTCCCACAACCGATAGTGGGCTTGAGTCACTAATATTTTCTCAGTTTTCAACTAATCAAATGGAAAGGGGTAATAATTTCTCTCAGGTGTTGTACATCCAATGCGCTGCATTCGAGAATCGAAGCTCAAGGATTACAAATTACACCACGAACACTAACATGAACCTTAATAAATTCCTAAACGACCGCGTCCTACACGAGATGCTAAACAAATCTGCACGAAAAAAAAATCACCCAAAAGCAACCAAGATACTTTGTCCGGAAGTCTCGCCTTTTAATCTGAAGCGATTGTCTCTGAGATAGGTAAATACATTTACACTTACTACTTTTCTTCTTACAAAATCCGCAGACTAAAAAGTCCTTTACAGCCTCCTCTCACACTTCTAGTGTACAAACTGAATTGTTCTCTCTTATCAAATTAAATGTATTCACAGAACACGTACAGCACTAAAATACTACACCGTTAAATCCGTCATCGGGTTAAATAACTACATTATAATAAATTATGAGTACACCGACAGCCAAGGAATCATTGTTAAAATGTTTTTTTTTTGCTGCCATGATACTGTAAGATCCTTAGGTTATACATATTTACAGTTAAACTTCCGAGTCTCTGGTGGCTTTAACCGATTACCTCCCGGAAGTGATTGAGAAGTCACTTCTCCTTACAATATCAGTACGTTACCAGGAAAAAAAATAAAGAGAATACACGAACTGAGGGCTTAGGGCGCTACCGTAATAGAGCACCAAATTCTCCTAGCTTATCGACAAGGAAATGTATAGGGCAGGGATAATTGCGAATCCGATCCAAGGAGGTAAAAGGTTGAGAAACCATTTGAATAGGGTAACACACTGTACAACAAGAATGCGAGCCCATACTTCCCTAAGATTTCCCAAATGAAAAAAAAAACTATAATTTAACCAAAAAATAGAATTAAACACTGGTAGGATTATTTTCTTTCGCTCCACGAGATCCCTCGGGGAATCCTAGGGATAGTTGAGATTATCCCTTGGGAAATCCCTCGAGATTTTAAGACTGAGTTGTGTGTTCATATCACAATACGAAAACACCACGATGCGAGGTGTGAAGCCAGTCACCAATCGCTCGACATTGAAAGCTCGTGATTAGCTTTAAGATCTAATAATCCCTGGAAAACTTTCGAATGCATTTCAGTAAAGTGTCGTAAACCAAGGCCAAAGTAATCAGGTAATTTAATCAAAAGAAAAAAAAAATATCAAAGGGAGCCAAAGAAAACTTAAAGTAAAAACAAGCACTTTGCCCTAAGCGTAAGAAAACTAAACGGACAAAATCGCGATTGGCCTCAGCTTCGCATCTGGTCAACCGAGAGAGGGTGGAGAGAATTTCCAGAGAGCTTAGAGAAGAACAACGAATGTAATCGGAAAAACTTACTGAAAATTGTTCTAATAGGGATCTTAAGCAACACCACGGCGACAATAAAGTGGTAAAACAAATAGCTTAAACGTCATCAGCAGAAAACAAATGAGCTTTTCGAGATTAACGACCAGCATGGCAACGTAAATGGTTTTCTACAGAACTGGAGTTCTTCCATCACAGACTAAGAGCAACCTCTACAGGTCTCTTCTGCAAAACAGCTCAATGTGTGCTGCTTCTACAACAGGTCGCACTACCTCAATTGATCTTTGCGAAGATCAGTTTAAATTCATGCGACTTGCTTAGGGGACAAAAATTATGGTCGCAGGGACAAAAACTTTTTCAACGAATCTCAATTTGAAACGAAGGGAAGTGTCGTTCAACTCGTCTTCGAAACGTTTTGCGGTGACCTGGGGTTGGCTAGTGACGGCACTCAAGCCTGATGGATAAACGTGACACGTAAGGCACATTATACATGTTAACGCATTCAAGAGGAAAAAAACACGTCAATTGTTAGGTGTCACCGTCATATTCGCCTAAGCTCCATATTTCGGGAACCCGAGTTCATGGAGTACCAAAAGAAAACAAGTCAAGCCTCTGACAATCGCTGGCTCAGACGTACTTAGACAAAAACTAAGTAACCGAGCCACTCAATTAGATTGTGGAAAAAGAAACAAACAAACAAACTGACGGAAGGTTTCCCTAATTTATCCGACATTGTCGTGACGAAGCCCAATTAAGGGCAACATAAGACGATAATATACGAATTCCTCTGTACGATAAAATATACTGTACGTTCTCGATAGCAAAACAGACTAAACAAACTATCACACCGTGATAAAGATATCCTGAAAACTTATTCGCCATCAAGCCGCAGAATTTACCTGTCTCATTGCACTTTTATGTTTCAGCCAACACAATTAAGTATTTTTTCACTTTCACATTAAACTTAGTGCTACTCCCCTCTCCTTCCGCCAAAAAGGTCCGTAATTTCAAATCGGCAGAACGAGAGTATTTTTCCAGAGTTTTGCGGGCGAATGATGGCAAGAGCGGGGCAAATTCTGAGGCTGAAATCGTGCAGGGAGAGGAGGGGTTCCTTTCCACTCGCGCGTGACCCGCGCTTGGCCACTTTTACTGGCTTGATTGAACCCGCAGAAAATTACGTAAGTCAGTAATTGCCTTCTTTAGAGTCTGGAGCGAATGGATTGAAAACGAAAAAACACTCACCAAAGTAAAAAATGGCCCGCCTGTATTACTACCGAGAAAGTTCACTTTTAAGAAGAGCTTTCTGAATAAAATAACTGTTTCTCTGTCTGTGCAAGGTATTTATATTAAGATTCTTTTGTTTCTTTTGCGGTGGCAGCGTCTTCTTGTGATGCTTCTTTATCTTTTTCAGTATCTTTCTCCTTTTTCACCTTTTCTTCCTTTTTCTCTTTATCTTTCTTGGCCCTCTTGGACGAATCTGCTGAGCGGCTACTGGAAAATAAAAATAAACGTTGTGGGGTACATGTACGTGTTAGAACTGATCAAAAACTTACTTATCCTTATGTTATTGATACATTTTCAAGAAAGTGGGTGACAAGAAAGAAGAAAGTTTTCAGGCTGAGAATTTTCATTCCAAGGCAGTCTTCGGGGTTATATCTTGAAATTAAAAAGTTCCAAAAACACAAAATGGCTAGGCACTGACAATACTGATACTTCTAATGTCCAAGAAAAGGACCTGGAAATATTCAAGAGTTCTTTCGAAATAAGAAGATGTACAAGCAGTTTAGGCGTGTGTCGTATCAAAAAGAAATTTTAAATTCACGTCAAAGGTGAACCAGGATTGTACTGGTTTATCTTTACAACGTTATGTGATTGGTCCAGAAAACTTGCGGAGCCCATTCAACCAATCAGATGCAAAACCAAACTCATTCGCGTTTGTCCGTGCTTCAGGCTCTTTTTCCTGTCTTTTAATTGAGTCCCAGTCCTCATGGGCTCATTGCGATGTTAACTCTTTTTCCGATTGGCCGTTGTGGTTGTTATGGTTTTAGCTTTACGACACTCAATTAAAATACACTCAGTTAAATAGAATTTCATTTCAATGCCATGAACTACTCACCTATCTGCGGCAGACCGTTTGGTTGTTGTCTTGACAGCTAGTTGGCCATCTTTTAAGTCTCTCACATCTGGCAGAATTAAGTCGACGCAGCATTATTAAACTTCACTTCGACAGAGATGATGATTAAAGTAAAACCCTCGAATACTTTAAATTAGGACAGTTACGTCAAATTACATTGAGTCAATCTGCTTAGTGTGACAACCAATTGACTTTAGATCTCAGTAACGTAAGAGCTTTCAATAATCGTTTGGTAGCGTGGACCCATTCAAATGATGTAACAATAATGCGCAAAGGGACCAGGATGAATCAAGCCTAGAGAAAATTTACACAGATTGCAACTGAAGATCTTGGAAAATTTACGCTTATCATTGCCCTACGCAGGAATGGAGAAATTTCTCACCTTGAAGCCACCTTACTTGAGTCGCCGGACCATAACTGGAAGAAAAATGAAGAAAAATAGTAATATATGAATAACACTTTAGTTTGAATATTTCCTTATCTTTCTTCAAACGAGTAAGCTATGAATCAAAATGCAAAAGTAATAGCAGATGTATCTCCTCACCCTTTATCATTCTTAGCAGCAATTCTAAAGATAATAGCGGGCTTGGTGGAGAAGTCGATATGCGCGCTTTGAAGAGTGGCCGTGCTGACTGTGCAAGTGGGCTGAGCACCACAATAAACGCGTACAAAGGCGAGCTGGACTGGGGTGGAGCTTGTGGAGGAAGTCAAACCGGCCACTGGCTTCTCATCTGACTGATTGGCTGACTGACTGCGTATGGCCAGATACACGGAGTATTCGCTCACGTTACCCGCCGTGTTGGACGGAGCTTCCCACGATAGATGGGCACCCTCTGCATTCTGTGGAGAAAGTGAGAGAAAGTTAATTTCAAATTGATGCGAACGAGGAGTAAACTGATTTCAAACAACGTTAATGCAAACCTTGCTGATTTTAATAGCAGACGGGGCTCCAGGAAAACCTACCAAACAATAAAAAATAGTTTGAGTTTGAAAAACAAGAAAGAGCTGTGATATGATGTGACACGGGTGACAAAACATGAGTTGATATGGCATGACGTGAGTGGCGTGACAAAACATGGCATCGCCTGTCGGGCAAGACTGGAAAAAGATTGATGTATCGTGACAAAACAAAACATTGTGTAACGTAAGGTGTGACATAACTGACTTGACACACCTTCAGCGACAACAATGTGCTATAATTTGAGTTGGTAGCTGGTAACTTATATCAGTGTCGAAAACACGCGATATCTTTCACAAGGCAGGCTTTGACATAAAGTGAAACACAAACATGAGAGACAGTCATAAATAAATCTGACCCCCAGGCAATAACGGAATAAAAGTAGAGAGTTCGTAGAAAGTTGGGCATCGCCATAATGCTGGCAACGTCCCATTCCAGCGGGATAATTTTTTAGGTGAGGATATTTTCTCCGCGTTTCTCTAACCAGCAAGAGGCCCTACAGAAGCTAAACACAAATTTCGTTTAAAATTCACATATAAGCATCTTTTACCTGGCAGACACGTTTTAAAAGCCGACACATCACTAAATGGCCCTCTACCACATGCATTGATGGCCGCCACACGGAATTTATAAGCAGTCCCTGGTAGAAGTTCCTGTTTCTTTAAACTTTGTTCGGAGCTGCTTTCGACGTCAAGGTTTCCCTGAACAAAGACAAACTACGTCAAAGAATGTTTTGCCCTTGGAAAAACTACAAAAATTTGTAGGAAAATGTTTTTTTCTTCGAGCTGCATGAGGAAACCAAAAACTCAGCGGCCTGTGGAGGCGTTTTCTTTTAGTATCAGTTGAAAAGCGACGACCTCAACTGGCACAATGACACTTGCTCTTACCTCGATTTAAACTATGATTAGCTCCCATGAGTGACCAAGACGGAATTTCCCCTTAGAACATAGATACAATATAAAGCAGGCAAGTGACGAGGAAACAGAAACATATCAAATAGGGGATCGTTAATTGATCCCAACACCAAATTCCCTATAGTAACATCATAAGAATTGTATGGCAGACATTTCTGACTTGTATCAACACGTACCTCGTTACTTGTGCTGTCATTGGATAAATAGTAATGTGTGACCATCATGGAGATTCCCTTGACAATTCCCACATCATACCACTGATTTGAAGGCTGCAATTTCCTTGTATACGTTTGCTTGGCTGGCCTTTGTACCTGATCAGGTGAGTAAACACAACTGTTCTTTCAAACATTCACAGATGTTTTACTCGTTAGTCAGAGGAAACACGATCGATTTTTAACTACATGGTAGAAAGTTCTATGTATCGTTTTCCCCTTGCGCATTTTCACCCATGGTAAAAGAGAAACTTCATTCCTAGCGAGTGAAACGTTGTCAAATGGTGAAACTACTTAAGGTAATAACAATAAAAATAGATATTATTATAAACTTTTGCCCACTGCTGAACGTTAAGGTAATACTACCTTTGTTATTGCGGTGGGTGTTATTGATCGATTAGTCGTCGCACTGACTCCACCATTTACAGTCGGTGTAAAAGCAGAGCTGACTTGAGACGGTTTGGTGCTGGCTGTTGCAGGCGATGTTGTCGTCATTTTGGCGGGAGAGGCCGCTGCGACAGTCGCAGCAGGTCTTGTAGATGACACCAGTGGAGACACAACTGCCACAGGAGTGCTACTGGACACTGATGTAGACACAAGAGGGGTCGACACTGCTGAAACCACCGGCGCCCCAGTCGCTGTGGTTGCTTTCACAATGCCGGCTGTTGACTTGACCATTCCCACCGTTGACACGCTTGCCGCTCTAGACAACTGTGTCGAAGCAGGAGGCGCAGTAGATTGAGCAGATGTCACTCTTGCCACACTGACGGTAGAGAGGACTGGAGTTGGTGTCGAAACGGTTGCTATTGCTGTTGGGGTTGCAGGTTTGGTTGCGGGAGTACTGACTGATACTGCTGTCTTCAAGGGCTGCACACTTGATGTGACTACAGTAGTTGGTACGGTACCACGAGATGTCACCATCGTTAACGCTTGAGCTTGGATTGGCGAGGATGAAGTGGTTGCTGCTGACACGGCTGTTGTTACTATTCCCGAAGCACTGCTACTCGCCACCACCGTTGCTTTTACAGCCTGTGTTGTTACAGGGGTAACTTGTTTGCTGACTGGTAAATTAACCATCGGGAGACTCTGCGTGGCGGAAGCTGTTGGCAACGTTTTTTGTTCAAGACCTTTCGAGACTTGAGCAGAGGTAGGTCCAGAGGTGGACGACACTACCGGGGATGAAGTCACCTTACTGACAGCCACAATCTTTTCAGGCACAGCTGCTGAGGGCGTGGTACTGGCTGTAGCAGTCACCACTGGTTTAGCACCAGAAATCACAGTGGTGGTAGTTATTGGAAGCCTCCCAACTGCAGTTGAACTCTGTGTCAATGATGTGACTTTCTGAGGTGATACCGAAGAGGACACCTGTTGAGATGTGTTTGTAACCTTCACTGATGACCCCCCTGCTATTTGGAGAACTGTTGGTGTTGTTAGCGTAGCTCCTTGTTGTACCTGTCCCTTCACATTTTGCAAGGTTAGCTGCACGGGAATACCACCCGGTCCGACAGCAGTGAGCTGGCCCTGAGGACCAACCTTTAGTTGTGTCCCTGGGGGCAGGTTTGTAGGAACTGTAACAGGAAGCTGCTGTTTGATTACAGCAGCTTGTCCAGTGGCTCCCGCCATAGCAGTGAAGGTCAGCCCAGCAGCACCAGGCATCTGTATTGACGAGGTGACTGGAATCTTGAGCACTGCAGTTCCTTGTACACTAGCCCCTCCACTTTGCACTGGCAGTCTCAACACTGTTCCTGTTGTTGTTCCAGCAGTCGCAGCACCACCAATAGGCGTGGCCATTCGGACAATGGTTGCACCCTGTAACTGTGTTGCACCCACTTGAGAAGTGACCAATGTGACTGGTGCGGTTCCTTGAATTCCTGCTCCTTGAAGACGCATCACAGGGATACCCTGAGCATTTGTGATCATCGTGGCTTGGACACCAGGCGGAAGCTGAACTGGGGCTCTTAACAACGTCAGCCCCTGATTGGTCAATGTGGAGGCTGACACTGCTTGATTGGCAGCCTGACCCTGAATGGTTGTCTTGGTACTAGATGCCACTGTGGTGGCTGCCGCTCCAGATTGTCCTGTTGAAGAGCCTGTAGACAGAGCTACAGAGGCCTTCATTACACTTGCCACAGGACTGGCAGCTGGGCTCATCTTCTGTGCAACATTCACAGGCTTCCCAGTTGGTGTAGCTGACGGTACTTGTGCTTTAGGAGGCTGTGATGGCGACTGCATAACAACTTTAGGGGTTCCACCTTGATTACCTGGTGTAGGTGTGACAGAAGGCGAAGATGTGATCTTTCCATTTGGTGGAGAAGCCTTCACACCTCCTGTGGAAGGGCTTCCTCCTGGCACAGGTGTTTTCATCAGTGCAGGACTTGCAGACCCACTTGGTGTAAACTGTGCTTTGACTGGTGTTGCTGGTGGCGTTGGAGGAAGCTCATATTTCTGTAACTGCAGTAAATAGGCATCAGCTGCAAAGAGACCAGGGAGAGTAAGCTGTGTATAGTAAATTATGCAAGGACGATGTTACACTGCATTCAAAAAAGCAACCAATAGTAGATATGTCTAAATATCCATGGACTTTCTCCTTTTATTCCACAAAATTACAAGTTGTCTCAATTTTGGTGTTAGAATCTCACTTATTTCTGCCAATTTTTTAGAAAATACTTTGACCAAGGTTTACCGAATCAAGTTTACGGGATTTGACAAGTACTACCTTCCTGCATCAATCACTCATGAATCACTTATCCTTTGATGACCTCTTCAGTGCTTCTTCCATGGACTGTTACGATGCCATAATGCCCAATCACATTTCAGTGTACCACTAAAACAATTAAAACTGTAAACCTTACCAGTTGGTACAGATCCCCAACAAACTTCCAAGGTGGTGGTGCTTGCCCGGACCAACTGAACGCGACTTGGAGCAGGTGGTTTTTCTGGAATTTAAAAATACGCAGGTGCATTCTTAGCTAGATTTGTATAATCGTAATACATTTTTTCACAACTAATCAGAAATGGAAAATCACCTGTTTCAAGATACCATAAATCTTTGCAGCACACCTTTGACAAAACAAAAAAAGTTAAAAGATTTTATGAGATGCATAATAGTACTGTTATTGTTATTGTTATAGCACTGTTTCCATATGTGATGGAGATGACTGAGACAATCTAGTCAACTATGCAGGGCGTGAAATTGCGCCTAATACAAGTGCCAATGCGACTAAATTTTTCACTTTGGCAACCAAATCCTGAAAATTAGTCGCCAAATTGGCAACTAGAATGCTTCATCATAACCTTACCTAGAGATATAGTGAATTAAAAAGATTTGCAAAGATAAATCCACGGCAAACTTCCTCATTAAGTTTGTCTCCAAAACGCAGCACATGCATAATTATTGATCGATAACTAGATGCCATCTTGGATTTAGGTGAGTTTGAACATTGAATATCATCCATCTTAGTGTCCACTCCATAGCACGTTATCTATCTCTTTCCTAACTTAATACTGAAGGGTCTATCTAGTACGCTGGCATCGTAGAAAAAGGTTTTGTTTTTCTTAAAAAATGGCGACCAACTTTTTTTTGAATTGGCTACCACTTTGAAAAATTTAGGAGCCAAGTGGCTATCAGAAAAAAAAATTAATTTCATGCCCTGCTATGGGGAGACTATGCTTTAACCCCTCACTCCTAACACCTCACTCTTGTTAGTTCTCAGTTTAACAATCCAGACTACTAAAGCTTGACTGACAAACAATTCCTTGCTTGATAATGAAGAAGATGTCCTCTTTCTTTGTCAAAACGTCAGTCACGGTTACCAATAATTCTCCTTACTGTCTGCCATACAGTTCTTGTGATGTTAGTTTTGAGAATTTGGCATTGGATCAACATATAGTCCCCTAATTGATATTTTTCTTTATTCTCATCACTTGTCTGCTTGATATTGTAAGGAATTGTAAGGAGAAATTCTGTATTGGTCAGCCACGGGAGTTAAAGGGATATCAGCACCATCCACACTCTCACCCACATGATCAGATGAAACAATCAACTGTTACTTCTTAATTCAAACCAACTACTGAACATAATTCAACTGAGTAGAAGCACAAGCTAACCTGATTGTTCCATGCCTTTCTGTATCCATCTCGACCACTCCATAAGTACAACCTGGTATTGATCTGATCAAACCATATACAGCACCAAAATGAGAATCTACATTTCTAATTACTTATTAGGTAAACTTATTTCTTATCTCTAAAGTGTAAAACAATGTGACGTAAACTAGCTGTTTTATTATCTGGGACTTTTTGTTGTTGTCAAGATTTGTACTTGGCCAATTGTTTAGAAAATAAAAATTGTTCTCAGCATATTGTTACATAAACTGAAATACTATTGGCCATCTGGTGTCCTGCTTTGTGGTGATTTTTACTCAATTGATCCTAATGTCAAATGTAAAGTGTGCATACAGGTAGGATTCAGACAGCAACTTGAGCTCATCTTAGAGTTCATAAATCAAAAGGGTATGAGAATGGCTGCTTCTCTTGGATCATAAGCTACACCATTGCTAGTTTCCTCCTCCCAGAATTTTGTCATGTTTCCCTTTCAGCTTGTTGGTAATCAATTTTACTCCTGGGTGGTGAGCCATACTGTGATCTAGTTAAGTGCTTTGCCCTAACACACAATAAAATGACTCAGTCAGGGTTTGAACCCAACTCCTTTAATAAAGAGTCCAGCATGCTTTTCATTTGACCACTGTACTTCTCACTGTTTCATGTTACATGACCAACACAAAAAGCCAACACTCACAGCTACACTGCAGTGTCCTGCCCTTGCTCTTGGTATAGAATCATCATACTGATCCATTACTACATTCTCCCAAGCCATTGTTTCTAGAAATCAATAAATAGTCAACATATGTGGATCATTTTTTCTACTGGAAATGAACCTTGCATGTACCAGTAAAGGAATCACTCTTGTTAAGGAAACAAGGTTTTCAACAAGTGGTATTTTGAAGTATAATTTCATTTAGCTTACAGCAGAATTACTCTGGTAAAGAAAATTCATGAACACACTCCATACTAATCAATACAAAAGTAGTATACAGGGGCGCTATGGAACACAGACAATCTAAGAGGAGTATTTTGTACCACATGGTGTAAATAAACTAATCATGCATACAACTTCCCTTTTGATGACTTCATTTCCACCCTGTCTGACCCCTTAAGTCATTTCTTCCCAGCCTAACAGTATGATCCTTTGTGCGTGACAAAAAGGTAACGCAACATCAATTAGCATCTTGGACACCAATCCAGCCAAATGACGAGTTCATTTGTACCATATGGTACAAAATACATTTCTTTGATTGGCTGTGAAACATAGTACCCCTGTATATCCCCACTAAGTTAGGGCCAAAATGATCCAACAGTTTACAAATATACTGTACAAATATTAAAGATATATCATCCAACCTAAATTTAAGCAAGCAAGGGAATTAGTGCACTTCCACTCTTTCTCATCTTGTCGTCCTTTCACTTCATCCATGACAAGAGGAACCCAGCCTCCGAACACAAACATTCTGCAATTAAAATAAGCACAACATTCATTTCTCACATCACCTCAGTGCATTATTGAGTTCTTCTGCTTAAAATGTTCTGCATAAACTTTAGCAGACTTGATATGCACACTAACTGAAATATAAAATTTAAGAAATCAAATAACAGCAATTTATTCTGAACCACTCTTACTTCAAGAAGTTAATTTTAATCATTGGTCAAAGGAAACTGGATAACCAGATACTGTAAACACTTGCATTTAACCCTTTAACCTCTAACAGTGATTAACATTTAATTTCTCCTCACAATATCCTGAATCACACATTAAGGTCATGAGAATAAAGGAAATGATCACCAACTAAAGAAGCTCTTGACTGTTACACAAAATCTACCCGTCAACACCATAGGAAATGTATGAAAAGCAGTGAGGAGAAGATTCACACTTATGCTAGGGTGTAAAGAGTTAACTAAAGCTTGCAAAAATGCCTCTTCAAATGCAAAACAAAAAAAGCAAACAAGTACCATTCAGACAATTTTTCCACAACAAAAAAAGTTGAATTTAACTTTAGGTTTGCTGGTACAGTATAAAAAGCCTGTCAGAAAAAAAGCTCATCTACATGTACCCAGTAACTGAGGCAAATTAGTTTTCTTCATATTTGGAGATTTACAATTGGTACCATCACCACAAGGTGCACATGTCGTGTTAAAAAAAAAGGTGAAATTCACAATAAAATAAACAATTCATTTTGATGCATTACAAACCTCTTGCCAATGGTGGTTGCTGAGTGAAGACTTCTGGGAAGAGGAATGGCATTATTGACAGCTGGTTTTGACCATGTCATTGTTTCTTGAAGAAAAAAAAAAAAAAAAAAAAAAAAAAGTTTAATGAAGTTGGTGTCACTAAGACAGAGAGAAGCTTGCCTGCTGGAAAGGACATCAGAATATATTCCTTACAAAACCTTGTTATTTTCTGATTGAGATTTACCACTTTGCCAAGAATATACATGCAGTCAATAAGTTTGTTATCTAAAATTACATAAAAACTGGGATCACACAAGAAGTGCATTTTATGGATATTCACATACCAATGTCTAATTGGTGTAGATCACCCAAGCGGCAGCCACTCATTCCACCATACACAATAAGCCTAGGTCTCTTGTTGTCTGAATCCGAAGTGGCAACACAAGTATGCGACTCTCTCGGAGATGGGGTCATGCCAAATGTTGAAGGCATTTCCCATTGTAGGTTACTACTTGTTCGGATATCAATAACGTACAGATCATTCAAATATCTGTAAATGCAAAAATTTTAGTTCAATATTCTTTCTTCAAGGTAGAAACTGTCAACACCTCTCCAAACAGATGAACTTTAAAACAATATAGAAAGGCAAGTAAAGACTAACAGGAAGCTTGGGAGTGAAGGAGTGAACAGGATATCTCTCTCTCATTTTTTTTTAACTAATTAATAGACTAAGCATGTAACATAACTGGACTATTACAATAAGTCAGACCTGGGAATGTTGTTCTTTGGGTCATCACTGTCATTAGCCAGACCAGCAAACAGATATGCCTTGTGACCAACAGCTGTAAAACTGTGTCCAAGGCGAGGACATGGGTGTCCTCCTGGAGGTTTAGGTGCTTTTGGTTTGAGTTTTTTCCATTCCCACCTACTTGCCTGAAGTTCATACATCTGACAAAAAAAATGATCAAAAGTACATTTTTCAATTATTCATACTAGTTGTATTTTTATTGTCTCAGGATTTCCATAAAGTGGGAATGAGAACTACATGCTTATTGTTCTCCTTTTCAGATGGTAACCATTAAAATTAACCTCATAAAATTTCTTGAAATTCTTGCAAAGGTAAAGTAAAAGGATTGCTTTATATATGCTTGGCTGTATTGGTCAATATGCTTGCTTTGCTGCATTCAGTGTTCTCCCTTATTTCAAGCACAGCAGGTTACAAAATTTCTTTTCACCTGTCCTGCTAAAATAAGAGATAACACTGGGAAGCTTATTAGCCAGTACAACCAAGCATATACCCCCAGGTGTCATATAGAGGTGTATGGAATATACTTGTCAGTGATTTTTGATAGAACATTAAAACCTCCCCATGTTTCAAAACAAAATGCAATATTATTTAAAAGGAGAACCCAGCAGTCTAGCAGATATCATTTAGGGCTTTTTTTTTATTCATACCTCCCTTCATCTCTCATTTGGTTATGCAAGAGTGTTATTTTTCAATTTCTTATGTTTTTTTCAAATTGTATAATTTATAAGTTAGAGAAGTACTATTTTGTAATCCCATCATAATCCTTTGGTTGGCCAGTGTCATATAAAATAAAAAACCTAAATGACAATAGTGAAGAGTTCCACTTACAAGATATATCTAGGAAAAAGAACTAAAATCAAACTAGTCTTATAATAATTTGAGTACCTAAACCTTGTTATAGACAACATTTAAGTTGCAGTGCCTGATTAAAATGACTTCAAATACAGTATTTTAATTTCCAAACTCCTTTGTAATAAAAATTTATCACTCTTATCTTAAAACAAAGAAACTGTTTTATGAGGCTAGGATAAAATCACTGGAGCCAACATATTTTTTTTAACTACAACACAACCATGGACAGTTGTAGTGAGGCAGGCCATATAAGAAATTCATCTGTCAAACATGACTGGTACTGATAAGGTCAGAAGTGTTAAGTATTTTTTTTAAGTCTCTTAACTTTGTGATAACATAATACCTTCCAAATGTCATTCACTGAGCCCAAAGGAAAAAAAAAAAAAAAAAAAAAAAAAGCTAACAGAGTGAAGATGAGTGGAAAAAGTCAAACTTTCAAAGAATGAAAAAAAAAGGTTCTAATAAAGTTCCTAATAAAAAGTGTCAGGAATCATTGACATGTTCATGAAAGGAATATTTGACATGTTTATTCTACTTTTTTAAAAGTCAGTATTTCACAAATATATTAAAATAGCTAGGTTTCATTCAAACCCTTTAATATCTAAGTGGTCCAATCAATTCATTTAAGTTAATTATGGTTTTTCCATTTGCATTTTCCAACCAAAAGAGGACATAATTAGTTCAAAATCAAGATCACCATTTCTGAGAAAATAACTTTCAAGGCTTAGCCATCCACATCACCTGATTCACACTTGAAAACATTAAAAGACTAAATCAGACTATAAAGTTACTTTTTAAGGGACAACTTTATGATGATACAATATTCAAGTGTGGATGGAATTTGAAAATACTCCCAAAGCAAACACCCATGAAATTAGACTAATCATAAGGCATGTGTTTAAATAATCCAGATAAGGCTGGAATCCTTTTAGCAAGGAAGATAAAGTGATAACAAAAACATCTGTTTTATATAGAATGTGTCCTGATTCATAAAACAAAGATTTTAATCTCGTCCTTTGCAAACATTTTCTTCCATTTGGAAGTAAACAATTCATTTTTAACAATGAAAAGGAACACAACTACTGACACTTCCTCAATACACATGTACCATTTGCAAAACAGGTTTGGACCACAAACATCTTACTCTTGATACATCTCAAGATTTTCAATTAGATTGTTCAGTCATAATTTCAACACCCATTCCTCACCGAATAAAAACTTCAGCCACTGTTAAGTCTACTCTTACATTACAAAATTAATTTTTTTTTCATGATGGAAAATTGATGTTACAACAAACAACCAGCATCTATGAAGCACTTCTTAAGTTGGTAATCAAAATAATTATCACTGAGCTAAAATAGATAGGTAAATCTGTGAAATAATCAAGTTGGAGTCTAAAGTGGAATGATGACCCTTTCAAAAAGTCATTTATTAAACCTAACTGGGATTACTTCTTTTTACCAGTAAAAATACAGTTACATAGCAGTAGCAAAAAATTTTACTATATATCATTAGAACAGAAATTACTGTCTGCCTTAAAACTTTTTCCATGGATGTGTTTTTTTTTTCAGGGTGAAAAGCACAACTATGATGTAACTGCAATTTCCACTCTACATATATTCAAATGTTGCTCTTTTTTTGTAACATGCTATATGTATTGCCGAATTAAATGTAATCGATAGTTTATCATATTCTAATCTAGAAAACATTTCTTTTAGCAAAAACCAAACTGAGGGAAGACATAACACTAATGAACATTTACTTCTCATGACTAACTAATATTTTCAAATGAAAAAATTTATCCTGAGGAATTTTTTAATAGTGTTCCAAGGATAAAAGTACTGATGTACAACCTATTCTACATAAAAAATAGTATACAAATCATTCCAAATGATGTACAACTGTTCAGACCAAAAATGAAAGCCATAGGACTCTTTTTTTCAACAAAAATTACATTTACTTTTTAAAGATCTTTCCTGTAAACCTTGACCTAGGTCACATATCAGGAAAGTGAATTAAAAGACTCTGGATACTAGGTCCAACATAGGGAATATCTGATTTTAACCATGTGTAACATGAGACAAGAACAATAGGTGAGACATCCATATCTAATATTTGGTACAATATCGTGTATCAATTTTCAAAATATTTGAGTGAAGAAATAGGACAAAAAGGAAGTTAAAAACGTATTTTTTCCTCAATAAAAACGTTTGAGTCTGAGCTGATTTAAAAGTATTGTTTCACCCTTTGATGTACGGAAAAGTGCTTTGATAGCCCACTTCAGAAAACAAGACATGGCGTTTGTAACGTAAAACAGATCTACGCAAGAAACGCAAGCGATCGGACAGCTACAGAGAATGGTTATGAACTTAAACGCTCCCTAAGTATCAGAAAAACAGCAGGTACGCCGTTTCTCGCTCTATCTAAGAGAAAAGTGAAAATCTGACTTTTGAAGAGGCGTTTTTCCAATCAAAGAATAAAAAGGATTTGTGATAGTGCTTGATTTAACGAAGTGTAAACACAAGGGATAAATGCGCACTCAATCTAGGATTTAAAATAACTGAATTACTTTGATTGAAGCTCCATATAAATCCAACTTTCTTTTGGTAAAGCAGATATTACGGTAGAAAGCCAATATTTCATACTTTAAGTTTGATGGATCGCTTCTCAATATAAAAACAAGACACGCGAAACCTAATTATTTACAAAGATTTTTTTTCTGCAAAAAACCTGTACACTTAAGCGCTCAAACATATTGCCACCGAGAAAAAGGAGAAACAATGAACAGCATAAATAAATCAGTGAAGTGATTTTCACGGTAAAATTTTTTGAGATATAGAAATAAAATTGATATAAAATGCACAAAAGAGGATATTTACCTCATTAGAATATCTCCCGTACTCAATCATTCCTCCAAATATAATTAGTCGGGTTCCATCGGCGATAAATCCGTACGCAGCACATCCCGGTGGAATATCTCCTCGCACCGCCGGAACAAACCATTGATTCGTTGCTGGAAAGTAAATTGAGCACATTATAAGATCGAGATACAACAGAACTGCTTTCGCAAGGGCACTGAGCCATAAAAAACGCACTGCAAAATCTGGCGCGAAGACAAACTACATAGAGGCCGCCATGTTTTGTACCCTTCCGCGCTGAGTGTTACCTGTGTTATACACATGAAGTTCGTCCACAATTCCCTCATTTCCACCACCAAATACGACCATAAGTTCTCTTATTGCTACCGCTCGATGACCATGCCTTGGCCGCGGCACAGGGCCAGTAGAATTTGTTACACGCTTCCATTTCATGGTAGCCGCCATGTTGTTGTTATACGGGCCATCGCGAAAGACAATAAAGTTTACCCATAAGCTATTGCGCTGTTTGCTTTCGGTTTAGCGCGCCGACCAACCAAGAAACTTCCGCACCTCGATAATTAGTCGGAAAGTCGATAACCAATCGTGAGGGGTGATGTAATAACCACAGTACTGATCAACTTCGCTGTTCCATGAGCTTCCTTAACCTTCTTCTTCAGACGAAAGCGCCTTTAATATAAAAGGGGCTTTTGGAGCTAAGATTAAAAGAACTGAAGGAAGGTGCAACATTCTTCCGTCTCAGCTTCCAACGGGAAAATGAAACGGGAACACGTGCTGAATTGCAACTTTTCTGTTTGGTATCCAAAATTCAAAAACATTACTATTAGAAGCCGGGTGATTCCTCTCTCGAAGGAGTTTGTGGATTATCTTAAAGCTGACAATGTTGTTCTGCCCGGTGAACCAGTTGCCACCAGAAATTCAGGCGATGAAATCGAGAGTGATTCTGACGAATGGCAAGCTTTGGACGAAGACCCCAGCGAACAAACGATAATTGCTCCCGAGTTCAATGAAATTGACACTGGAATCAAAGAAGCTATACTCGATTTAAATGGAAGTGCTTTCCCTAAATTGAATTGGAGAGCCCCACTGGACGCCTCTTGGATCTCTTTTGACGGTTCACTCAAATGTGATTCCCCTAATGACATTTATCTTCTGCTAAAGAGCTCTGACAACATTTCTCAGGTATTGTTTGAGACTTTCAAACACTGTGAAGATGAAGAAGGGGAACTACAGGATGGTTTTGAACTTGTACTTCGCAAATGGAAAGATATAAATCCAGGAATGGAATTTCGATGTTTTGTGAAAAATCACAAACTCATTGCAATCTCTCAGCGGGATATTGCTAGCTGCTATGAGTTTCTTGCACAAAACGAAGAAGACATTTGTAACGACATCGCGAAGTTTTTCAACAAGAAAATAGCTTACAAATTTCCAGACAGTTCATACACATTTGATGTTTACAGGTATGCTTCTCAGAAGGTGTTACTGATCGACTTCAACCCATTTGGTGCTCAGACAGCCCCCTTGTTATTTACATGGGAAGAGCTCACAAACCTTCATTTGACAATCAGTGATAATGATGATGAGTTTAAAGGTGTGTTTAAGTATGTGACAGGTTCAGCTGGGGTGCAGCCTAATCCAGCACACCTTAGCAGAATGCCAACTGACATTGTGGACTTAGCATGTGGTAATGACATCAACAAGTTAGTTGATCTGTTGAAGGTGAAAGATCTGATTGGTCAACCTGGTGAAGAGTCTGATGCAGAATGATATAATGAGTCTTACTGCATTAGCAATGAATTATTTTGCACCAGTTTCATTTGGTCTGTCTACAAATTTAATCTTCCTGCATCATGTGAGCAAGATCCAGGTTGTTTCCCTGTCAATGCCAACATCTAGAAAACAAATTCTCCCAATCAATGACTGTACAGATCTGTGGCCTATTCCTGAGAATTTGGTGTTATATCATGATAATTTATTTTTGTTGATGGATTTCAAAATTTGCATCACCTGTTTTCTTAATAGCATTTTAAAACAACAAGGAAAACTTATTTTCTAATAACTCCTTATGTTTACATGGATTTAGATGTGGAACATGATCTTATCTACTGTGTATGTTGAATCTTTAATACATTGTTCCCATGCAATGTGAAAGCACCTTATTGGTTATCAAAACAATAAAATGGCAACCCCAATGGTGTCTAAATTAGTTCTGAGGGATTTGAACTCTTTTTATGATTTGTGAACAGGTTTTTTGTCCTTAGAAATTCCCCATGTGTTTCACTACATGATTGAAAATGTCCTGTGCAGTTTTTGTAACTCAGTTTTCATTTAGTATGACATTTGTTTATTGAGTGAAAATTCTTGATAAATCAGCCCTGATCTTCAGTGACATGGGCTTGACAACAAAATGTTGTGCAGCAAATTAGCATACAGTCCTCCCTTAAGGGAGGATCAAAGGGAGGATCTAAGACAGGACCTGGAAAATTACTGACATGCATTTGGACTGTTAAGGAGACCTTGGCTTTGAGATAATCATAGTCATTATGGAAAATGAACTTTTCCTCTGTGGAGATTGAATTTTATTTGTGTAAATTACAGTGCTGAAGAAACTCTCCTATTAGTGACTGAAAGTATTTTTCTATATGTTTCACTAATTAACCCTCTGACCCCTAAGAGTAACTAGCATCCAAGTACTCCTCACAATATCCCCCCAAATCACACATTAGGTTATGAGAATAAATGAAATTATCAACAACAGAAGAAGCCCTTGAATATTAATCCAATTCTCCTTTTCAGCACCTTAACCATTTAATGCCCAAGATCTCATGAGTAATCTTCCTTACTATCTGCCATACAATTCTTATGATGCTAGTTCTGAGAATTTGGTACTGGATCAACTAGAAAATCCTCAAACTTATATTTTTCATTATTCTCATCACCTGACTGATTGATATTGTATTGATATTGTAAGGAGAAATTCTGTCTTGGTCACTCATGGGAGTTAAAGGATTAAGAACTATATAGAGAACAGTATGGAGAATATGCATACTGATGTTTGGATGTAAAAGGTTAACACATCTGTTTTTGCAGATGATCTGATATTCAGTGATAGGATAGCAAGGTCAGACATTTTAGCCTTACAGTTAAAAATTCTCAATTTTACTGGACTCTTCATCAATGGTGTAACTTTATTTTATTTTTTTACAGGATTTTTTATGTCAATGTTGTAATTTTTTCAATAAATAACAGATACACTCATTATCATTGTATAAGTATTTTTTCATCCAAAATTAAGGAATAAAATCACTTTCATATTTAGAATACACTAGCCTAATAATTTTTAGCAGTAAATGAGCTGTATAGGTAATGAAAATTGGCAATTTAAGGATTCCGGAATCCTTCAGGTTAATGTTTTGTGAAAAATAGTGTTTAAATCATTTAAACCCCACTTAGACAATTGAACTTAAATTTAAAAAGAAAGATGAAACAAAACATGGTAATTTCAGTCAATCAGCACTATTTTACATTTCCTATTAGCTGTAAAATGAGCGCTTTCATAAAGGAAATCACGCCTCACCCAGAGTAGGCATTGTAGACAAAAGCTACCGGAAGTTCAACTGTTATCCATTTCCAAACTACCTCCCCTGTCGTGACGTCACATTTTCGTACCAGTCCCTTCTGTGAGTAGTGCACAGGTAGGCAGTAATGCTTACAATCTCGACATACAGCCTTCGTCATGAATCGAGGGAGACGAGCCGGGTCGTCATCTCGGTCCCATTTAAAAGGGCACTCGTAGGAATGTGGAATCTGTCGTGAGGTCTGACCAGACTCTTCCGAAGAATCTGCGTTCTCGACGAAAAGAAAGTTATTACGAAGATGGTGAAGTTTCTTTCGAGCTCGTGGTCTACGCGTGACATCCGGACAGGAAATTTGAAACGATAATGAAATTTCACGTAACAGTAGAGAGATAAAAAACAGCTGAAACAAAGAATTATTAGAACCGTGGTTATAAAAACTCCTTTTGGGGAAAACTGACAGGATTTAATTGTTAAGTGCCACTCTCGCCAAGAGCGGTCCTCTCGACTTCCCGTCGGAAAAAAAGTTTTCTTTTATTTTTTGCCCATGAAAAGGATTTAGGACACATGTTTCAAAAATAGTTTAGTTGTTCTCCAATTCTCTTTTTTTGCGTCGCCACAAGTCAAAAATGATTTTTGGCCAGACCACCCCTGTGGACAGCAATCGAAAGTGTAAATTTCAAAGATTTTGTTCAGCGCGTAGCGACTGCAACAATGTAGCTCAGAAATTCTATCTTGCTACAAGTTACAAGATGTAATCAGTTAGTTCACAGACAAAATATGGAAACTTCAGCTGAAATATTTTTCATACCAGCGTGATCAGAGGAGACCCTTCCCTTCGACCTTAATTTGCATATCAAAAATTCACAACTTTGTACAAAAGAATTCTCAAAATGCAGGCGTTAATCGGGCTGAAAAAGCATATCAGTGCATAGTTTATACACCAATGAGGTCACGAATTGCCTCAAACCCGCGGGTATACCGTCCATCCACCAACTTCTTAAAAGCAACGCAAATCCATGAGTTTGCTCAATTGCACTCGTGTCAAAGATCACTTGCATGATTCTTAAAATTGAACAAGATCTCCTTTTGACCGTTCAAACTTCGTTCGTTTATCGTTTATCTGCTACGTTGAGGATTTTAGGTTAACTGAATGGAGATTAGATGCCGAGTTGTCCTAAAACGTTGCGTAAAGGTGATCAGTCGCAAGGCCTGCGCGCTTGCGTGACTTACCAAGTAGACAAAGGTGATCGGAAGGCATCTTCTCGATAATTTACGTAGAAATATCAGGTCATGAACTGCGCACAGTGTGAAAAAGATCAAAATTAAAGAATAAATTTGGCACTCTGGTCATAACAGACATATTGCGTAGCTTAAAAGGACATCAAAACAAGTTAAAATAGGTTACAGTGTTTATATTTACAAAACAACACGCATACACTCTGAAATAATTCTTGCAGTATCTCCCGAGATTTAGTATACGGAACCCGATGAACTAGCCCTCCTTTCCGCAGATTTGTTTCCATCACTAATGATGTTACGCTCTTATGGACCACAAAAGTTTTGAGCGACAAACTCGACATTTCCCTTTTGCGACCATCAAAATCAACTGGACAAACCCGGCTTGAAATATTGCGTGACGTGATTGTGCAAATTTTTCCCCTTACCATATGGCCTGTTTCGCGGGTTCTACAAATTGAAACCAAAATTAGTTAATGTAACGAATTAGAATCGAAAGTCATTAAAATGGACTGAATTAAATTTTAATGAGAATTTTAACTTTTAAAAAGGTTTACTTGATTCGTGGAGAGCAGAAATTGGAGTGGCTTTGGGTATTTCAGCCCTGATTTCTCTCCTGGAATGCCGGGACGACGTATTGAGTCATTTTAATTACTACCAGCTATCCAGCGAAATCCTCGATTACAAGTTAATTTTGTTTCGTTCCGGTCATTTTGATCACGATATGGAAAACAATAATATATAGATTTAGGCAAGCCTAAAAGCGGAGCTCGCATTTTTTTTCCCGCACGTCTCTTCTACAAAACTAAAGCCCCTACTATGGATAAAGTGCGTGGTAATATTAATGGATTTTCATTCGCAACTTCTCTGTGTCCGTGTAGAGGATTGATTATAAGATAGTGCCCGTGATACAGTTGGCCGCGCATGCTAAAAGTAGCACCTTGTACGGTCGGTCGTACGGTCGTACGGTCGTACGGTCGTACATCCAAATTTTTTTCGGCTTGATGGGTTACTGTTACTTTGTATAATTATGAGGCTATGCTCTGCCAGCTCCGCTATAACAGTTATTGGTATGTTCTAAACATCCGAACACTTTAAGAACCATTGGAAATGCGGTGAAAGTACTTGTTAACTGCCACAGCACAAGGGAAAATGTGAGGCAGTAAAAGAAAGCCAGACTGACTGGAGACGTCTTCGAATTTTTTGGAATTTAAGTTGTTGTCGGATAACATGGGTAATATATTTGAAATTTCTCGAGAGTGAAGGTTATTATTTGACTAAAAATTGATTCGTAAGCACCTATCTGGGCTATCTGCAATAGTAGACAAAACCAGAATTCTCCTGACAAAATCAAAGGACAAATTGTGTCATGACAAATTTTTGTCTCGATTTTTGCATCCGCTTAAAATTTCAAAACTGTCAAATTTTGTCAGCGCTTGATCTGCTCCTGAAACTAGCTGGCACAGTTTACCAATGGACTCAAACTCCAGTTTCAGGATTCATCGTACGTCGTTTCAAAGTTTTAAAATCCACAAGTTTCGCGACAAAAGAGAGTTAATAACTTCCAGGTAAATTTTAGTGAGTTCAATAACAAGCTGGTGGCGGCTTTTACGACAAATGGCGTTGAAAACTCAGTCTCCTTTCACTGCCTCACATTCTTCTTTTTGCTCTGGATGCTAAAAAATACTTTTACCACATTTCCAGTGTCCTCTCAGGTGTTCTGATGTTTAGAACATACCAATAACTGTTTTATTTTTTCCAAATCAGGGCTGAAATACCCAGAGACACTCCAGTCTTTGCTTTCCATGAATCAAGTAAACATTTTAAAAGATAAAATTCTCATTAAAATGTAAAACTGAATTTTTCAGTCCATTTTAGCAACTTTCGATTCTAATCGAAACAAATTTGCAGAAAGGAGGGTTAGTTCATCGGGTTCCGCGTTGCGTTGTTTTTAAGAAGTTGGTGGATGGAAGCTAGAGATATACCCGCGGGTTTGAGGCAATCCGTGACCTCATTGGTGTATAAACTATGCACTGATATGCTTTTTCAGCCCGATTAACGCCTACATTTTGAGAATTCTTTCGTAAAAAGTAGTGAATTTTTGATATGCAAATTAAGGTCGAAGAGAAGGGTCTCCTCTGATCATGCTGGTATGAAAAATATTTCAGCTGAAGTTTCCATATTTTGTTTGTGAACTAACTGAATACATCTTGTAACTTGTAGCTAGATAGGATTCCGTGAGCTACATTGTTGTAGTCGCTGCGCGCTGGACAAAATCTTTAAAATTCAGTTACACTTTCGATCGCTATCCACAAGGGTGGTCTGACCAAAATTCATTTTTGACTTGTGGCAACGCAAAAAAAGAGAACTGGAGAACAACTAAACTATTTTTGAAACATGTGTCCTAAACCCTTTTCATGGGCAAAAAATAAAAGAAAACTTTTTTCCGATAGGAAGTCGAAAGGATCGCTCTTAGCGAGAGCGGCACTTAGGTTTATTCATTGTTATCTGATCAATCTAACTTACATGAAAGTTACAGAATGCCATTTGTGGCAGGAGATAAACGATTCCTCATGAAACAGATTCCGCCACAAAATTCTCGCTGCTCTTTATTGCTAATGTCTGAATAATCTTTTCTTTTTTGTTAGGAATCGGTTTTTCTCCCAGCTCTTTGTAAAAAGATTTTCAGTTATGTTTTTTAGAGGCTCTTTCCTCTTGATCCAACCTTTTAACTGATGATTTTTAAAAGAGAACTATTTTAAAGATTTCTTTTTCCAGGTGCTCTTAAGATTTCCTGTTATACTTTCCTGATTTACTCTCATTCGCTTCTGCGAGATACTTATGGTAGATTATGCTTTGGCATAGTCTACCAACCTGAAATAATAAAATCTAAGAAAATCCTTCGTCGAAATAAGGCGTCAAAAATTACGTTTGAATTTGATAAGGATTTTTACAGTTAAAAGAGCATAGGAATCGATAAAAGAATCTTAAAGGATTTTCTTTCATCAGGCGATTATCAGATAGTACATTCACAGTAACTGAAATAAAAAGTTCACCTTTGCCTTCCAGACGACATTCATTTTTCTTCTTATTTCAAAGTTCACCAGTTTCCTTCAATCTGAGATGATGTTAAAGTGTAGTTGCACTGGTTTTTATACACCGCGTATAATTAAGAATCTGAATCAGAGCAGGTGCATTTATATTCATGATATATCTGTTAGGAATAATTGCGACATTGTATAATTCCACTTGGCACGACACCTTGCTAACACTCACCCAGACATATCATCTATTGAAAGCGTGGGCCATACAAACAAACACAAAAGTTTAAATTGTGGGGTCTAGACAAAACGGGATATATGACAAAAGTTTTGGATGTGGAGCTTGGTTGCCTTTTGCGAGACACTCTCCGACTTCAGTGGGTAAAACCGCGCGTCGATGTAATATAGAGTTTGTGATTTCTTTACATTGCCCACCAGGGACTAAATTACTAACAACTGATAATGACAGTGAAAGATAAACATATTTCAACTGTTTCCACGCACAAAAAGGGAAACATTATACAAAATAAGGGAATTTCCTTTGAATACCTAGGTATTTCCAACATAAAATTGCACAGAAAGTTTAGTTTTGAAAACTACTTTTCGCGATATAAGGTCATGACTTTTGTTTTGCCATGTTTCTGTCAGTTTAACCTCCTTTTTCATTTGTATTTTTTTTATTTTGTCGTAGACGAAGGCGTTATTTTAATTTTTTTTTATGTTTACAACCTTTTCAGTGATATGACTTAACCTTTCAAAGGAACTCAGTTAAGTGAGAGTGTGCTAAATTAGTATTCACAGTATACGTTGCGATCTCCAGTAGACCTCATTACTCACGGTCGAGAGAGGGCGGAGCATTCTATCCTTGAGGGCGAAGGCGAGGGCCGAGTAATTACCCAAAAGAATTTTTGCGTAATAGAAATGGAAGATTAATTCAAGCGCATACACCCCTTTAGAAAAAAAAAAAAAAACTCGATATGTGGAAAGGCAAAAACAAATTTCTCGTGAGAATAACCTTGAAACTGTTTCCGAAAACCAGAGCATTTAAATAACTTTTTGATCTAGTATCACGAAACGAAATTATAAGTCTTTCCCCAGTTCTCGGTGCCACCGGCTCAGTCACGTGGTTAAGACGTAACAGCCACCATGCAGTAATGAGGATAATTTCACAACTGTATTCTCTTCTGTATCAGCCCTCGAATTCAACGAAAAGTTGACCTTTTACAACAGCTTTCGTCTATTTGGTAAGGTTAATGTTATTTTAAGTCAGCTTAAGAAGACCGCGATCATTTTTTAAAAATACGTTCTTGATGTAACACAAAAGAAATGGGGAAAAACCGGTTTTGTGATTTTCTCTGGCATAAAAAGATTTACCTTTGGTATGCGGTAATTCAAATTTATGAAGTTATCACATGGGAAAAGGCCGAGCGAGACTCCACGAGCATTCCGCTCTTCGCTTCCGATTGATAAACGACTGTACTCTTCTGACTCATTCGATAAAATCACATAAATTAACTTCCGATGACCTAATTTGTTAATACACACGAAGTAATGACCAAAATTTGCTTCTTTTTTCGAATCAAGACCCATAGTCGGCTGAAAGCTGTCAAAAGTTTATGATTAGAAGGGTCTAAAATTCTCATTGAGACAGTCTCATTTCATCGCGACATACCACCTTAGTCTAACCCAGCCAAAGCCCGAGCGACAATGGGAACTTCAAAGATGTGGTGTGTACAATCATTACTCCTGCGATTGTTTATTTTCCTTTATTTTATTGAAGCTTTTAACAATTATCATCAGTTCAAAGCTAAGTTTTATAAAGTGCGCGGTGTTTTCACACGCCCGCCAACGCTTCGTTCCCAAACAGTGGAACTCGTATTCCGTGACATTTTGCAAACATGTTAGCGCGGCGTGGCAATTTGCCACAAGTATAACTTTAATATCCCCGTGACTCCACTTTGTTGAAAATATTGGCCTGCACAGGTATAGAAAATCTCGCGGCACCATTGGTCAGCTTAAAGCGTTCATTGTTAATGAATATATATCTGTCAAAGTGAGTTCCACAGATATAGCTCGCAAACCCGAGCCTATTTCCGTGTTACGCAAGAAGCAAACAGTAAATAAGCTGAATATGCTTTATTTTTGGAGAAAGGTGAGGTTTTTTTTAATTTCTTAGGACCTTTTTTTACGTAAAAAAAGGGAAGATTTATTTTTTTTCTTTAGGAGCCTTTAAACTCTTACCTTTTTTGTTCGCACAAATTTTTGTCTAACGGTGAAAATTCCTGTTCTAGTTTAATGAATTTTCTTGAATACTCGGAAATTGTCTCCTTAATCATTCTAACATGCGACTCTGTAATACTTCACCAACAAAGAAGAGAAATTTTTATCCACAAAATACGAAAAAAAAAATCAGTGAAATTCAAAATCTGACAAATTTTTTTGTTTGCTTTGATTTCGGTGCGTTAAACCTCAATCGAATTTTGACAAATGAAGAGTCACGGGCTTTATCTTTTTTATCTCATTGCATATCGCTGTTTCTGACGGCTTAAAAGTAAATTATCTCGTTTGAACTTTGTACATGATAACCTCTAAGTTACTAGTATGTTTTGCCGTTAATTGCTTTGTCTGTAGCTGTGTTAGAGAGGCATCTGACTTAACGAACATTGTTTCCTTGCTGGAAACATTGACATACCGTGACAACATCCAGAAATGACCTTGAAAGGGAAATGGTTTTTACAAAATTCTCTGAGCTCCTGAATTTTCTTCTTAAAATCATGTCAACTCTCTGAAAAGTCTTGTTGATCACATGAAAGCGGCGAAGAAATGTAAAAATCTAGCTTCAAAATTTTCAGACTTCAATTTACTCGAAATAAGTCATTAAATCGCTGTTAGAACAAACAAATCAATTACATATCTCGGTATTTTCCTTTATTTCAGTGTCCTGTCATAGTTATGGTTCTTATTCTGATCTGCTCATCATTGAAAGTGACCAGTTGTCCACATCATCATCAAAATCCTCAACGAATAATCAAACGCCTCTTCCGTAGATACATGTTTGTAGAAAATCCTTATCCTTCGCAGGTGCACTTATCAGTAATTCCAAAACGTGTCAGTCGTCAAATCACTTTACAGACACCAAGTTCTACAATGTGCCCCTGGAGTTGGTCCCACGATGACAACCCGGATCGCGTCCCACGATTTTTGACTAAAGCCGTGTGCCCAGATTGTAAGCATTTTTGCCGCGCGGTTTTGTATAACTACAAAGGACTGATGCGGAGGTGTGACGTCAGAATAGGGAGAGCAGTGTGGAAATGGAGTTCATTTGAACTTCCTGTAGCATTCGTTTTCGATCCTTAATAACTTCCCTTTTTATAGTCAAACAAACAAACATTTTAGACGTTCATCACCTCCACAGGTTTCTGAGAATAACTGAAATGAAAAAATTACTTATAATACGACCATTATATAAGGCAAATTTTTTCCATATACTTTGTATGAAAGGGAAATGTTCCGAGAGCGCATGCAGGTTCAATAATTGATAAATTAAGCCATCAAGTTGTTCTACGTATTTTAATTACCAGAAATAATTTCCCTCCCACTCAAACATGAGAAACATATTGAGATATCAGCCATACTGATAACGACTCCATCTGATGCTTATTCCGGTAAATCAGAAACTTTGTGAATACATAAGACTAAAACTTCCTGGCTCAGTATTGAATGTTTAATCCTTTTGATGTAAGTCAGAGAAATTTCCAATTAAGTGTCGAAAATAATCGGTTTGCATTGGTTTTAAGTTTTGCTCTACTTTGCTCCGACCACAGAGTCTGTGATTGGTCCAGAAAAATCGCGCCACTCCATCAACCAATTGAATTCAAAACTAACACCAATTATGACTTGGTCGCCCGCGTTTTCCCGCGCTCCATGGGCAGTTTGCGTAATTTTAATGTGGATTTCCATTGGCTCGTCACGGTATCTTATTTTCTTCCGAGTGGCTGTTGTATTTATTATCCATAAGGGTTATGAATAAACTCTGAAAATTGCCTATCGAAATTACATCTGGGTCTGAGTATCTGGATAAGGTTAGTGTTAATCCACGCATTTGTGGTATTTTTTTTTTCACTTTCATGGGCCGTTTCAAGCTTCTTTTTACGAATTATTTTTTGGGCCGGAGGCCGTCGGGAAGAAAAGGAGATATGACTTGCAACTCGATGGTCGCCAGCCGCGACCGCTTTCACTCCAAACTAGAATTAACGCCAAACTACAGAAAATGTCTCCTACCTTGAGAAAAGCAATTTCGTAAAAAGATGCGCAAAATACCAAAAATGAGTCGATTGACACTTCGTCTAGTTTGACCCGCCAAGCGGACATTTTTTTCCTGCAAAACAATACTTTGCACATGCTCTCGAGTAAAAACAGCATGAAAAATACATTAAAATAATTTTTTGCATTTGGTTCGGCTCAGTTGAAGTACGGCGTCCGAATCAAAACCGGCCTACAGCCTTTCTTCCCGGCTGAGCCGGGCAGGATTAACTGACTGATCCAATCTAAATTAAATCAGCCATTCCGAATTGATTCAGACGCCGTACTTCGCATGAACTTAATTCGTTGAATTTTATTCAGCTCGGCGGAAGTACGGCGTCTGAACTGGGCCTAAATCAATTCAGCCAGGATTAACTAAATTAGGTCGCCTATCGTTGAATTCGATTCGGCGCGGCCGAAGTGCGACGTCTGAACCGGGCTTTAGATCGTGTTACATTTATGTAATTCAGTTCTCACAATAAGCGACTTTACTTTAGGTTTACAGACTTGACTAAAATTTATTCACCAATAGGACGGCCTGTCGCAAATTTGTTATTCAATTCCGATAGCCTAGGAATTCACTTGATAGTTGTGTTCGTCTTCTAACTAAAGCGAGCGTTAAACTTGGCGTTACATACACTTGATATTAAAATGCTTAGCATCAGAATTTTCCGACTAGCTTCCTTTCTCAATGAGTGAATGTTCCAAAGCGTATGTTCTGTCCCGTTCCTACCATATACTAGTAACCTTCGCACGAAATTTTCTGAGGCCTGCATTTAAACGTTGACAAACCACTAGAATTACATGACGTGTAAAATACAGGCTTAGACCAGCACCTTTCCAGACTTTCTTCGTGCATTCCTTTCAAACGGAAACATTGTGTGACAACCTGCGAAGCATAACGCAGGAGGCTACCGCAGCAAGTCACGTGTAGTGTAGTAGTGCAAAGTGCCTGACAGCTCATACTGTATCACAGCGTTCATCATCCCTTCACACAAACCACTTGCTTCAGCGTGTGAACTACATCCACCAAGTCACTCTGTGCTGCCATGACGTCATCGATGTCCTTGTAAGCCATTGGTGTTTCGTCAATCACGTCAGCATCCTTACGACACTCCACGTCTCGTGTCGCCTGCACGTGATCGTCAATTGTGAACATTTTCTTGGCTTTGGCTCGTGACATGACACGGCCGGCACCGTGGCTACAGCTAAAGGAGTATTCAAAAATTTGTTACCATAAATATAGTCATTATCACTATGTTGTTGTTCTTCCATCTTTTTCTTCAAATTTACGCCTTAGTTTAATTGTGAATATAGTAAGGCAATGTTAAATAAATTGAGAGACCGCGCTATGTAAAAAAATCAGTCTTTATTTCACTTATCCATACCAATGTTACACTTACTGTTTTTCTGAAATATTGTTACTGTTATATTAAAATCATTATGAAAAGAGTATTGGAAATGTGCAAAGGAAACCTGCCTTGAACTCACTCAGCTCTAAGTGGCAGTATGGCGAATAATTCAGTTGTTCGAAGTAAAGACGCTGTTATTCATGACGAACACACACAAAAAAACACAAACCTGTGAAAAGCCTCAGGATTTCCCTTGCCTCTGACAATGAACGACCGCGCGCCCATGGACCCTGGTATTATGCCTAACTCACCCTGACGAGCGGAAACCTGTAAGGAAAAACATTCCGTGAAAAAAACAGTCAATGTAAAGGAATGCATATTAAGATCCTCGTTATTTCGACTTAGGTAGAGAAATTTCAATTGGGAACCGAAAACAATCCTAAATTGTGATATTTTTTGCTTTACTTCGTTCTCTGATTTGCCTGTCATATTCGCGCCATTCTCTTTCTCAGCCAATCAAATTAAAAACTAAAATCAATGGCGACTTGGTCACCCGCATTTTTCCGCGCTTCATCCAGGTTACCTTTTTTACTTTGTGTTCTCGTTGGCTGCTTGGGATATTTACCTTTGCCCTGTTTGGCCGTTATGCATGATAACCTTGGTTCTGGTTTCACCATACGTAATCGTAAATCGTTAATGAAGTAAATTTCTTATGCAACAAAAGCTCCAAAGGAGGTTAAGACAACTTTGTTTCTACGGAATGTAAATAATGGGCTATTATGGTTACCAACCGCGCCCTTTCTTGTAAGAAACACTTCTCTTCCAAAGTGTGTCTCCACCTTGACGTAGTTGTGATGACAGTTGACAGCCTTGCTGGACGGATCCACATTGAAGGCCGGCATATCGTTACAAGACTGTGCTGCCTTGAGCACATTGGTCATCATTAAATTACGATTCAGCCGAGCAAATTTTTGTGCCCAATTAACGGCAAATACGTAGTCGTCGAAGTTTTTCGTTCCCTCTCTGAGGTAAGCGAGATCTCTATCAACCTATGTAATTAAAAAAAAATTAACTTATCTTCCTGATAAACTGTGGTATTAAGTCCCAACTTCCACCAGTTCAAAGCTAGTTATCGCTAGTAGGGGTTCAAAACGGACCATTTTTGGAAATCCTCTTGAAATGAGAGATTTTGAAAATAGAAAATTTCTGTACTCGTATGGACAGAGAGAAAAAGGTACTTTTTGAAATCGATGATTTCAAACCTTGCTTCCTAGTCCTCTAAACTAACCCAGCTCTAAAGGGTAATTACCATATTGGCTTTGGATGGAACAGCATACCTTAATTTGCTTGTCCAGTTTCATCATGTCTTTCTTGGCGAGTTCAATAAAAACTGTGCCGATCCTGTTGCCTGGGCCTCGTGACCCTGAATGCAGCATAAACCACACCCTGTTTTCTTCGTCAAGACACATCTGAAGGAGAACAACACTATGGTCCGGATAACTGGTAGAATTAACGACTCAGTAATCATCGTTCGGGAAGGGCTGAACTGGAAGCCTAACGAAAATTAAAGTCTAGGTAACTGGAAACTATACACATTGTTGATATTCACGGTACAGCTTCGATACAAACAGGAAAATTCACTTTTCACAAAATCAAGTTCACATAATTTTTCAAGGAGGGAAACATTGGGGAAATGTCTGACACATGATTAAGTTGCTGAGGTATGTGGTGCTTAGTAGAAGATAGATTTTCTATCCTCCCTGATGTTATCCTCTGTTGCTCATATGCACTTGGAAAAAGATGGTTGTGGATTTGGATAGGAGCTTTAAGGCACAATAAAAGTGTCAGAATCAGTGTATTTTTCTTTGTCACTTTTTAGAAAAAAAAAAGGGTAAAACCAAACAAACAAGCAAAAAAAGAAAAAAAATTCAGGAACTACCATTCATGATAGAATCTAAAGACAGGGCCAAGAATTGTAAATAATCCAGATTCAACTTCCATGGCAAACAAAAGCATTACTTTATCAAAAACCCATGATGAGCTTATTGTCAGATTTCAAATGCCCCTGCTCATGTATGGAATTTAGAGCTTTCCACTTTACTGCCACAATAGCCAAACTCAATTCGTTTAGGAACAGATGTAGCCTTGCTATGACTTGGTTTGTAAAGTCAGAAGTCATGTGTCTCCTCTCACAACAAATTCACCTCAATAAAGTGATTTCCCATTCCTAGAGTCCCCAGATGATTGACAGTGTTCTGTGCCTTGGCCAATGGCTGGTGACTGCAGATGAATTCATATTCTTTTTTTAGTTTATTCCACTCATTCATCACATAGTCAGGAATTTCTCTGGCCTTCCAGGCGCCTAGGTCACCTTTACCACCCTAGAAAGAATTTGAAAACATTGCTTACTAGAAAGCCTAAACTTAATCCATTCTTTTTCAATGTTAAGTTGAATTAATCCTTTAACTCCCCTGAGTGACCAAGGGAGAATTTCTCGTTACAATATCAATACAATTTGTCAACCAGATAGGTGATGCGAATAAAGAAAAATTTCAATTTGGGGGTTATTAGTTGACCCAATACTAAATTCTCTAAACTAACACTATAAGAATTGTATGATTGACAGTAAAGAGAATGACAATTTGATCTGGGCGCTAAAGGGTTAACCAATGGAATAACAATAATACATGTATCCAGTGTTATCCACAGATTCTGTAGTAGCCAGCCATAAAAAAATAATAAATAAATAAATTTTAAAAAAAATATAGTGGCCAGCAAAGGCACTTTACTTCTTTGTCTAATTTGAGTAGCTGACACCTCAGAAACCAATAAAAAGTGAAAATTCCATTCACTGGTGCTTCTGGTCATATGATTTGTAAGCTTGAGTCTAGATCAAGTTGAATTAGTCCAGACTCTGGCTGCCTCAAGGAGCTGACTGCTCTTCCAAAAAAATTCTTTTTTTATAGACAGGGATATAATCAGTGTAAAGGGTACAAAAAAAATTATTTTCACATGTAAGATGAAAAACAACAAAGTAGATTGATAGCTCTTTGTCCACTGTTTTCAAGGCATGATTGGAACCTGAAATGTTGGTTTTTGTGCAGGGACTGAAGAACTAATAGAAAATCCTAAATAGAGCACACAACTCCAATTCTGCTCCAATCTCCCCATAAAGGATTAAAACAGTAAATGATAAATCGTGAGTTAATGTAGGTACCTGATGGGTTCGTCCATGTGGTACAGCCTGTTCAATAGCCCTCCTAAGGTTCTTCAGTGAATCTGGCAGTTGTTCTGCAGTTATTGTTGTCCTTACTGCCATCATTCCACATCCAATGTCCTAAATAAATGGGAAGTAAGTAAATTTTTATCATTTATAAGTCTTCAATTCTCTTTCAGAAACCTACTCAAGTAAAGAACCTTCATGACACATTGTCACTGAGATCACAATATTCTAGCACACTAATCTCATCTTTAATATTCTTCCTTTCACCCCTACTTCACCTTTACAATGTTGTAATTTGTTTTCTGTGTTTCTGCAAGTAACTGGATGGGAAAAGGGGGTGTTTTAGTGAAATCTGTTTCACCTTAGATGTCATCTCTTGATAATTTCTTTAACATGGCTTCCTGATTATTGTGTCTGCTAGTTACAAAACAGATTTTTGATCATATTACCATACCCATCCTCACAATTAATTGAAAACATATTAAAATGATTTATAAGTTGTACTGACCACTCCTACTGCCGCTGGAATGATTGCATCAACAGTAGCCACCACACATCCCACACATGCTCCCTTCCCAAGATGCATGTCAGGCATAGCTGCAACATGTGAGTGGATTATTGGCAATTTGGCCAGAGAGCGAAGCTGGTCAGCAGCATCCTTTTCCACAGGAACACCTTTCACCCACGCTTTAACTGGCACACCATTCTAGTATAGAATTAAAAAAGGTTCCAGCAATCGAACACACATATCTTCAACAAAGCATTGCCTTGTGAAATGCGTGCTTTCCAACTACAAATAAATCCTCGAAAATTATCACGTGCAGAAACCACTCAGCAGACCCTTTTTTTGGTACCAAAAGGTTGGAAGCTTCACCCCCATTTATTTGCCTCCCTATGCTTCTCATTACCAGTGTCTCAAAAATATATTTTCCGACTTGTTATAAACTGCATCATTTTACATTCAATTTTGCTACTGACTAGTGTATAGACTCTATGAGATCTACGATATCGTATTTGAACTATCGGTTGTGGAAGTTTCTAGGATTCATTATGATATGGACACAACCGACTAAAACACCACTGACAAGTAAAATCTCGTTTGCCATTTGGAAACAAAATCTAGTTAAAATTTACAAAATCAAGGAAATAACACAGGGCGATTTCTCGATTACAATGAAACACTGTATTTAAAGTTGCTTACACTCTCCCCCTCGCCAAGAACCACGTAACTTAACCTCCTTTTGATCGCCAATCTACCTCTGAATGAAGAAATCAGCTGTTTACGACCAATTCGCAACGAAAAGGAACGTGCTATCTTCCAACAAGACATCGTTGTAAACAACTGTGTTGGTCCCAGTCTTACTCAATAATTTCGTTTCAAAAGGTCCGGGGGAGGGGACGGGGAAAAGCTGGGAGGCGAAGGAAGGGAAAGTATTTCCATCGGGCACATTTGCCTATAATTTACTTGATATTTACTCACAGAGAGAAATATACTTAACATCATCTTATTCAGGAAAAATAAACCCTAAAGTTCATTACCCGTGGTTTTCTAGAATAAAGAGACATTTGGCAATACTTTCTTGGCTTCGACGTGGGAAATCTTCCAGAAGAAACAGACTTATCAAAGTTTTACTTGTGATAATCAGATTTCTTAAGAATTAACTAATATAACCTTGTAAATGAATTAATGTGGCCTCTAGCTGGCAAAGGTAAAGATTTTTTCTAAACGCAGGTAATTTACAACTTTTTCTAATCGAAGTAGCCGACGCTTCAGAAACTAAAAGCCAGCAAAACGCCAGATGCCGGTGCTTTTAGAGAACACTGAATATTTGACACGTTTAAGTCGATAATCCTCTCAAGCCTTTTATTAATTTCCACTTAGAGCTCAGAGCCGGCGACAATGCCGTTGTCTCAACATAAATTAGATAGATCCTACAGTCCCTTAAGATCCGCGTCGCTTACAGACAGATTCCTGCGCCACTTCTGAATCAACGTATGAGCAAAGGGCTAATGCTCGCAATGTCGGCCTCAGAAAATCTTCACGGTGGCCAGTTTACATTATCCACTGAATTTATATAACCAAATTAACTATTTTTTGAGCTTTGATTTTTTGGCTTAGCTAAAAATTTATGACATATCTTTTTTGTTGAAATTTTGAACATTAGTCCTTTTTTAGGAAAATCACGTCTCAAAACTGAGGGGCGATTAAAGAATTACCACAATACCCTTTTTATCACAGATTTGGAAACGCTTTTCACAAGGGATGTTTTCACATATTTGGTTTCCGTTTAATATGGTCGAAAATTTTTGTAATCATATAGGGAAACATAAATTTCTGCAAGGGCCCTCCGTAGTACACTTGTACAGAATTCTTCGCTCTCTGCTGTAAGGTGAGTATTGAAAACTTGAAGAATGAGAGATAGAACTCCAAACAACTTGGTATGATTAGATCGTCTAGGCGAAGTTACTTTTCTGTTAGTTTGAGGGGTAATCCTGTTGTCATCTCCTTGCGGGAGGCTTTGGGGTTGGTCCGAAGTGAATGAAACTTCTACGGTGCCTGTTTTTCCTCCAAACCTGGCGTAATCCTGGGTGTATGGTGTATGAAACGTATTAGCAAGGTCTATCATCAGATTGGATGAGTTGGGTGCGCTACTAGCGAAAGTTTCCGGGGCGATTCCTTCGTTTTTGGTCCCTGAAAAATCTAGATCGTTGGAGTGAACTGCCGGACTTGTTATAGTATGGATTTCTGCCATCTGCTGTGTTTTTAATTGTTGGAGAGATGGGAGAGTTGTTAATGTTGATGAATCGTCAAAACGACGCGGCTCCGCCAGAATTCCTGGCTGCAAAACATGATAGCACTGTCGCCCTCTGTTTTCGACGATGGGGGTAGCACTGTTAGGCGGGTGAGAACTGTAGAAAGACTCAAACGTCTCTTGTCTCAGAATGTCAAGAATATCCTCTAGATCCTCTTCCCATGCTTTACCTGCCTCTTCTTGTGCTTCTATTTCAATTACCTCTGGACTCTGATTTTTGTTGCTGTTGATTCAGAGAGAGTGGGATCTATTTTATGATTTTTGTTAGGTTTTTTTGTATGTAGGAGGAAATGAGAAAAGCTTTGGGTGGCAAAGCCTTAAGAAAATACAAAGTACTTTAACCCTTTTTGCGCACTTAACATCAGTATGCATATTCTCCATACTGATCTGTATACATTTTGTAAGGTGCTGACGAGGAGAATTTGTTTGACAATAAAGAACCGATTTGGTTGGTGATCATTTCTTTTATTCTTGTGACCTTAATGCCTGATTCTGAGGTGATATTGTGAGGAGAAATTAGACGCTAATTAACACATGGTTCATGCTTCAAAGTGCACTTTCAAGTTATGGAGCATGTGGGAAGTTTGGAGAGCACAAAAGAAGCGTAAGAGTTGCCCGAGGCAATAGCCGAGGGCAACTCTAGCTTCTTGAGTGCTTTCCAAACTTCCCACGTGCTCCATAACTCGATAGTGCACAACTAAAAGCATGAACCAGTTGTTTCATAACATGGCCGGTGGAATTGTGCATCAAATCTGACGCGAAAAACGGACAACAAAATCATAAGTGATTGTTCGCGGTAAGCCAAATATCAAGCAAAATAGGAATTGGTTTTAATTTCAAATTTTCTGTCGAAATATGTTAGCCCAAGGGAAAAAGTCAGAAAATTGTCTTCGTTTTGGGACTGGTGAGCCGAGTCTCTGTTTGTATCCATTATTGTCGCGAAATATATTATCTTTCCCTGCGCTAACAATGGCCGCTCGCGCGAAAAAAAAAATTTCTGGCGAAGCGATTTGCTCACGCTATCAGCGTGCACTATCGGGATTTTGAGCACGCTTACGTATACTGAATTTGATTGCGCGGCTCTGCTAGCGATGTTATAATCACTTTTAGAGGTTAATGGCATGAACTTAAAGCGGCGAAGCCTGGACTTAAATAAAACGTTTTGTGCACACCAAAAAAGCAGAAACGGCTAGAAAATACTTGGCTGCTGCAAAATAATTCAGAATTTCGGACTACAGCACAGCTCTTTGATCTCTAAAGTACTGTCAAATCTGGTTCGACTCATCAAGGGTAAATTTATATACATAGAAAATTTTCTGTTTTCAATTCAATGCTGTTCAAATATTTTTGAAAATTTAACATTAAATTTGAGCACATCTACTGGCGCACACACGCACATGTAACCCCCCTCAAAAACTGACGCGTACGAACGCACGCAAGCACCAGCACACACTCACACAGTAAAGATGAAATGGTTTCATAATGTAAATCAGACAAAAGATTTACTTACGGCCTTGGTTTTCTTCCATGTTTCTTATACTTGCCCGAGTTTCTGCGACTCATTATTTGTGACCTGCCAGGCCTCTTAAGCCTTCTTGCGTTATTCGTTATTTCTCGTCTGAGCTTTAGGTTAACACATTCAGGCAGGACGCATTTTCCATTTTTACAAGGAACAGCATGTTTTGCCACGGAGAGCATGATGGTTGGATTGCCACGCCGAAGTTGAAAATGAACTAAAACATGAATTGAAAAATACGTTCGAATGATCATGAATGAATGACATAACCTAACACCGAAGTCAAACGTTTACACATGTACACACATGTGCGGACGCTGTAAAGTGTCCGTGGCATTCTTTAAGGCTGACCAACAATTGTAGGGTGGTCTCGAACATATGTAATCTTTGTTAATTGTTAGTCTTCACTTGTGTCTTGCTAACGGCACGAGAAACTAATTTAAAGTTTATCGCCTGATTGAACTGAGTATTAATGATACCTTAATTTTTAAAAGTAGGCATGTAGTTGTCGTTGGTTTGTTCTTAGCATATGTAATCTTTGTTACCTTCGTTGTAAGCAAATCAGCTTAGCTTGCAATATTTTCCAGTATATCTCAGCTTTCTGTTTGCAATGGGAGCTTTGTAGAAGTAGCTATATTTTTACCAGTATAGCGCTTTCAAGGGTGTAGTCTATAAGTGCAAAGGCAAGATTTCCGGAGAAAACAGCAGAAAATAGTAAAAAATAACAATAATTGAGTCGTGACCGGCCCCTTACTCAGTTTTCTGTGTCTGGAAGTTTATACGGGCTGACTACATGTCTACTTTTAAAAATTAAGGCCAACGAAAAGAGTGCGTTAAACTGCTTATGAATTGATTGAATTTTAATGGCGTTGTCTGGGTGAGTTAAATCGGACTCTTGTCGTTGGTGGAAATCCGCGTCTTCCTTGTAAATTGGTTTAAAATTGTGTTTACTTAAACAAGTTTCAATAACTCAATCTTATCGGATTCTCATGCATAATACTGTTTTTAAAGACTGGATTCCATATGTTAACTTACAGGTTTAATTTACCTCCTAACTTTGCTGAAGAAGACACAGTCCTGCCAACGCCAGTGTCAGCTCCTGTCAGCTCATGAGCTTGAGGATAAGGGGACTGAAGACTTCATACAGCATATATTCGTATTCCTGATCAATTCTCAATTTGTGGAAACTTATACCCAGGTATTAAACCACACACTGACGAAAGATAGCAAAGTTAGATTAATTTGGTTTCAATCGAATTCATTTTCCTGTTTTTGGAGACATCTTCCGGTTTTAAAAACAACTTTTCCTGTTTTGAAGAAGCACACGACGAAATGCGAGGGCTTCTCAGAGAAGGCAACAAACCGGAAATACGTTAAGGAAAGAGTAGGTTACGCTGATGTGTCTGTCAATACTAGCTCTAATGCACATAAGTAAGTTTCAGTGAGACGAGCAAGACAGAGAGAGCCTCATTTTAGGCACAAATCGGAAAATTGTAGACAATGCGGCAATATGGAATAACCATTAAAAAAAAAAAGAGAGAGAATATAGTCTCTTTCATTAAAACCTTTTTTTTAAACAAGAATATGAACGATTAAAATTGGGCTGTCAAGATAAGGCGACAAATGGGGTCGGGGTTAGACCGCAAAAGAACCAGGACCACAAATGATTTCTCGAAAGTTACACTGGAAATGATCATGAATCGCACTCAGTGTGTCTTACGAATAAGGTATGGGTGGCACTTCCGGAAAAATTTAATCTTTTCGGAGACAAAAGATCACAGCGGAAATGCGTAACCACAAACTGAAACTGAAAACCTTTTTAACTCGTGAATTGCGCGCATGCGCAAGAGCGAGTTATAGATACGATGTGGAGAATAGCATTCGCTCGCTCGCTCGATTGGTCGATTCCTGTAAACTTTTTTTAGATTTTAGGCTTTTGAGTGCATTTTATAGTTTTTGGCGAGCAATAAACAGACGAAATGGCGACCTTTGTTGCTAAGAATAGTGATGGGGTGAAAAAGAAGCCAATGATAATCTTAAAAGAGTTTTTTTTTTCGTTTTAGTTTCAACAAGCGGCGCCAGCGACTGGCAGGCATGCAAGGATTCACACTGAAATAACAGAACAACCTTCGTTTTTCATAAAATTGTAATTTACAATCCTTGAACTTGAAAACAATCCGAAGATTCATTGAAAATATCACTTACTGCGAAGCGCTCGGAGTTTACAGATGTTCAAAAGCTTTTTCTGTTATAGCGTGAGATTGAGGACAAAATTGATCATTACGTTTCGTCGCGTGTGTTTTTCCTGTGTGAAGCAACAAAATATGCCGGTGACTGACGAAATAACAAGTTAACACGAAAATCAAATAACACCTAAACAAACAATTTTAGCTACCAATTTTCAGTGAATTTTTAAAGAACAATTTTCTTTTAAGTTTCAAGACAATTTGAAGATTCAACATACATACAACGTACTAAAATGCGAAAGTTACACACCACAAAATTGATAAATAGGCCTGAAATGAAATTCTATCTTGTTATTGAGTATACGTTGCCTAGCACGTGACTTAAATCTACCCAGGCGGAGATCCAAAATGACGGTGGCAGGCTTGGCTTAGTTATATCACTCAAAACTCGTTCCTGTTTGTCTCATTTGATAAAGAGGGAATCGTTAATGTTTTCATTAAGACAGTATTGCCTTGATTTTCTAATATTTACAACGAAAGACAGTAAATTTCACTTTTCACCCACATTTACTTCCAACCTTTTCTTTTGAACCAGAAACAAAAATGATAGACGTTTAAAACACATGACATCATCCACCTTGTCAAATGTAATAGCATGATCATTTCAATTGTAATGCCTTCTTATCCCAACGTTACTTTGTTTCTTTGCTACATTAGCGAACACTGAACTACTGCTCGTACTCTAGATATGACAATCAACCACAAAATTCCCTAAACCAGATAACATTAAACATAATCTAAACTAGACCCTGTGAGCAGGGTAACTGGGATACCTGGATGATACTGGATCCTTGGAATCAAGTGTAGTGATACTACGGGTGTCGGACTAGTATACTGAAATAGTGCGCTCAAGTCTGGCCAAGGGCATACACCTATTTCAAAACATAGGCATGCTATGCATGCAAGAGTTACTTTTTTGTAGGGTGGGTGGATTACTTGAAACATTGTGAGTGATGTCTACATTCTTACAAAAGGAGAGAAGAATATTAATGTGGGAAAGAACAAAAATGTCGAATTACCTCACTCACAGGTATTTTAAGGTAGATTATGTGTGTTTTGCGAATAAATGTAACCAAAAATAAACTGTATTGGTGCCACGGATACCTGTTAGTAAAAAATGCAGACAGCATACTGCAGACCGGATACAAAATATAGACTGCAGAGTGCAGAGTGGGTACAAAATGCAGACTAAGAATCTGAAGAGTTTTTACGTCTGGTATATAATAACATGTCATCTTACAGCTTACCGCGCGTCACGCAATCGCTTTTCTGCGATCCCCCTTCACGATTATTTGCACTATTGTCGAATATTCCTGGCCCATATCTTGATGAAAATCGATTGCAATATTATTTCAAGCCTTCAATATAGTCTTCTTACTTTGCGCGCGAGTTGGTTGGTGTGATGTCTGTACAGATTTTACCAACGTAATAAAAGTAGATGACGTGAATAACAGTGATGGTAAGGCAAGCTTAAAACGGCAGAAATCGCCAGAAAATACAACGGATACACAGGGTATGAGTAATTTTTATTGATTTTACGAGAAAAATGTTCATATTTCGAAATATTTATCGTTGTAAATCGACCTTACTTCGTTCCCTATACTATTCCTTATAACGTGTTCAAATCTCCAACAGTTCCTCTCGTAACTTAACACCGAGTCACACAACGCGTGACGCGTTCATGAATTAATCGTTGGCTTTTTATCGAGACGTGAGCTTGGGCCGCTTGTGACAAGACAATTGCGTAAACAATATTTAACATAATAACATTATACATAAAAAAACACAGGGTTCTAGATCACTTATTTATTAAAAAAGGATATTCATTCAACTACAATGAAAACGAACATAAGATTCACCTTTCTGATCGTGAAATTAATACCATTCGTACTGTTATCGTAGCTACGTTTCTTGCCATCAAGTGAATCCAACATGTCGTCTTTCTTCACATGCAGTTTGCATCCATTATAGTTATGTTCTTAAGTCTCACGGTAGTACTGTTGTTCAATAGATTGCATAGAGTATATGCAGTTTGGTTTCAGATTTCAGATTTTGCTTTTTACAACAAGTGAACGTTTTTCGACTACGATATTGGCATACTTAGCATACAAGGCATTCAAGGCTTTCATGGCTTTCAAGCGTTCGCGACTCAATCCGTTCCAAAATTACCGCTCAATAACATCTTTCAGTGTGGATTAGCTGGGATTAATACGACTTGTATATGCGTCTGTAAGTATTTTGCGCGTTTGCGCCATAATGCTCCAGGAGATCGCAATCCAAATACGTTGAAATACAAATCAATTGACCAAAGAGTTTTATAAGCAAAAATCACGTGATTCGTCATGTGACCCGGTCCTGTCCGTGCATGACAACGTCAATCATCATCAAGATAACACGCGTGATCAGCATGTGAACACCTCATTGGATCACAGTTAGTTGTCATGGAGTTGAGGGATAACACGTGATCAGTATGTGAACACCCATCATTACCTCATGGGAGGGCCCAATGACCTCTGGGTAATATTGCGCAATTTTTCCATTTTGTGGCGGAGGAAAAAAAAAAAAAAAAAAAACGACAACTAGACCCAGGTATCCCAGTAAAAAGACGACAGCAGGTTAACTGGGATACCCCTGGATGGTGCTGGATCCTGGAATCCTTGGAATCAAGTGTAGTGATACTACGGGTGTCGGACTAGTATACTGAAATAGTGCGCTCAAGTCTGGCCAAGGGCAGACACCTATTTCAAAACATAGGCACGCTATGCATGCAAGAGTTACTTTTTTGTAGGGTGGGTGGATTACTTGAAACATTGTGAGTGATGTCTACATTCTTACAAAAGGCGAGAAGAATATTAATGTGGGAAAGAACGAAAATGTCGAATTACCTCACTCACAGGTATTTTGTGGTATTTTGTGGTATTTTGTGTGCTTTTCCG